TACATTTGCAAAATAACACACACAATAAAAACAATTATAGAATTTAACTTCATAATCTAGATTATAGCACATGATAGAACAAAATCATCATAAACAGAATTCTCTAACATAAATAGCATGACAACATAATTTAAATGTTTAAGAAAAAGAATTCTATCATGTAGTCAAAAAAAACTTTCAAAGTTGAAGAAAAACAACTCAATAATCCTTTCCCAAATATTTTGCAAAGCAATCAAAAGGTATACTTGTTTAGGCTCATTTTCATTTTATCAAAGATAAACTTATCAGTTGAGATAACAAAAGTTGAGACTTTTTACCATTGTTGTTAGGAACTCAAATCAACATATTCAAACTCTTTGTCAATCAAATTTTCAAACATTGAAGTAAAGCTCCCACAAAAATATCAGCTGAAGTCCCTAATTCTGTAAACACCAATACAAACTCGACAGTGCAGGTGTAGAACTAACTATGAGACAAAATGAAGAGACATTAAAAATTCTTGGAAGTACCACGTCAGTTGACCTATTTCAACAATTTAATCAAGCTCATAACTTCCTCCAACTGAACTGCAAAAAAAAAAAAAAAAAAATCAAAAATCACAATAAAAACCTCACACTAATCAATCTGAAATACAATACAATAAATTCAATAAAATAATCTGAATATACACCATCTAAAAAAATAATTGAAGCAAACGATTGTATCTGGAGATAAAATTGAAGGTGAATGGCAAAAGAGTCAGGAAGGATGCTCAAGATTATTTGTAAGAGACATAAAACCAAGCAGATTGCTTATGACTGGGCGGACTTCAATCTCGTCAACGGCAATGGCGATGACAAATAGTGGCTCTGGCTATAGGAATCGGATACCTTGACTTGCTTCCTTAATTTATCGATGATGGATGGTTTTTGAGGAATGAGAGAGAAGAAACCGTGAGGATAAAGAGAAAGGAAAAAAAAGAAAAAAATCTACTTTATATCTTCAAGGTCTTCATAAATACAGTAGATTCATCACTATTTATCAAACCCCCAATATACATTGAAAACTCATCGTCATCATCGATTCCGAAATTTATTCTCTGATTTTATTCATGGTTTTTCAGAACGGGGAGAGGTCGGAGGTGCAGGGGTAAGAAGAAAGAGAGACCGTGTGCAGGAAAAAATAAAATAGAGGTTGACCGATTGAAAATCACATGTACTAATCCCAGAGAATATTGTAAACTGTATGAAGATTGCATATTCCATTTTGAACGCATGCTGGAAAAGTGTAGAATATTGGGCGGCGCATAATGAAAAGTAGAGCTTCTCAAATTCTTTCATCATTATGCCCAAGTATCGCAACCAAAGAGGCTACCGCGTTTCTGGCTTACTTGAATCTTCCGCCACCAGCATGCCCTCTAGAAAGGTTAATTTATTTCAGGTTTTAGGTATTTCCAAAGGGAAGAAGAAAAAGAAAAAGGAGCAAAAATAAAAATTAGGTTCACTTGACCAAATTAATTTGAATTTGCATTGGAACTTGGATGAACTATAAATTGAATGACGTATAAAGTGTAAGCATGTTAACTTCGTTTAGGCGGAGAACAAAGGAGAGGTGGGCGGTGCAATGCCTCAAAATAAGGTATTTGCTTAAATTTATTATACTGTATTTGATTAACATAGGAAATATCATGGACAAAACGAATTGACTTGTATGTACACGGTGGGTCAGCTTGCCCGTAAAACTTACTACCAAAACATGACATATGGAAAATAACAATAAAACAAAATTGAAAAAATCCAGAAAATGACAAGTGGAATGTGAGGCATTTTGGCGGGATTTGGAATAACCTAGTGAAGACACGTGGACTGAGGGAGGGAGAATAGGCGGGAAAATCTGAAGTTCTATGATTCTATCTCGTAAAAAGTGGACAAAATATTGTGCTAATTGTGTGTGTGTGTGTGTGTTTTTTTTTTGTGAAAAAGGATTTTTATTAACTATCGTCCATTCAATTATCTCACTCAATAAGCAAATAAACAATATCGATAACTATCTCTACAAAATTATCTCCTTTGGATCTTAAACAGTTAGTCAAACGCAAGACTTTGGTTAGCTAATTGTTGTAATAGGTTCGAGCTTCAACGTTGGGGCGTACGTCCAGCCTGAAGCCCGCAATGATTGCAAGATTATGTGCTCTAAAAATGTTACCATTATTAGGTGGGTTAGTATGACGGTAACGCCCAATTGGTTTGCATATCTGCAATTTCCACGTACTCGAGTCAATTTCACGAAATGTGAGGTTATTTTAGAATGGTCAGAGACGAACTACTATAATACTATTAGTGCAAAAGCTGTTGCCATTTTTTAATGGTTTATTGGGGTTTGACTTTTCCCCTAGAACAAGTCAAGTTGCCACTAAGTGCAAAATTAGCCAATAAACCCCAGGTTTTAAAATTTCTCACTGCGGAAGAGGCACTTTACATCTCTAAACTTTTTATGATACTTCATTTGCTCTTTTCTTTAATATATTCTTTTTCTTTTCGGTCATTTGTTAGTGTAAATAAATGATACTAGTATTTAGAAAGACGGGAATCATACCTAAATTTTTTACCTGCGGTTCATTGTTAGTACTATAATTAGTTGGCATACGTTAATAAGCTTTTTCTTACCGTACAATTAAGGTTGACAATAACAAAATTAGGAAGTTATTATTAAATTAAAAGAAGAAGAGAAGGTGATGGGGTTGGAGGGGCACGTTATCTGTACAAAATGCTGATATGGCAGGCCGTCAGTCCAATCATCGAATCCGTCGGTGCTCTGCTTTTTGTTTTTTTTTTTTCCCATTATTTTCACATTGGTTTTATTTTATTTCTTGTCGTATATTTTTAAACTAATACTACCTCCGTCCAAAAAAAATAAAATAATAGTTCACATTGAATTTTTAAATTTGTACTAAAAGTAGGACAAAATTCAAAACTCAATGTGAACTATTTTCGTGGGACGGAGGGAATATTATTTATTTTCAATTAAGAATTGAGTTTTTCTGGTTTTTCAGTAGCCAAGTAGGCAGTAGCCAACCAACAAAACCTATTAATAATTGTGACTTACAACATCACCGTTTTTATTACTCATTTCAGTTACCTTTGCCAATTTCCATAAATGTCCTTCCCAAAATCCCACCTCATCATCTTCGCCTGCGATTGTACACCGTCAGGCATGCCTTGCCCGTATAAGAATTTCTTCATACACATTTGAAATGACACTCTTGTCCTCTTGTTCATCTTTTCTTGTCGGTAATGTAATTTGGTGGATAAAATTTGGGTTTGAACTAACGAAATGGGAAATAAGTTGTTTAATTATTAAGTAGCTGCTTACCACATAAGTATTCATAGAAGGGATACATACTTGGAGGGCGGTAAATTTCGCACCAACTTATATAGTCACGTTAGCTACAACAAGCTCATGTATTATTTACGTTTAGATGTCCGTTCGTCTGAAATATTTTTTTACTTAGAACCCGATGTTATTAAAGGTTTCTTTTATATCATTTAAAAAAATGCTTCAATTTTTTATTTATTTATTTATTTTTTTTTAAAAAATCAGATAGGGTAAAGGGGTTGTGAAGTGGTATTGCAAATCGATTTATTAGCTATGGACCTTTTGGCAACAATAAGTTTAACTAAATTCCGTGACCATATTTGATGGTTTCTACTTGCCCGATTAATGCTGTGTTTGTTCTCTATATGCAACTGAAAGGCTGAGCAGCATATTGATCATGTTTGGCTTGCAGTTGTAGTCATGCACTTTAAAAGGCTTGCGATATGAGTAGGTTGGGGACGACAAATTCATTCCTACCGGTTGAATCAATCACCTGAAAAAAGAATGTAAATATATATCTCTGTCAATCGGAATTAGTTGTCACAGGATGCACACATTTAATTATGTTAAACATGACCATGAAGTGAATGTAGTTTTCCATTTTCATTCATGAAAGGTGGAAACTTGAAAACTGAAATTCGATTGAACATTGTTGAAGCAAACCTTCATTGCTCTGATTCATAAATCTTGAAAGCGAATAGCTCATTTCAATTGTGATTTCAACAATAGCATTCAACCAGATACCGATTGGTCCTCCGTAAAATATGATTAAATTCTGCATAATGATCCCCTTTTATGGTATTACTGTAGTTGCAATATTATGATTGTCAATCCTAGTTATTGTTAGCCTCAAACTCATGCACATTAGTCATATTCATTTATTGAAATAATCCTCATAAGCATCACAAGTAAAGGCGTAATAATCAACATTATATTCTTTTTAATACAAAGGGATGCAAAAGTCTAAACGATTACAGTATAACATATCGCGGAAAAGAGAGATCGATATATCATGCTCAAATCACTGGTAATTTGGTACGTGATAATGACTACAATATGACAACAGAGGCGCGGTTCATCTAACAACAAAATATCTTTAGGACTATACGCCCTTAATGATGCAAAATTTTTTTTTGCAAAATTTATCTCCCGATAAGTATGTTTAAGTTTAATACTCTTTTCTCGTAATAATGGTTTAAAATATTGTTTTTCCTTTTTTTTTTAATTTGAAAATGGTAAAAACATTTCAGTTGAGAGGACAAAAAAGACTAAAAATAAGTAAATGATAGTTGGAGTGTTGGAGGGCTAATCAAGGCCTTTTTTTCCCTCTAAGTAAATACCAAAAATAAACTCTGGTGGACTCCAAGGAAAGCGCAAAGAGGTCAACTCTACAGAGATTCCTCGCGGTAATTTTATCTGAAAGGTGGAAACAGATCAACAGATTCACAAGTGTCAGTGACGTTGACTAATGAGGTTAAAATAGTAAATCGAACAATTTGATAACTTATTTAAGTACAAAAACAACATTCACAAACAGGGAAAAAAAGAAAAATACGTAGTTTCATACTTTCGTTTCCTCGTCAATCTGTATATAGTTTCCTTATTCAACTTCAACCACCTCTTTCTCTTTCTTCTATCCTTTTCCTTCTCTTTCTCTCTCTCTCTCTCTCAATTCTTAAAAAAAAAAAAAACTCTTCAAAAACCCATAAAGGAAAATCCCCATATTCCTCTGCTTATATTAACCCAAATACCAAATCAAACTTAAGAGAAAAAAAATCAAAGCTTTCACCAATTTCACCACCTTCCCCCTTCACACACACACACACACATTATTATGAGACTAGAAATAAAACAAAAGGTGGTGGTAGATGCATGAGTAACAACATCAACTACTACAGCCTCCCCACCCCCTCCTCTCCCTATCTGTCAACTCTCATCATCTTCATCTTCAAATCTTCATCCACCTCCTTCCCTTTTTTCCCCCTTTGTAATTTCCTTCATAATTTCAATTTTTCCAGACCCTTTGAAATATTACAAAGCCTAAAAGTTTGATTAGTCATCGCCAGTCAAAATCATCGGTTTCCACGATTCTAAGTCCGATTCCCTTCTTGTACAGGTGCCAACCCATCATCAATCACCCTGGCTTTATTTCACAATGCCTCTGTTTTTTTTATGTGCCGACCCTTTTTGACTTGTCTTCCCTGTTTTTGTTTTGGGCTTTTTTTCTTTCTGGCAAAACTCCTTTTGGGTGATTTATGTTTAATAAAATTTTGTGGGCATTTTGTTAGACACATATTTTTTTGTTTTGGTTTTAAAGGGATAAGTTAAGTTGGGGTGGTTGTTTCTCTTATTCACACATACACACACTGCTTCACAAAAGGTGGTAGGTTGGGGGGGTTGACTTCGTCAGAAGCTTAGAGTCATTCGGTCAATCTTCTGTGTGTGTATTGAGGGGATTTGATTGTCTTGGTTGGATGTGTTTCTGGGTGAATTTCTGTTCTCACTCCGATGATCATCATATTATTTGGTCAACTTTTGGGGATGAATCGATTGGCCTGGAGTGAATAGTGTCTTCGAATAGCTTTCGCCACCTTTAGTCTTGAAATCCTTCCCAATTTGATACCTTTTTGGAGTTAAAAAGATGGAACTTTGCCCACATATAGGAGATTAGAAATCATTGCATGAAAAAGGTTCTTTTTCTTGGCCATCTTTTGCAAGCGTCTTGACTTCTGTTCTGGTCCTCCCGTTATCATATGTTGCTTCCTTTGATCCGTTGAATCACTTCTGTGTAGACTAGGAATCTTTGGTCTCCCCTTCTTGTAGGAACGGAAGGTTGGGAATCTGGTGTTTATTATGAAGTTACAGTGGGCCGAAAAATGGCATCGGGAAACTGTGCTATTGAATTGTTTGAATCTGTTGGTGGCTTTTGGTTTCCGTTCGCTTCCCTTCGGTGGCAAAAGGGTTGAGATAGTAACAGCGCATACTGCCACCTTTTGCTAGAATCAATGGAAACACGGGCGAAGCTAACTCGACATCCATATTGGGAATATCTTAGTTACTTTAAGGTCTTCTGAAATAGGCAGACCTGTATCTTTGTCACCCCTTCAAAAACTTGATTGTCTTTGTTCTAGGAATCCTGTCATAGTTGCCTCTCTCCCTTGATGTACTTTCTTTAAGTTTTGCGAGGATACCGTCTGAAACTTGAGATTTCCTGCTTTAGTGAATGGCATAATGTCGAGTAGTCTTTCTGCATTCCCTCCTTATACATTGTTGAATCTTAAAGTTTGCTTCTTCATTTTTCCATCTGCTAGTATTTGACTTCCTCGTCTCGTGTATTTGTTGCTGTCTTGCTGAGTACTCTAGTTTTCTTAGCTTCCTTCATCCTATTACTAGTTAGTGATCCTTCTGTTTTGCATTTATTGATATTTGATTTTTGCTGAATTTCAAAGTTTCTGTCTTGTTTAGGGATATTGAAGGTAAGCATGGTGAGTATTCGTCGACGCAAACTTTTAGTCAAGTGTCCTGGTAAGCCAACCTGAACTGTTGTGTTTGATTTTGCACTATTTCATTGTAACAAACTGTGTTTAGCTATCAAGAAAATTATGTTAGCGACATTGTTGGTTTCAGCTGAGGTTTAGATGCCCTGCATTTGGGTAATGCTGATAGTGTTTCTACTATTTCAGAAAAAAGAGATCAGTTATGTTTAGTGTCTAGTTTTTTAATGCTCGGCTCACAACTCAGCAAAAATGTTTCAATGACTATTGCAGGGCTGAGAAATTCCTTTCTGGCACCCCTGCCCAAGTTTTCTGAGATAGGGTACACTCCTGAAATCACAAAACCAGTCACAGTTCATCCTTTACCTTCTAGTGATATGGAGGAATCAGAGGAGGTATTAGTCTTCTTGAAATTCTCTTCCAGTTTACTTGGTCCATGAATTTGTCTTCTGCATTGTGCTTGTTTATTGTTGATCATGCATAATACCTTAATATAACACAATGCAGGGGGTTTAATACCGAGCCTTGTGTCTGAAAGTATCTCAATTAAAGAGTGGCATAAAAATGTTCTAGGCATTGTAGTAACCTTTGATGGATCATGACATTTGTGGAAAGGAAATAGAAGTGATTGGAAAACACACAATAACAGGATTGATCTTTCGTGCCTTGGGCAGTCTTGTACTTTGGAACTGTGGAATATCCCTGACCACATTTTTGTTAACTTTGACTGGAATTTGATTAGGTCTTCACTCATTTCTGAAATGTCTGTTGCATTAACCACATGTTTAAATTTTACTGTCGTACACATAAGAAACATTAATGAAACTTTCATGGAGTGCTCAACATTTCTGCAAATGAAAGACTTCTTGATCTTGTACTGATGACATAAACAATTTCCTTACAATTCATGCTTTCAGAAACCTTCCCCACTTAAGGGACACGAAGCATCGGAGATGCCTGCTTTAAAATCACAAGAGGAGCAACATACTCTGACATTCCCAGGTTCTTTCCTCAACTTTTGACACTGGTATAAATGATGTAATTCCTGTGAATAAGCACCATGGTTGTGTGTATAATTGACTCAATATCTGAAAGCAAGCTTTATGATTTTGTAATATTTCCTATGCCTATGCTGTTTAGCATGACACTGAAGGGGAAATTGAAATCCAACCTTAACTCTTTTGGTTCACTAGTGCTTTATCCTTGTATAATCACACTGAAATACCAGATGATTTCCTCCTCGGTTACTTTTTTGTTTTAAGTCCCTTAAGACTTAAATCAATCTACCACTGCAGAAGTAAAACGAAGGAAGCGACACAGAAGAAAGCATTTCGAAAATCAAGAAGCATGCGTGATGAGAGGGGTGTATTTTAAGAATATGAAATGGCAAGCAGCTATTAAAGTGGACAAGAAGCAAATCCACTTAGGAACAGTTGGTTCTCAAGAAGAAGCAGCTCGATTGTATGACAGGTAAAAGCTAATTAACATTTCAATCATAAATGAATTCAAAGGAGCCACAAATAATTTTGATCACATCATATAGCTAAATGTCATGTCGAAATTTTGCAGGGCAGCTTTTATGTGCGGCAGAGAACCCAATTTTGAACTCTCGGAGGAGGAGAAGCGGGAGCTTCGGAAATTTAAATGGGAGGAATTCTTAGAAATGACTCGTTCTGCTATTACTCACAAAAGTAAGTGTTCTTGCAAGTTGCAAATGAAATTCTTAACTCTTAACCGTGCGCATAACCTGTGTTCCATTAGTGTGAAACGTTGTAGTTTCATTACTATTGGTAGTTATTCGTTTCAAGTTAAAAGCATTGTTGCTATAGATAACAAAATGATTTCTTTTGCAAATGGAACATGAATGGTACAAAAAGGGAAGGAGAAAACGAGAAAAGGATCTATCTCATCTCGTCTCCTTGTTTGTACTATTCTAAGGACATCAAACTATGTAACCTTCTGTCATTATCTGGGTTGTTTCCTTTTTTTGGTTTATTCATTCATCAAATTTATCAAAATCTGCAGAACACCACAGAAGGGCTGGAGTAGGGCCCCGAAGAAAATCCGATGCATTGTCTTCTAAAGGTGAGTGGGAAAGCGAGCAAGCAGGCAATAATCCCTCAGGTTCAGAAGACGTGCCAGAAGAACTAGATTCATCGGATTCGTGAAACAACATGTTGCCACCTTAAAAAGGAAAAACAAACAGAAACGCGAAAATAGAATTGCAAATTAATTATAATCTGCAGCTATATATATAATTTTTTTGACCCCAAAGCTCCTATTATGGGAGCTAATAAGGGATGAAGATGCTGCAGATTGTTAGTATCATCTTCATTTTTTTAATAGAAATGATTTTAGTTCACCATTCATTGTTATATTATTTACTTCCTGTGTCTTAAACAGAACAATTATTTTTGGGACGAAGGAATATGAATACAATGATAGTGGTATGAATCATTGAGTTAATTATATTTTATATTTTACTACACTAGAATCAAATTGTACTTCAACTTGGGAACAAGAACGCAAGCGATTGCACTGGCAGGTCACACCTTAGACTCATGATCAACCAAAAAGGAGGGCATAATCCATGAAACCAAGTTTCCAGATTCCAACCAAACGAAAAAACAGAAACGGATCCTTCCTTCGTTTTCCTATTGGTTGGTACACACATACACATAGTAGTAGGACTAGGACCGGTTCCCCCCAATGTATTTTGCGTTGTGTAGTGGAAAGAAAGGTCAAATACCCAAAAATAAAATAAAATAATAATAATAAAAGAAAAAAAAAAGAAGAAGAAAACCGTGATTACATCTCGTACATCTTGTTCTCATTCCTGAGGATGAGAACAGACAAGTAATTATTCCAAATTTCCAATGCTTGCAATCAATTTGAGTGAGATACTTGTTTCACCGTTCACTAAAAATTACCATATGGTTCATGGGTTATTTTATTTTATATATATATATATATATATATATATATATATATATAGTTCATGGTTTAGGGGTTTGTTTCTCATCTTTTACACCTTTGTAATATTGGCCATCCGATTATCCAATTTTCCACTACCATCAAAGATATTTTATTGAGTATTCAAACATAAATTTTGTGAACCCGTTCAGTAATTTTATTTTATTTTAAATATAAGAGTCAAAAGTCACCTTAGGTGAAACCTAATTTATCTTGATGGATTAGGGATTCCAAATCCGGCAGACGATTGCCGATCGGAGAAAAATTGAATTCCCAAGAGAATCGAAAAACCTAATTTGGCTAGACTATCTGCTAAACTATTAGCATCTCGAATGTGAACCCATTTAGTATGGATTTAACTTCTGTCTCAAATCAATTATATTCGATTTATTGAAGTTGATTCACAAATATGTTGAGCTCACCTGATACTGATAGATACAAATAATGAGTTAGTCAGTGATTATTGATTTGAGATCTCATTCAAGCATCTCATAGGAGAGTGTCAAATAACATTTTTATCTTGGAATCAAAAGGTGCTAATTGAACACATTACGCTTAATCAGCGTAGTAATATCGAACAACGGATTAGTACTGCACCAAAAAGATCAAACTGAAACACAAAGTACTACTAGGAAGCATACTAAACTGTAGCCGTAAGCAGAACAAACTAAAAGAGCAACAGGACCTTTGCACTTCTTATCTTCCAGAACAAGGAATTCCTGCTACTTAGAACTAAATACTTGACCAAAAATAATTCACTCCCACTAATGTTAACAGACAAGGAAGTTCCGAATTCATTTCCTACAATATTTTTGCCGAATCTCATAAGAACCACCTAAATAACAGACAAACTGTCATTTGTCAAAAGGTAAGGAAGAGCTTCCTAAAGCAAGTTATAAGATGCCTTTAAACATTAGAAGTGATTACATGATATTAGGGCCATTGCCTAAATCAATGGCTTCATCTCCTTTATAGAAGGGCGGGCGTTGGTATTCTTAAATTAATATACTTATCTTAAACTATAATTAAATACTCCCTCTGTCCCAAAATTATTGTCCAGTTTGAGATTTCAATTTTAATACAATTTAAACTAAAAATGAAAACTCAAATTGGACAATAATTATGGGACGGAAGGAGTACTTTAAAACACTATTGTTGACTATTATCATAAAAAAGATTCATAAAAATTAAGTCTTTTTAATTATTAATATATTTTTTTAACTATATATTATTTATTACGTTGTAATGACGTCATCCGAGTCGACTCCCGAGTCGACTCTTAAAACTCCTGAATCCTATCCTCACCGAGTCATTATCCGAGCCGAGTCTAACAATATTGGTCCTAACTTTGTTAGAGAATCCGCGGATTCGTTGCCATTCCGTCCCATAGCAAAAGCTCAACTGAATAATGAAAACCCATAAGAAAGTAGTACCTTGTTCAAAGATCGAAACTATTGGGCCTAATATTCCCCATTTCCATACGAATTGGCCCAAAATTGTACAACAAACGAACAGCAAAAGAACGTCTTCAACCTTTTCTCTACCTCGGCCAGGAGTAACACATACGGGTCGGGTTCGTGATCTGCCGAATATGGCCTCGGAAGCTACCGGAGACAATTCCGTCCCGGAGGTTATTACCTACCCTTCATCGTGGGATATATGGAAGAGCCGGATAATAGTCCCTTCTTTATTGGCTGGTATGTTTCCGGCATCTATCGGCGGTTTGACGAGAAATGCTAAAACCCTGATTTTATTTCTGAATATTTTCTTTTCGAGTTCTTTTAATCTTTTTTATGGCATTATTAATGTCATCCATCTATAGGGATCGCTGGTGGAGGAGTAGGACTGGTATCCAGGCACCGGAAAGTTCATGGCCTTGCCAAGATTTCTGCTACTTATGCAACTAATTTCGCCATCGTCACCGGTTGTTACTGCGGTAAGGGCTTACATTTTTTGAATAAACTCTGGATTCGATCATGGAATGGATCATATATGAATTTTGAACTTGAAGTTTCTGGAAATTTTTGACGATCTTGCTGTGATATTGAAATGTTGGATGTTTCTTTTATACTATAATGGTAAAGCTTTAGCAGTAGAATTTTTGGTTTCAGTGGCAGCTTGGAGTTTTATTCCTCTGCTCGAGATCAAAATTTGTTTATTGTAATCTGTAATTTGAAATATCAAAGCTTCTTTGAAGGCTTTTATTTACTCTTTCACATTGGTTGTTGCTTTCCTGTGTCTTGATTAGCTTGATTTCATTCTCCCTTTCTGAGATACACTTGCCCTTGAAAAATACTTAGGTGCTCGGGAGTTTGTAAGAATTAATCGAACTGGAAAACCTGATGATTTGCTCAACTCAGTCATTGGAGGTTTTGGCAGCGGTGCTATTCTTGGACGCCTTCAAGGTAGGCAATTGTTGATATTCTGTCTTCTTCTTCTTCTTATTATTAGAAGTACTTCCTCGCTTTATCAGTAGTACATCTGTATAAGTGGTGTGTCGTACAGAATTCCATTAAAGGTGATTATAGGTTGGGACATTTTGGACTTCCTGAAATGTCTTGAGGTTTCAAGAAGACAGTATTCTTTTCATTAAAATGTGAGTTAAAAGGCTTCTGAATCTATTGTAGGTGGTCCAGTAGCTGCTGCTCGTTATTCCATATTATTTGCTGTTGTTGGAACTTCAGTCGATTATGCTACTATCAAGCTCAAGCCCATCCTGAGTGATTATTACAAGACCATGGTTGGGGAGGGTGATAAGAAACAAGATTGGTTGAAGTTACCAGAATGGTCACCAATTCAAGTTCTTGACGAGGAAGCACTCGCAGCTAAACGCGAGAGGGAAGAACAGCTTTATAGAAAAGTCCACAATTTGAACAAGGAAGAAACTTAAGAATGCTTGCCTCAGTTCTCGCCCTCAAGTTGTTCCAACGATTGTGTCTTTTGTCCTTCGGCTTCTTTCATTCACGGATAAGTGACTCTGTACAAGCTTATAGGTAGATGATGATGAGCCCCATTGCAAGTGTATCCTTTTGTTTTACTACCTGCTATTAGGAAGCATCGATTTTGATTTACGTTCTCAGGTCTTTTAGATGTTCAGAGTCTGATAGTTCGAGAATCCTAGACTGTGGGAAAGCCAGATGATTTGGCATTTCAGATATTTGGAAACATCTGAAAATGCATATGATTCAAAATGAAGAGCCATGTTCTATTCCTTTCACGTAGTGCAACCGTTCTGTGATAGAATCACTATAAATTATGCATCATAGTTATCTTATGACAGGTTGGAGCACATTAAGAGATGGCCAATTATGTTGAAAAATATCAAGTTGGGGAGGGCTGTTAAACCATTTGTAAACCTGTCACTACCACTGTTTAAACATTGAATCGGGTGACCACAAAAATAAAGATCTCATATCACATATCACTAGTTTCAGAAAACACCGAGAAGAAACAAATGATGGTTGCATCCAACTCCAACTAGGCATTTACATGTATCTAATCAGGGTCCTAAAGTTACCACAATCTACGCATTGGATGGATGCATCCATCTTTAACATTCCGAAACTCATACAAAAAACCAGATATGTAGTTGACACCTCATGAAAGCAATGAAACAAGGGAGACAAACTCCAAAGTCACCCGCCCCTTCGACCTTGTGTTGATAACAAAATGCTCTGGATATTTCCGCAACAGCATAAGCAATCCATACCAAGGCTTTGCCTTGGCTTCAGGACTAGAATAATCATCAGATGTCAGGTATCTCCTTACCCGACTGTGATGCCAAACATTAGTGTACTTCTCCAACAACTGCATAGAAAAAGGACCAATATTTAGATAACTATTCAAAGCATCCAGTACTAACCATGCACAGATTCATACGCTACATCTACAAAATAACAAAGCAATGATGCAAGTATCTTTAGTCTCGCCAAAGCCAGCCTAATTCTTAACCACTAGAATATAGAAAGCAGAAGTATTAATTTATTGATCACTATATTCAATTATCCAACAGAGACATCATACTTATGTCTCAGGATGCACTACAAGAGTCTCCGAGGTTTAATTTTGGACAAGAAATTCTTTTCTACAGGAGAAATATATACTGGTTATCCACAATAAATAAACTATAGCCATCTAGATATACAGCTTATCGCCTCAGTCTACCTTTACACATTTGAGCCAATCAAAAGAAACAAAAGCTAACCAGGGTACAAGAAACAGCAGCTAATCAGATTATCTTGAACAGCAAGAACAATCCCATCAGACCAAAAAATGCAAGCTTACATTCTTAGCTACTAAGGAGAGAAGAGGCAATTTAATAAATAATGATCCAGTCTTTTAAGCCTCAAGCAACGTGAGATAATTCAGACTCCTTATGACATTATACTGAACAAGTAATCTACATATGGCATATTCGTCTGGTGCATGCAAGAGAACTTTCTTAGTTGCTTAACAACAAAAAACCACAGAATTAACAAATGCCCAATTCTCTGAAAAAAAAAACAAAAAAAACTAGGATGTGTTCTCCGGCTGAGGCGAGGCTGCTCTCAGTTCTTCACCTAACCTAATGCGTGGTCAGAAGGTACTTGAAGGTCAAAGCCGATTATAGAGAGCTAGAGGATCATTCTTGCAGTTTAAATGGAACTTACAAACGGGTACATGTACAAGCACTGTATTTCATATTTATACCTCTGAGTGAAGCTTCTCCATTGGCATCCAATCCCCAGGACCACACATATCAGAGAGCACATTAGCAACAGATATTACGACATCCTTTTCTTCCAACTGAAGAAGCTGTTGGTTGTCAGAGTCCCTATCAACACGAGATCTTCCCTCCAGCTTTTTATCTGAAGAAACAGGTCAGCCAAAGATTTAGAAACTAAAACCACCAGAATTCAACAAGAGAACATAAAACTATTCACGCTCCCACGAAGTATGATCCATAATGTAGACTACGTTGTGAAAAATACAGAATTAGGCTCTTCCCAATACTAATTCAAAGAGAAAAGAAAAGTGCGCTGAAGATACACTTCAAATGATAGGCATGCGAAATACACATACCCAACAATGAAAGCAACTCTAGAACACACTGGTGTCAGCAAAGTAGATCACAACTAAGCATTGCAAATTTAAAGCAGTTCAAACCTACAGAGTTTGACAGCACTCATGAAATGCATCACTAACACCCACAAGTAACAAACTTTCAGAAAATCGGCAGCAATAGCAACAGCAAAAACCAGTGGGTTTGATAGTTTTACAGTAAGTACATCACCAAGCGGCTACGAGCATAGCATAAAGCATCAAACTTGCTCATCTCAGAGCGCACATAATATCTAAAGCAACTCAATTGAAAAGGCATGCACTTAAAATATTTCAATTTCAAAAAGAATACCAGCAATTAACACAAAGGTTACTTAGTCCATAAATTATCCACATTCTTAAACTTGTAAAAATCCATTACTCAACAGATATTCCAGGAGAAAGTTACTCACCCAAATGCCCTGCTTTTCCACCGGAGCTCCCAGAACCATATCCATACCCAGCTCCATCAATTCCGTCAACTCGACGAATCTTTTTACCCCCAGTACCAGCGGAAACAGCGTCTTCCCCGCCATCCTCCTCATAGTCTTCCTCGTAATACTCCCTTCCTCTAGCATGCCCTTTCTTCCCCATCGCCCCAGGTGGCGGAGGCAATCCAGAATGGTGCTGACCATGATGAGGGACAGGCGTCGCCGGAGAGCCACCAGCAACGGCGGGGGGATAATTGACGTTGACACCAACGTGATGCCTAGGGCCAATTGGGCCACCAAGAATACTCCTCACCGGCAACAAGAAATAAAATTCCTTGTCTCCGATCTGGAGAAGGTCTTGCGAATCGAGCTTAACCGGAGGGTTACCCGGGAGATGAAGCACGCCCTCCACAAAACACCCATTCTTCCCAAGAACTTCAAGGGCAAAACGCCGGCGTTGGAAGTCGTAAAAGATACGGGCATGGTGGCGAGAGATGTTCATACCCCCGCCTAAGGAGGAGAGGTCAACATCGACGGTGGATTTCTTGGAATTTCGGCCCAGTACGATGGAGTAGGTTTGCATATAGTACTCAAAGTCTTCGCCTTGCAATTTGGCGAATCCGGCTTCGACGTCGCTGCCGCCGCCGCTGCTTCCCATCTTTTGTTTGGTTTCCGGTTGTTCTGTTTGCTAGGGTTAACGGGGTTTCTTCGATTGTGGTTTGAACTAAGGGTAGAGAGATCGTCTTGGATGAATTGAATTACTCAACCAATAAGATACATACATACATAGAGCATATACATGATGGATTACGGATTTTGTTAAAAGGGGATTGTGGAAAACAGATGAACACTCAAACTCTGGCGAAATTACTTTTTCCCAATTCTAGATTTCTATTTTCTTATTTCCCTATTATTATTATTATTATTATTTTAGTAGTATTGTAAATTAGGTTTAATTGATCAATAGTAGTATCATATAGCAAAAAACGATAAGACATTATTGATCACATTCTGCTTTTACAAATCTTCTAGTGCCAAAAACAATGTGTACAAATACTGGCAAATCCATAATGTTTCCATGTTTGAAGCTAGTATCTCTGCCACAACTCTGATTATAACTACAACTTTCTTCTTCTTCTTCTTCTTCTTCTTCTTCTTCTTCTTCTTTTTTCAATTATTTCGTGATTCAGAATAATAATGGTAAATTATAATTCCATCCTTACCATGTCACTGGTTCAAATTTGAGACCCAAAAAGAGAAGAATTGCAAGAAAACAAACTCTCTTATTAAGGTTAAAATTCTTCTTTTTTTGTAACATTATAATGTCATTCGAAGAAAGTTTGTAATGTCATTGATAAAATAGTTCATTTCATGATTCAAAGACAGAAATAATTTCAAGATATACGAACATCATACAAAAACATCATAAGAGGAAGAAGAAGAACAAAGGTAACCAGAGGAATTTAACTACGACTATTGGGCTACGTACAAGCCCATTTAAAAATAAAGCATAAAGCCCAGTAAGGGCTTAACCGCCCAAATAAATCACACAAGAGTTCCGGGGCGCGACGTAAAGCATAAACGCCTCTCCTCTCTCAAAGTCAGCCGGGTTTTAGACAGCCAGAGAGAAACAAACCAGCGAAACCCTCAGAAGAGCTCGAAGATGATTATCCCCGTGCGTTGTTTCACCTGCGGCAAGGTGAATCCTAGCTTATTGAACTACTTTTATTTCTTGGTCTTTTCGAATTCTTTATCTTTGCCTTTGAATTTCTCCGTTGTGCGTTTTGGGTGGCTTGAATTTGGGATGTTTGAGAAACAAGGATTAACTGTATTTTTGGTTTGGAATTTCAGGTGATCGGGAACAAGTGGGACACCTACCTCGATCTTCTTCAGGCTGATTACACTGAAGGGTAAGGATAATTTGTTCATTTATGCGTGATAATTCGACTTTCTTAGGCTCTTAGGGTTTTGATGAGGCCGGTGTGTTTCCTAACCTTTCCCGCTACTAATCAGTTTGACAGACATCTTTAGCATCTGTTTGATGTTGGCAGCTTCCCATATGTTTATCCGTTTCTCTTTGGATTTGGGTTTTCGTTTTTCAGCTAGCATTCTTAGCTTATTCGTCTTGTAACTATTAGAATCTGTCTGCGTGATTTTGAGGAAGGATTATTAGAAGATCATTATGTTGTAAAGGGACTACGCGTGATCAATTTTCAATCTGTTTGCTGGTGTTAATTGAATTATAAGTTTGTCGCTATGGCTACTGTAGCCCTTTAATCTGTGCCTTCCTCGTCTAAGTTTTAGTGTTTATCAGCTTCGAGAAAGTTTTGTACTTTTTTTTGGTACTTAATACTTATATAATTCATTGTGAAGAACTGGAACTTACATTCGAATAGGAGGATGTTGGATGTAGTAGAAAACTCCCAAAGGATGATCATATATCTGCTTTGTGGATTATCCAAGATTAGATGAAGATACTCTAATTTGTGATGCCAGGCTTGCCCGCCTTATATTTCTAATGTCTATGCCAATCTCTTATACTTATTATCTGAAACATTTAGCCTTCTTGCTGCATTTGGTTATTTTGCTAAACAATAGATTGCTGCAGTTAATCCAAGACTGAAAATTGTTAGAATGTTTGAGGTAAAAACGTGGTTCAATTCGACTTTTTTTGTGATGCCCACTTTCTTGACCTTGTCAATTTAACTAGCCCATCTCCTTTGCACACGTCTGCAAGTGCCATGTAGGATTTCTTGTAAGCTTGAAAGAGTATGTGGACTTGACCTCTTAATCTTTTTACTATGCAGAGATGCTCTTGATGCGTTAAGTTTGGTTCGTTATTGCTGCCGTAGGATGCTGATGACTCATGTGGATTTGATTGAAAAGCTTCTGAACTACAACAGTGAGTTCTCTCCCACTCTGTGTGTGATGGTTGTATTTTTGAGTTCATGCCATGTCTACTTCTCCTTATTCTTCTAGTCCATGGGATGACTTGAGAAATCTGCGTTGTGGTTTTTGTCTGTGCTTGTTCACTGTAGTAATTTGACAGGAGTTGAGTTCTCGTCTGTTGGTTTCTTTTATTGACCCATCCTTTCGAGAACTCAACTAATTGTGCTGATTTGTTCATTTTTGTAAAAAAAAAAAATCCTTGAACCAAAATCCATTTTACATTTTCCTTTTGTTTTGCAGCATTGGAGAAATCCGAGGGCTGTTGATGGGCGTGAAACCCTTTATTGAGAAGTTCAATGGCTGTTGATGGTAGTGAAACCCGTTAACGGGGCGAGTAAGACGTTGGTAGGTAGAAGGTTACTAGTTACGTGTGGCCAGATATAAGATATGCACTTGTGAACTTGTCGTGGAGGTATTTTGTAGCTTAAATGTGAGACTGGTACAACATTCATGTGTATGTGAGATCTGGCTTCTATATCGTGTGCTGTGAAGTATTTGTGTATTTGCAACTGAAACTAAACCTAATCCTAAAACTTTTGGTGTTGCATTTAGCATCTATCGACCTTTAGATTTGTCTCAGTTTGCTGTCATATACAGTATATGTACGATTGCTGTAATGAGAAGACAGTTAGGAACAGATCACATCTTTCTCGAGTTTATACTGGTTAGATGGATACCTGGATCCCATCTTATTACGTTAATTTTGCCTAAATCGACCTCCCAGGTACCTAAAACCTGTAAGGTTCTCTTTCATTCGTTTGGGTTTGGAATGATTACTTCTAGCTGAAATGAATAGAGCCTAGTAACAACAACTCAGTGATCCCAAAATACGCTTCTGGCAATGGATCGGTTTTATCAGTGATTGAATAAAGCCGGATAGGCAGATACAAGAATGATTCCATTGTGTACACGTGAGGGTTGACTGCGGCTTGAAAATTGTTACAACTGAATAATGCAACTGTAAAATATTCCTGTAAAAGCATATGAACATATGAATTGGTTTGCGCCGATAATCTTAAATTGGAATGAAAGATGCAGATGTCAGTCAATATAGAAGGAGTTGAGCTTTCCCATGGGATGGGGTCTGTTGACATGTGACATGTTGGTTTAAATCATCAATTTCCTTTGATAGGACCGACCTAAGAACGTGTGTGCAACTTACCCTTCTTCTTCTAGCTTTTTTTTTTCTTCTCTAAACCCTCCAAGAACATGATTATGATTAGTCTTATGGTTCCTTTCAGTTTCGTTGGACATGATATGCTACTTTTGATTCAATCATAATCATATGAAAGCAGTCGCACAAGCATATTACTCGTTGCACATTTCCAATCCCATTGGCTAAGATATAATTTTGCTGTAAATAACAATCAAAACTGATCAAATCTAATGTTGAGATGATGACAGGAGAGGAAGCAACGATACCTTTGGTTTCAACTCTCAACCATCTTCCAATTCCCCTCCAAGAAGATTCCTACTCTATATTTTATCCTACCTAAACAGTAAAACTATCAAATCCAATAAAAGTTGTACATTTAACGGTAATTCTACTAAGGGACCAATTAACAATCCCCCGTTGTAAAATAAAAAGTCTACAACAATATGGATTTTACCTCGGTAAATCAATGATTGTGTTAATTGGAATTTGCTATTACCATTGTGTTTCTCTATCAATGGACCAATTTACATTCATGCCTCCAAATAAGAGTTTTGATGGTGAGCAAAAGGACATGCTCAATCCTTCAAATGCATTAATCTAGTTCCTTAACTTGCCTCCCCTTTAGTTAGGTACCACGCACATTAAGAGCCTCACTTCAACAAGTAAAGAATAGCACCATATTCACTCTTTCCACTTTCAATTTGATGGATGGATCCATCGTCCATGAATACAAAATGCTGCTTGATCCATCAATGCCAAAGCTTACCTCAGAAATCCCTTCATTCCCACCATTGGAAAATAGTCAAATAGTATCCTCATTAAATAATTTTTTCCCATCATTATTAGCCTACCACTAAGATAGTTAGATCCCACAAATGCAAACAAATTTTAAACAACCAGTTCATAGCTGTCTGAAAACCAAATTCAGCATTTTCATTTACATAGATTTCATTTATTATTATAGTACCTTCTTTAGTCCAATGAATCACATTTCCTCAATAATCATTGTTTCAAATTTTCAAGCCCTTTATTTCCTCCCAGTTTAAGTGAGGTGTTTGGCTACTTGGCTTTGCAATTTGCATCCTGTCAAATAGTAGTCTTTAACTCCTTCTCTTGAACTTCGTTCCCTTTTAGCTTCCTCAAAAATTGTACAGACAGAGACTCAAAGTCACAATTCTTCCCTAAATTTCGGATAGAATAAGGTTTAATGTAATTCCGTTCCGTTTCGGGTTCTCTGTTTCAGTTCACTTTTTTTCTTGAATTTTGAATACATAATGCTTCTGGGTTCAGGCCCAGAAGTGAAATAAAGTACTTATCTTTGCTTTAGCAGAAGAAAACTATCGGAAAGATGAACTGCATTATCAGTTAGTATTGTTCTGGATCTAAAACCCCAATACTTCAAAACGATTTCTTGGGGTTTATTTTCCGCATTGATTGTTTTGGAAGTGGGAGGAAGAGCAGTAATGGGGGTGTTAAGAGAGTCGTGGTGCTTCTGTAACGGCGGCGGGAAGTCGGAGAGAATGAAAGCTGCTATTTTTTCCGGCAAAGGCAATTCCATGGCTAGAATTGGAGCTGCCGGCACCGGCTTTCTTATCCACCGGAACCTCCTCCTCACGACTCATGCCAACCTTCCGTCTGTCTCCTCAGCTGAGACAGCTGAGATCCGCCTTCAGAACGGCGTCGCTGCTCGACTTTTTCCTCATAGGTTAGCTTCTACTTACTGCTGCATTTTCTGCTTTTAATTCACATCATAAGTTACTTGGGAATGCTCTTTGAGATGGATTTGTAATTTGCATATTAGTTTTAATTGGCATCCGAAATGTCGGCGGTATGTACTCATCAGTATTTGAATTGTATTTAGAGAAAGGTTGGGTTTTTCATACTTCAATCTGGTTGACAACACCCTGATATAGAAATGCTTAAAAATTTGAATTGTATACATAAAGGTTGGATTTTTCGTTGTTCAATCAGTTGACACAGACCTGATATAGAAATGCTAGAGAAAGAGACACTGACATGTAATTTAGTTATACCATTTGTCTTTGATTGATTGCCTTGTTAGGGGGGGAATATATTGAAATTCAAACAACAACCACCTAAGCCGCGATCCTTCATTTGGTTCTCTGTCAAATACACATTCTCGTTTAGTTCTAGACTGATATCAAGCTATGATAATTCAGAGGTTGCATTTTTTGTGCTTATGATTTGGCGAGTATATTAGATGAACAAAGTAAAATAATTGATATACGAGTACGACTGAGAACCAAGATAAAGCCTTTTTTATTGGCAGGCCTCCTTTTCTGCAATAATTTTAACATGTGTAAGAGATTGCAACTATTTTCTTTAGATGTGCAAGCTTGAGTAAGAGTAACAAAGTAATCTGAAATGCAACTTTATAGGAGTATTGATATTACAAGTGAAATCAGCATTCATGAACTTCTGAATATGCACAGTGCCTGTGACAGTCTTAGTAGTATATGTTTGTCTCTTGTCAGATGTAATGCATTTGTGCCAGTAAAAATGCAACTTGATGTACATGGTGGATGGCATTTTTGTAACCACCTCAGTAATTTGAAGTTCTATATGCCTCTGAGGTGTTTTTGTGAATTATGGCCTCAGTTCCTGATAGTTATTTCCCGTTTGATGCCAGGTTTTTCATAACCAGCTCTGTTCTTGATCTGACTATAGTGGGTCTTGATGCTATTGATGGAGACACAAATGCATTGGTTCCTAACACTCACCACTTGAGGAGTTCTAATCCAAATTTGGTCCTGGGCAGTGTAGTGTATCTCTTAGGATGTACGGAGGAGAGGAAGTTGACAGTAGGGGAAGGAAAGGTGGTAATAGCTACTGATAATCTGATCAAGTTATGTACAGATGGAGTGACTTGGAGCCCTGGTTCTGCTGGTTTTGATGTTCATGGAAACCTTGCATTCATGGTCTGTGATCCGATGAAGCTAGCAACATCTCCAAATACAAAGTCCAATTCAACCTCTTCCTCCTCATCATCCTCACGGAAAAGGGATCTTGCCATGCAGTTTGGTATTCCCATTCCAATCATCTGGGATTGGTTGAACCAGCATTGGGAAGGCAACCTAGATGAACTGAACAAGCCAAAGTTACCACTAATGCATTTGATGTCTACTGGACAGAAGAGTGAACATTCTTGTGCCTCCTTCACAATGCGGCAAGTCTTCAAGTCACCAGAAACTGAAAATGAAGGAACTTCGACCTCATCAGTCATAATGTCAAAATGTAAAGAGGAGTTTGGGCCTAGTGGTGCGAATAACTCCGAAAATGGCACCTGTAATCCCGATCATCCAACTGCTAACGACATGCATGGAATTCTGACACCAGAAATCAACGAGTCTCCAAAGATAACATCAATGGTTAGGAAAAAGGAAAGCACCCAGATTCAGCTTTTGGATATCAATTTTCCACCAAGGATAGCTAGAGTAATAACCTCGCAGCAGCCTACCAACAGGATACAGCCAAACTCGGATGAAAATAATGTCAGAGAATCACCATTGCTGCATCCAACGGGCGAAGAAAGATTAAGTGACAAAGAACATTCTGGTCTTCTGGATGATGCCGAGGTTGCCTCAACAGGGTCTGTGAATGGTGCAGCTCGGAGTGAGGTCCAATCCAGTTCATCCCCAGTGGCAGTTTCTGAGGCGCACCATGAGTATAGTAGTGAGGGAGAAACTACCATGTATTCAGCTGAAACTGCAGAGAGCCGTAACTTTCCAAGCCCTAAGGAGGGAAGATTTCACCAGGTGGGAAGGAGTCAGAGTTGTGTGAACTACAACAGATGGGGGCCCGCTCAAAAACATCCTGCTGCTCGCGGAACAATGTATGAGAAACAGAGAAGCTTTATGCAACCAAGAAAGGTGCATTCCCAAGGCACAGCTTCTCGAAGAAGTAATGACTATTACAGTCCAACCGTTTCTTCAGTTATGAAGAAGCGGAACAACTTGGATCAGCAGCCAACTAGACCACGCCAAAGTGCAGTGCATTCATCGCCGAGATGGAATTTCTGACCTCAATGAAAGATCAGTGTTCTCTATCAGTTCCACATCTTTACTGTCTTTGTCTACACTGTAACTAATTTTTGTGACGAAAAACCTGTGCAGAACATATGAAGGATAGAAATAAAAACAAAGGAGTAATATATTCGGCAGCTACGTAGAAAAAGAGAAGTGATTTATTTTTCAGAAATGGTAAAATTGATAGTTTCATCTTCAAAGCAAGTAAGCAGCTCTACTTCATTCATGTTCTATTTTTGTGGCTTGCAATCCATCTAGATGCATGAGGAAGAAGTGGGCCGCGAAAAAATTCCTAGGGCATGAATGAGAGGTCAGATTTTGTTTCGGAAATGCCTTTTTTTTTTTTTTGGCTGGTGAAAAACTAGGAAAAGAAAGCCCTAGGTAGTTTCTACTGTATCTACTGCTTCTATTACTAGTAGATTTCTACCTCATCGTTTGGACCCCTAACTCAGCGACTATATTGGTGTAAATAGTGGTTAGGAAAATTTCATCGTGATCAATACATACCATATTCGTATTTCTTAGAAGGCATTATGTGAAATGATGGAAAATGTACTTAATCGGAAAAGATGCTGTTCAATCTCTTACAACTCAAACCGCAAATACTTCAATAAAAGAATATGATTCTTTAATAGCATTATTTACATCAACTTGCTCTCAGAAGAAAAAGAACAAAACTTCATAAGGGAATAAGAACAAAACTTCATAAGGAATACTGCAAATACATAGCTTTATTGTACTTACACACTCAATATCAAATATCAAAATTGAATTATCTGTAATTTTGTATATAGGATGATCAGCAAGAATCCCAGTTCAGGTGGAAAATTGGGACACCAGTTGAACTGAGATTCAACCAACCAAGCCACTAGAGGAACAAAAGGTCCAAAAACTTACACATTTGTTCTTAGCTAAATAAGCTCTGCCTTCACATCTCTCCCAAAACAGCTGGGCAGGGGAAAGGATCCTTAACCAAGTAACCGATGCCAAATGCAGCTCCCGCGGCAATGGCTGCAAGAATGACATAGTACAATACGGTTTTGAAGTAAGCTGTGAATGTACGTTCTCCACGTACATATGTTTGGGCGATCGCAAGAACAGCAATGCACAGGAAAGCAGCCGCGGCGACTGTTATCATCTTAAATTCGCGATCATCTGTTGTGCGGAATGTGAAGCCGAATAGCACAGGTGGAAGTAGCCCGAATATGATGTAGGATGCCATGGCTACTGTTACATGCAGAGGAAAGAGCTCTTTCCTTCCAAGATGGTCATAGTATCTCTGATCATTTGTTTGAGTAGGATGTCCATATCTCAAGATTCTCAGCTGTGATCAAAATGAGCAAAATAAGAATTCAGGGAATAGATATGTTTGCTTAGTAATGACAGAGTGAAAAATCATATGATTTTACATGATTGATGTGTCAATTATTCGCTAACTATGTTGTTTTTGACACATTATGTTAGTGTATATACTAGGATTTCTGTAGCTTCATTACTTACATTATGGATGAGGAGGAAGAACCCACCAACTAGACATGCCAATCCAATAGCCACAACATTCACTGTGAATATTAAAGACAAGTTACATTAAGTGGAAAGCATCATTATGAAGAAAAGTTAGTATAATTCCTTCAGGATTTAAAATGATAGGACAGAATGCTGAGTTTCTTATAACACTGAAACTTACTTGTAGTGGAATTCAGGGCTACTGCTATCGAAACAATGACCAAGCTTATAGTGGACTCCATTAAACCTCCATATACAATACTCTTCAATATGTCCAACACCACAGGAGGCCTTGATTCAGTAATAATCTCTGTTGTTGTTGTTACAGCAATTGCAGTATCTGCTGGTGCTGGGATTTCAGTTACAGGAGGTGTTTCCGAAATTGAAATTCTCACATCACCTGCTTGGACATAAATAGCAAAATGAATGATACAGAACCTCTCTAATCTCTGAATGAAAAATATTATTAGCTTAAGGAAATAAAATGTAGCAAGCTCTTGTACCAAAAAAAAAGATATGTAGCAAAGCCCACATCTGGTGTAATTGCAGTAATGTGATGAAAAATACAAGTATACTTACCTGGAGGCTGATATTCTTGTTTAACCTCGAGTTCTGGTTGTGCAGGTGCTTTTGGTGGCCGGATAAATTCTTCTGCATCATTTACAGGAATTCCATTAAACATGTACCAAGATCTGTGCCATAAAAAACAGTTAATTATAGTATCAGATTCTTAAGGAGTTCAAACCAGCCTTACCATACTTTTCGCGCACATCAATAATCACATTTCCATCAAGCACCGAATCTGATGGTGGAATAGTTTGAGTAACCTTTTCTACTGCAGCAGCAGCGCTAGCAGCTGCAGTAGCAGCAGCAGCAGCAGCAGCAGCAGCTACTCCTTCAACCTTTTGCACAGTCTTTTCTTCAACTGTTGTAGTAGTAACGACCTTGTTATCAACAAATGTCTCCTTGAAATCACCAGGTAAACGCTCTTCTACTTGTTTAGCACCTTCTTCTGCACAAGAAAAATGGAATGCTACAATCAACAAATTTGACAATAGATGACTAAGCAGGCTGGCATTGCCTTATATTCCCGTCAATAAAACTATCTCAATGCATAGAAAGAAGTATTTATGGTTTCAAGAGAGCAAATCATGACAGAGTGCTCAGTTAAGTTATTTAGTATTCAAAGTATAACTTCCACAAAGAAGTTAACTTCAGGACTTGAAGTACCTTGCTCAATGGCCTCATCACTTGGCTTAGAGGTGACCGTAGTCGTGGTAGTTTGTATTGCTTCGGGGGTAACTGGCTTGATGGATTGATCTATAGGCTTTGAGGTGACTGTAGTTGTGGTAGTTTCTATTGCTGTAGAGAGAGGAGTAACTTGGTCAATGACCTTATCGGTTGTCTTAGAGGTGACTGTAGTGGTAGTTTCTATTGCTGTAGGAGTAACTGGCTGGATGACCTCATCTCTAGGCTTAGAGGTGACAGTAGTAGTGGTATTTTGTATTTCTGTAGGAGTAGCTGTAGTGTGGGGAGGAGTAACTGGCTTAATGGCCTCATCTGTCGTCTTAGTGGTCACTGTAGTTGTTGTGGTCGTAAACATAGTGGTGGTAGATGGTATCTGTGCAGCAGCTGGAATCAGCGGCATAGTTAAATCAGAATCCTCAACTCTTCTCCTTTTGAAAAACCAGAATAGATCAAATCCCTTTTCTGCATACATTTCAACAACCATAAATCAGATTGGATGATAATATGTGCAGGCAAAGAAGAAATAAAATCCAGTGAGATAGTGTAACTTCCTAAGTTAATCTTGAAGTTCAAAATGATGAATGCGGATTCAATAACTCATGAACAGTATTAAGTTGGTAGAGGTTTTATTTAAGTATGTTACCTGTGGTTTTCGATGAATCAATAGTGGGCTGCTGCTGCTCTTGAGGAATCTCAATGGTTTCTTCTGGTGTTGGCTGCTCTCGAGGAATCTCAAAGGTTTCTTCGCGTGTTTTGACAACTGCAAAAGGTTGAACAGATTTAGTCTATTCCCATTTTGTATTGAGAACTTATTGTACTTGTGGTCAATATGAATCCCATCTATGCACATGAATCAGCAAGACGAAATCAGAAAAAGCATTGAGGCTCTAAAAATGAACTAGTACCTTTCTCAATTGTTTCATCTTTTGTCTCAGTAGTGACTACAGTGGTGGAAACTGTTGTAGCTGGTGCTGGTGCTGGTGCGGGTGCTGGTGCTGGTTCCGGTACTGGTTCTTGTTCCGGTTCTGGTGCTGGAAGCAGAGGGGTGGTTAAATCATCTTCACGTTCTCTTTTCTTCTTGAAGAACCAGAAACAATCAAATTTCTTTCCTGCATAATTTAGAACTTCTGGATCAGCGCATGATAACATTTGGACCAAAAGGTAGAAATACTAAGTACTATACAAATCCAACTACGAATTTTGCGAGCGAGATTGGTGGATCATGAAATCAAATATAAGTCTATGTAAGATGCTTGATAAACATCTGCTAATTACCCTCGGCTTCGGTGGCATCAGGTACAGGTACGGTCGCTGGCGCAAGCACAGGCACGGCCCCATCTGGTGTTGGCGCGGGGACATCTGATGTCGGTAGCTGCTCTTCTTGAAGCTGAACAGTCTGGTCACGGTCTCTACCACGTCCGAAAATTTTTCTAATAGGATTGAGTTTATCACCTGCTTAAATTGCCAAAATATTCCACTTGTAGTCAGCATTTTTGTCACCGTATACTATGCATGATCAACAGGATCAATTCAGAGTCATGAGACTCCTTTTACACTATTTACTGAGCAATTTTATGCAGCTGATGAGATTCAAATTCGCGATATCTGATTTCGGGTTCTCTAAATTACCAGCATTGGTTTAACAACTATTGATTTTGAAATCTTACTTGGAAGAAGAACATACCTGAGGGGATGAAGACGCTGAAACATGATAAACATCCCAACAAATCTTGGCGTCCTTTCTCTGATGCAAGTAGAATCTTCCTCTGCCTGATTTTTCGACGAAGAACCACCCTCGTGATTTGGCTGCTACAGTTTGGACAGTACATATTATAGCCATCGTGAGTGTGAATCTTCTCAACCGCCCTCTCAAATTCCAGTTCCACAACTTCCTCATCACTTTCTTCCATTTCGTAGATCACTCTTTCGCCATCTTTCAAGGTTATATCCTCTGAAGTTGACCCTTCGAATTCACGATATTCAACCTGTTTAACATCATCTTCTTTCCAATCGAATGCCTTGCTGATGAGTAGGTCAATGTCCACATCTTTGAACTTTGCAGCCAAATCTTCCCTTTTAACATTCAGTTGAGACCAGTCGATTTCATCATGCGCTCCTGCATGCAGCATGCAATATAAGTGTATTTTTCTTGTAACGTAAATATAAGGTAGGGAAAAAAAAATGATAATTTCTACTTTTAATAATCTACTTTGTTAAACAGTATCACAAATCGGTCTATTAAAATGATACGGAGAGAGTACCATCAAATTATGTGTATAATGTGATGCATTTCCCTTCTGGCGGGAATTTCATTAAACCAATTTATTATGGAAAATGTGCATTCAAGGTTAGGGAAACTATATGAAGAACAAAGATTTTGCTGCAAGAGTCTAAAAATCTTTTTTGTAAACTTTAAAATGTTAAATTATAGTTAGTGGTACTAAAAATCAAATATTGTACTTCAATGAATACGACCAGCGAGACGATTGATTCATCATGCAATCTAATTGTAGCCTCAATTATTATCAACCGAATCCCACGTCTCTATTCTTTTGGGCTTTACCCTACTCCATGACATGCTAGGGCCCGATTTGAGCAACGGCAGTGGGCTCTGGGCTGGTTGACCTGCCGTTGACCTTTAAAATGGGCCGCATCTCCGTGATGTGACCCAGAAGAATTATGAATTTCTTTTCTTTCTAAAATCCTCTGATTCGTCCAAGATGGTTTCTGGGACAACTCATGGCCTTCAAATCTTGGAGGTCAACGACTAGATTTTTTAAAAAATTTTCTTTTTGACAATTTACAGAAATATCAATTATTTTAGCACTATTATTCCTTTTTTTTAATACTCCCTTAAATAATGTGAAATAATTGTCTAGTTAGTATTTTCAAGCTTAACAATCATTTTTTGGACGAATAGATTTTCATTCCCCCCCCCCCCTTAATACTACTCTGTAGTCTGTACTACTACTCTAATACCAGTATGTGAAATTGAATTATTTTCATTTATGCACTTAATAAATAAGATTTCGTTATTTAATTTCTTCATTTAGGCGTTCAATTTCCTGTTGCAGACTCCATTTTCAGGAAAGCATAAGAAACATTTCTTTTTCATAGTAGATCTTCAAAGATCTAGATCTACATCTAGTAAGTACAGATGTGCTCCTATTCATCTCATATCTGGTTCAATTATTAAACATTCGATCTTGTAATAATTAAGGTTGTCGGTCAATAATGCAATAGCACAACAATTTTGGCTGTCAGAAGGAGACATATTATGATACTTCGTTGTTTTAATTATTTTCTCTGACTCAAAATTATTATCCAGTTTTATACTAAAACTGAAAATTTTAAACTAGGCAGTATTTATACTTAGAATGAAATTTAAACTAGACAATAATTTTAGTTGTGCTGAAAATAAAAATCTAAACTACACAATAATTTTCAGAGGGAGGGGAGTATTTTTGTGATCCAGTATTAATATACATATTTTTTTTGGTGAAGCACTATTAATACCTTTGACGGATTTCTGTAGAGGAAACTAATTAGAAAAGTAAATGCAAAATGGATTAAGTTTTGTTGTGGACATTTATGTTTGGTAGTTTTGGCGCACCCCCACCAAACTTGACTGGACCACCACTCCCTCAATGGCCCTACAGCGCCGGCACTGCCTGCGACGGCAGCTGTGGAGATTTGGTGGATGACCTGACAAACTATTTTATTTTTGGGTTTACAAAACAAAAGTCTAAGATGTCAAAAAGAAAAATTTTTAGTTTCAGAGTACTACAGTACTACTAGTATTGACCATTGAGTAATTTAATAATTACAGTTATCTGTGAAGAATATTTTATATATCTCATTACTCATAAGACCTAATACTTCTCTGAAAGTTGACTATCTATATATCTCATTTAGTATGAATCGACACACAAAAAAAAAAAAAAAAAACCCTCAAAAAAGTGGAAAAGGCACCAAAACTAATTAAGGATCTAGAACTTAATCATGTGTGGCCGATTGGCCATGGATCCAAAATTACTCCCATGCATGCATTCTTGAACTTGCTAAGAACATGGATCTTGTAGAAATTAATGGCAAATGGCTAAATGATGCATCGATGCATGTTAAAATGATTCATGCTGTCAACCAATAACAAAATGATTCAAAGAAACCCAATTTTTGAAATTGAGAGAATAGTATTCCCTTCGGTTTTTAATATAAATCATTTTTATTTTGTTTTATATTTCACCCAGTAAGTATTTTTAATCGATGAAAAAACTTTAAAAGTATAGTTTCACATTGGTCGTAATCTCTTAATTGTTATGAAATATTCTTAAGATTTTTATGTTAATTAAAAATGTGTATTAAGTTAAATATATGATAAATCAAAATATTTTATATCAAAGAAAATAAGAGGAAGTAATAATTAAACATACCTTTTGCCGGGATGGCTATCTGCTTATCTTCCCTTTTACTGTAAGAGGAACTGCCAACCTCCTTTGTCTTCTCCTCCGTCACCTCCAGCTTCTCCGGCGGCGGCGGCGGCTTCTGATCACCAATTTCATAATCCCATGAAACTTCCTCGGTAACAATGGATTTTCCAGTATTTGTAGTAGTCCTGGAAGCTGAATCAAATTCGACGCCGGCAGCCCACGATGAATCCTGCTCCTCAGTCGAAGGTGGCGGCTCAGTAACAGTCGATTCTACAGTTTTACTGTTACCCTTTGAGGCCGAATCAAACTCAAAGCTGGTATCCCACGACGCATCTTCCACCTCCTCCTCCGCAGGCGGCGGCGGTTCCTGGCCACCATTTTCCTCATCGTTGACGACTTCTTCCTGGGGAATATTAATTGGCTCAACGGTAGAATCATTATTATTAGTCTTGGAAGCTGAATCGAACTCAACGCTGGTATTCCACGACGAATCCTCCATCTCCTCCTCCTGCGGCGGCGGCGGCGGCGGCGTATTCTGGTCGTCATTTTCATCACCATCCCAGGCAACTTCCTCAGGAATAATGGATTCAACAGCAGAATTAGTACTCTTGGGAGCTGAATCAAACTCAACGCTGGTAGCCCACGATGAATTTTCAGTACTGATGGAAGAAACAGAGGATCCTTCTGTAGTCAGAGTACTACTACCACCATTGCTACCATTTCCATTAATCTGATCATCACTTATGTTGTTATTATTGTTGCGGGGAATGGTGGCGCGTCGTTTCAACGAGGACTGCTCCTCCTCCGCCGCCTCATCGGACGAGGACGAATCTTCCTCCGGTTGGTGGGGGCGCTTCAGGGCTTCTTTAGTCTTTTCCACCTCCATATTATGATCCTGTTGTTGTTGATCTTGTTGCTGTGGTGGTGGTATCACTTCCATTGTGATTTTTCACACTAATTAATCAGTTAGTGTAAAAATGCTCCCAAAAACCACAAGGAGATGGAATTGAGTAATCTTGTGGCTGGAGCAAAGGTTGGAACTTTGGAAGGTAGCTTATGCAATTATCGATTGGGGAGAACTCATTTTTAAATTAGGTATGGAGCATAGAGAGAAAAGGTCAGTGTGACTGAATGAAGCTGGACAATTAATGTAAGAATGTGAATTGATGATAGAATAGAATAACACATATGGTTCAGCCAGCGTATGAAAGCACAATTTCACAGTCAATAGGTCAAAAAACCCATGTTTTTTATTACTCCAATTATTGAAGGAGTAAGGAGTAACCCTTCAGAAAAAGAAAAAAAAAGTAATTTTCACTTTTCGTAAATTGAGTTATTCAGAAAATGGCTGCACCTGATAGGAAGATAAGTGATACTCATCATAATTTAAAATTTGGTTATCTGTCCAAACACCCCCCCCCCCCAAGTTGGTTTCCCTCTGTATAATATTTTTGTTTTTTTAATCCATTGGCGATGTTGATGTTACCATAACCTGGCCGGACTAGATTTTCAGACACTCCCTCCGTCCCATAATTATTGTCCAATTTCACTAAAATAAAAGATTTTATTTTTGGTCAAACTTAACTATATTTTACCTTAAACAACCGGATATACCCCTACATAAGTAATTGTTTAACCACTAAGATTTTATGGATAATATTTTTTACTAAGGACAAATATGTAACTTGATCCATAAAAAGTCAAATTGAACAATAATTTTAGGACAAAATTTTTTGGGCAAAGTGGACAATAATTATGGGACAGAGGAGTACATAATTGTACACACAATTAGGAAAGCTTAATTATCTCATATGTATGTTGTCAAATGGAGAGATAGTACAGTAATAGTTTCAATTATATGATTGTGAATTTACAATTTTGTTTCCAATATGAATAATAATCGTTGTGACAAAATAGGAATTCAAAAATCAAGAATCAAACACTCAATTGACTTGCTGTATCAATTCAACTACTTCAATCATTGATCTAACGAGACAGGATCAAGGGTACATTTTAAAATTTTGATCTCACAAGGTGAAACGCATGAAATTTAATCTCTTTCATTTATGGAGCATTTACTCTTGTTAAATCTGAGCAATTTAGTTTGGGAGTCACGGGTTCATGTGATCGAATGTGTAATATGTTGTTGTCATGTTGTCGTTAAAGCAGAATCTGAATTTTCAAATGGTACGTGCAAACACGTAACGCACTATCTCACAAGTACATATCATCGAGCTGTGGAAATCTAATAAGCCAGTGTACAATGAATGCTCAATAATCAATCTCTACATTGTACGGTGTTTTTGACAGAGATAGATTTGGAGGAATGCGTTCAAATTAGGTTAATTTTTTCTTGGATTCGTTTTGCACGTTTCCGTCATCATTCTCAATCAAATTCATCAATCGCTCTCCTCTACGCATGCAGTACTGTTTTGATGCGGTAATATTTCTTCCTGCTTGAATTTTTTCTATATTCAATAGTATAATTTCACTACGGATGGAATCCAAACCAAACATTTTTCTTCCCAGAATGAAGAGAATATATAAAATAGGATTTTCAATATTTTATGTGGTAGGTGGTGGTAGGTGGTAGAGAGTGTGGAACCAAACATACTAGCCATAACACAAACTATTATCTGGAGGAGGTAAACCACAGAACACATCAAAATCACGAATCATGACTACAAACATTATGAGAGTAGTATTTCAAAAACTCAACGGCGCAGAACAATGCAGATGAATTCTGCTGCTGTGGGCTTTCATCAACTAACCATATAATACTTCAAGTTCCATCAACTTGGTTGAGCATTCATGGTATGTAGTCGGTGTATAAATTGTTTTGTCCCAATTCATTTTTTAGTCTTGATCGTACTCCCGGTGTCTCAAGGAAAAAAAAGAAAAGAAAAAAGTAGTCATTCAAGTTTGTGTGTATTGTGTATTTCAATAACTACATTCTCTCCGTCTCAAAATGATTATCGACTTTGTATTTTTATTTTTAGTACACCCTCCGTCCCATAATTATTGTCCATTTTGCCCAAAAAATTTTGTCCCAAAATTATTGTCCAATTTGACTTTTTATGGATCAAGTTACACATTTGTCCTTAGTAAAAAACATTATCCATAAAATCTTAGTTGTTAAACAATTACTTATATAAGGGTATATCCGGTTGTTTAAGGTAAAATATAGTTAAATTTGACTAAAAATAAAATTTTTCATTTTAGTAAAACTAGACAATAATTATGGGATGGAGGGAGTATTATTTATACTAAAAACAAAAATCTAAACTAGACAATTATATTTGGGACTGAATGAATAATATTTTTGAGTTAGTAATAATTTACATTGCTTTCTTAAAATTTAAAGATGCGAACTAAGTCATGTGGTTTGGTACATATTTCTCTTTTTTTGCCTATCAATGTGCAGTTCAATTTGTACGTCCAATTCATTTGGTTCGATTCGTTCATTCTAACTTCATTCTACTGTTCCGAGTATTGGTAAGTAGTTAGGATAATTTAAGCATTCTTTTGGCCCATTTTTCTATTCGTGGCGCTATTTTTTTACCAATAAATTAAAGGAGAAAAATGCAAAATTCATTACAAATGTAAAAATATACTATGAAATTAATGTGTATGAAATTGTATACAAATGCATATTAAGAAGTACAAATACAAATGCATATTAGTAACGTTGATAATTCATAGTATTTGAGACTTCTGCAAAAATACAAAAACTCTCAACTTCTTAGCAGATGAAGACTTTCGGCCATCATTAAAACGTGTCAATGTTTTTGTTGTTTTTGGACCAGTTTGCAGTGTACACTTTTACGCATTTCTCAAAGTCATTCTTTCTTTTACATTTTAGCATTTTGAGGAGAAAAATTCTTGTTCATAATCAATGATCTGGACACGTTTGACACACCATGTTAAATGTCTTGTTGAATTCCACCAAAAATGCGTGGGCAAGACATTGATGAAGTTTAGGCCTAGGTTTGCTTCGGGCTTCAGTCACGTTTACACTGGATTCGCGCGTGCGACCGTATTTTAATTGATCACTGAAATTAATGTGCAAGTTCTGTTTGTACGATAATGATACTGTCAACATTTATGATTTTCCACACTCTGTTCAAAAAAAAAAAAAAAAGGATATATTTTATCGAGCGATTGCTAGCATAAATAAATTCATACCTATTGTACTAAACTAAATGTTGGAATTACTCAAAACTGCTAGATAATCAAGTGATAAAGCTTTAAAGTTTAAAGGTTAATCCATATTAAGTATTGAATTTTATACTGTTTTTACTATAAATTTGGAAACTCAATGTGGACGTTTTATGAGTTTGTAGTTGTACAGGGTTTTTGTTATAATCATAAATCTCCAATTAATTAAAACTTAAAAAGGTCACTGGTATCTAAAACAAATTGATTGGCTAATTTGCATGTGATCAGATCAGATAGCGAGAGCAATCATAATTGTTTAATGTAAGACATCATGTTCTTTCCAATAATTTTCTTTTGTCGAAGACCTTTTTCTTTCCCCCCAAAACTTTGCAGCATCTTTTTGCTAAATGACGAGCTTCTCCTTATGCTTTTTGTTCTGAAAAAGTAAAAACGAAAAAAAGAAAAAAAAATAATATAGTACGTAATAAAATTACAATGATTGGAGCAGTTTTATTTATTTTTTCTTTCTCTTTTTTTCCAAAACGTGTGTCACATGGCCGTTATGTAAATCATGTAACTTGACCTTGATTGGTGATCCCCCACCCCCACAGATAAGTCAAAAACACAAATTGGAATTATATTCCTTAAAATTATGATCATTTTCAAACAGAATTTGGAATTATATGTGCTAATAAGATAAGTAAGATAAACAATTTTAGGCCCACAGGGATCAAAGTGTTATGTATGTGGTCTATATTTAGCCCCTGACTATTCATCACATGAGAAAAACGTTGGGTTAGAAATCGAAAAGTTGGTGGATTTTCTTAATTTTAATGTGTATTTTTTTTTTCAATTACTCTCCCGTTCCATAATTATTGTCCAGTTTGTATTTTCATTTTTAATACAATTTATATTACAAATTAAAACTCAAACTGAACAATATTTTTGGGACGAGGAGAGTCCGTGCTTAACGAGTTTGTGCGATGAAGAGTATAAAGTATTGCAATTTGATAGTAAGATTCGAACTCAAATAACAAGGGATATTTAAGGTGATCTCTGCGGCGTTAGATTAGGGCAGACATCATTTGTTCTTCGATCAATGGCCCAAAAACTCATTAGCGTCACCTTGAACGTGGATGACGTCATCTGCAATATTGCAAGAAGGACCACATGAATAATAATATAGTGCAATCTGGGGTGATCAGGACTGGTTTTATAGCAAAAGTGTAACACAAATTTAAAATCGATAGACACGTTTGGGGTTCAATTTGTCAACTCGAAATTAAATGTAAATCCTTTTGTTGTGTTATTTAATTTTTTCTAAACTGAATAAATATTTTTTATTAACTTTAACATCAGCTTCAAAATCAAATCGTAATGAATGCACGGCAATGCTTGCATGAGAGACGACGTTGTTTCTATTTATTAGAATAATAATAATAACCTTGCAAATGGGAAAATCTTCCCATCAACAGATGGAATTAAAGAAGTGAATATAGACATGAAAGTGAGGAAACATAAAGGCATTGTCAACGTTGGAGTTGTTAGTTTGATAAAGGGAGTGAAATGAAAATAAAAGAAAAAGGGGCCAATGGCTTGGAGGATTCGTAACACGTACCATATTCATAATTAATGTACTCACTTTGTAAAAAGAAAAAGAAAAAAATCATATTAAATTTTGAAATTTGTATTATTTTTTAAAATAAAAATTAAATTTCAATATGAATCAATTTTTTTATGACATAGATTACTCCTATGAAATTGCGGAGTATTTTCCGTGCGTTGAATCTCTCTCGGGAGCTAGATGAAAGATAGGTGTGACGGTAAAAATGGACAACCAAAGTATACTGAACATGATGGTGGAGGAATAAAGAGTGATCAACAGTAGCAACAGGATATGTGGTGATTCCACAAACAAGATTCGATCCTGAGATCACTTGATTAGTTTTGTTTTACTGTGTTTGTGTTTTATGATTGTTGTCCTTAATTACAAATATTAGAAAGTTTGGTCAATCGGTTGTAAATAGCAAAAAGTTTGTTAGTTAATATAGTATATAAGACATTATAAATACATTTTCAAAAATATGAGAGAATATTCCAGAAAAAGAAAACCGTTCTCATCTTCTCTCTCTCGTTCTTGAAGCTCTGCAAATTGTTCTTCCTTGATCCAGGAAATCTCAAATCATGTTTCAATTCTTTGATTCCTTTAAGGAACAACTAAATATTTGTCCATGCAAAAGGATATAAAGGTCTCTCCAGACTCAAGTTTCCATAGGTAATTGTCCGCTCGTGGATAACTTTAAACTTGATAATTGTTAAAATATCGAATTTCTTACAACTTGATTTTAACCAAGTCCATCTAAATTAATTTGATTTATTTTTTTTTATCTCTTTAATTCCGACTATTATATTCTATTAGCTTTATTTTCAAAGAAATAGTTCACATTAAATTTTAAAATTTATATTAAAAATAATATAAATATGAAAAATTATTGTAATTAGTTTTTTGACATACGTAGTACGTATTTTGCAAGGAAGATGTGTTGCCATTTCTCTCATACTATAATAACTTATATGGGGAAAACAAATGGAAGTTTACGTCAACGTAAAAAAAAAAAAAAAAAAAAAGAGTTTACGGTCCAGATTCAGACATGTTCATTCTCCATTTCTTTGTCTGACCTAAACATTGAAATAATTGGCATGACTTTTTGTAACTTATTTAGTGCATGCAATATAGTGTTTTCTTTCTCTTAGAGGTTTTCCACTTTAGCGTTTTTAATGGGACAATATTATTATGATTATTTTAGTAACTTATCAATTATCTGTAATTTTAAGGAATTTTTTTGCCCCAATATGGGAAAATGGCTGTCTTTTTTCGTCTTTAAAAAATAATTTATATTTTCTTTTTTGGTACATAGTTTTAATTTTGATATCTTGCTAGTGCATATAATCATATATAATTTGAATTGAAAAGTAAGGATTTAATTAACAATTGCAATACATATGAGGGCCAAAATGTACCATTACAAAGTAACAGAAAGTGGTTCTCCAATTATTAAGTGGGATAATTGGATGTTGTTTGTGGGGAACATTTTCCAGACTTCTCACCACCTTTTTCTGAAGTGACTAAACCGTACTCTTTTTTTTTTTTTTGGGGTCTTTTTCATTTCTTATTTTGGAAACAATCAAACCATGTGTCACACGATGATTCTTAAATATTAAAAATAAAAGAGTACCGGTCCAATTTTATTTTATTTTTAAAAAATACTAATTAAAAAGCAATATATGGCTCATCCAAAAGAAAGGGAAAATATAAGAGACGAACCAAGAAATAACTCCCAAAACTACATGACATCCGAATATATTGTCCAAACTCATGAAAGAAACTAACTTGATTATTTTATTTATTTTCTCCCGTTATTAACAGATAACACATTTTTCGACTTATCGTGATCGTTTTTCAACTTATATAATTTACAATTTATGACTTGGATAATATTCTGTTATTGTCCCCTCATTTGTTTGTTCTGGTTAATTTCTTCTGAACTTTTATACCATGAATATTGTGACACAAGAATTAGATCAATTTTCCAGACTTGCTAAACTATGAGACTTGGTTATTTATTTATTTATTTTTTTTGTTGCAAATAAGAGAGACATGAAAGCCTAGTTTCCAGTCAGTACATGACGGGGGTACGAGACTTCTATAATGTCATGATCTAATCACGGTTTAACTCTTGACAGAAGAATTATAAGTCATTGTAATCCGCCTAGTCCTTGTGCTGCAACAGATGCCACATAGTCCGCTACGATGTTAGCTTCTCGGAATATATGTCTGAGTTCAACTACCAAGAACTATGAGACTTGGTTTTATCAACCCTTATATGTAACTTAATCTGTGTTGTAATTATTTTACACTGGTAAGCAGTTAGTTCCTTTCATTATATGTGCATCAATAAACAATCACACGCAAAACACAAATCCTCTATATTTCTTTTCCATTCTTCACCAATCAACTAACCAAACCTTTTTTTTAAAAAAAAAAAAAGAAAAAGAAGAAAAGGTTCAAATAACCAAACATATGCACATGATTCCTTAACGTGTCCCTGTATAAACAATGGAATTGGTAATTAAGACCTAACCTCGGAGCCCCCACTGCTTAACTGGTCAGGACACAAAATAAATTTTGTAAGCATTAATAACCAAACGATTTTCAAGACCAGCCCCACAGGAAAGGTTACTTAGTTTGTTTTTCAAAACCTTGGTCATATAGTAGAACGGTTACTTAGTTTGATATGTTAAGTTAAATTTATGTCTGATAAGTATAATCTAAATTTTAAATGTGTGTGTTATAAATTGAATTGGAGTGAGTGAACACGTTGGTACAGTGAACGATTGAAGATTTGCCATGCTGCCAAGGCTTCTAATTTTTCCCTAGGGTCCCAACATTGAGTTGGCCTTTTGTTCTTGTTGGTGAACATTTGGCTAAGTTTAGCTTCAGTTTGCAAGTTACTTCGGACCACAGGAATAGTGCATTAATTTGGAGAAGAAATAATAAAATTGAAAGGACAAAACAGAAGGAATATATGAAACAAAATTCTATGAGAAAGTGAAGAGAAAAATTAAGTGTGGTAATGCACAAGAACACCTCATGGTTTTCTTTCTTTCTTATTTATTAGTATTATTATTAGTATTATTATTATTATTTTTGATCGAACACCTGAACCCTTCTCGTGGTCGATCTTGAAAGCACATGAAGACTTTTTCATGGTTTTCCAAAAGGTATAAGTAGGATGAAGATATACTTACAATAAAAATAAGTGGAAGTACAAAAACTCATTTCTTGGCAGTATCAAATGCGATAACGAAAAATTTTGGTCCACAGAATTACATTGTCTCAACAAAAACAATTTCTTTTTCCCACCAAACATAACTTGAAAAGATTGGAAATGTCGTCGTGTTAATTTCGTTTTTTTTTCTCCCGCCATGCATGTCACATGAATACTAATAGGAAGAACTCTTTGTTGGTTTTGAATTTCATTTACTAGCTACAATCATCAACGGATATGGAATTTCTCAAAAATTAGCTCTATTCAGGTGATTTTGTTGTTTTGTATTTCTTCTGAAAAAAAAAAAAGTTAGGTGATTGTTATTTCTAAAATCTAATGATCGATTGATAAAGAATCATGTGGAAAGAGGGTCTAGTAGATGCATCATCCTGTCCAAATGTGGGTTAGCATAGTGGCAGACCGTACGTTAACCGACTTCAATGTCCGGCACAAAATGATATGGTGGCCACCGGCACAATTAGGCCTTCTCGTTGTCTATTTCTCTACTGTATGTATGCACCCAAGTCTAAAACTCTGAAGTCATATAATGCGTTGTTCCGGAATGATCTCCCACAAGATATACTTTTTTCCCCTTATTTTCACATAATAATTTTCACAATCCACAGTCGTGATTAATCTCCTCTTCGATATACATTCACTAATTAGGAAAATAAGTCGGTATTGATTGTTAATGAAAGGACACAGATAGATAGATGTTTTACAGATTTTAAATTGATAAGCAAATTTATAAATGTGTCACTTGATGATTTATCAATCAGCAAGCAAGCGACTTTTGTTAAGACAAGGTGTCAATCTCAATATATTGAAATTGTCTCTCTTTTTTTTTTTTTTTTTTTAAAAAAAACAAAACGTATTACTTCTGAATAGTTTATTTTGATGAACTAAACGCCAACGTAGTATCGTAGTCTATTTTCTTCAGACGGCTGGGTTGGAATATTAGTATAATTTTCAAGAAACTCATAATTTTTTATTTTCCTTTTTTTTTTTATTTCGTTTGAGATGGTAAGGAAATCGCGATTGGATAATACAAGAAATGGGTGGTATAGAAAGCCCCAAAATAAACGACAAATATATGAAGATGGGTACGTAACACACAAGTCACTAGCAACAAGTCACACAAATCGTCTCTTCTTGGATCTAACAAATTAATCTAAAAGGAAAAAAAAAAAAACAAACAAACAAACAAACAGCAAAATAAAACATAATTGATTACGAGTTTCCTAATTGACGATCAATCAGTAAGAAGCCCAGGTGGAATGGAATGAAGTGGGTGGAGGATGAACATCTGCAGCAGGATCTAACCAGCCATTTTCCTCCATAAATTTATTGGCCAACTCCCCAACTGCGAACGCGATCCCGGAGGCGGCGACCGCGGAGGTGACGTAGTACGACACCGTTTTGAAGTACGACATGAACTTGTGTTCTCCTTTTGTGTAAGCCTTACCGATTGCGAGAATGAAAATGCACAGTAAAGAAGCAGCTGCAACAGCCAACATTTTGTAGTCCCGTTGTTCATTGATATTGGTCTCCCGGAATGCGAATCCGTACGTAAGTGGTGGGATTAGTCCAAATGTAATGTATGACAGAATAGCCAATGTTGCATGCATAAGGAAATTCTCTTTTCTTCCCAGTTCTTCCTTGTATTTCTGATCGTTGGTTTGGCCATTTTCGCCATATCTCAAGTCTTTAAGCTGTGGAACGTCCAATTTCACAATTAATTTCTCATATTAGCGACATTGTCACAGTCAAGTCCACTATAATTCGTTGTTATTAATGGAAGATAAACTTGATTTGTCACTCTAATGAATTAGTATACGTAAAAAAAAAAGAAAAGAAAAAGCGCTTACGTTATGAGCGAGGACCACAAGCCCACCAACAAGATTGGCGAATCCAAGAACCACAATGTTCACTGTTCATAGTCAAGACAAATATGTCAAATTTTTATTACATTAATAATTTAATACACAAACATCTGATTGACAAAGATGGTAAAAGAATTTTGGACTTATATTAAGAAAAATATTCTTTTAGGACATGAAGATATTTGAAATATTGATGTTTCCTGAAGGCAGATGAAAAGTATACTTACATGTGGTAGCATCTGAAGCTGCTGCCGATGAAACGACGCTCAAGCTAGCTATTGACTCCATCAAACCTCCATACACAATACTCTTCACTATCTCCACCGACTTAGAATCTCCCGGTTCCGGTACAATCGGTGGTTGTGCGACAACGGTAGCACCGATCACAGCAGCTGACTGTAGGATTCCGGTTGTTGTTGGTGCTTCTTGGGAAGGAAGTATCACTTCACGGTCTGTATCAAACATATATAAAAATTAAAGTGTGAAAATCAATGAGTATATATAATTCAAAACACACTGAGCAATAATAAAGCATATTTGATTATAATTCTAAAAAAGTCTCCAAATTAAGTAGCATTATAGATTACTTTGTTTGGTGATGATGTCGATAATGAAATCCCCGTTCTCGGCATTTCCTTGTGGTGGAGGAGGTATCTGAAGAATGTTGTTGTCTGCAACAGAAGCAACGTCGAAATTGTCTTCAATCTTTCCTGCGATTTGTTGTTGAACTTCCACAGTAGTAGTAGTAGTAGTAGTAGTAGTAGTAGTAGTCGTAGTAGTACTAGAAGTGGCCGTGTGATCTTCTACTAATGGCTCAGTAGAATCAACATCTTTGTCCTGCTGTTTTTGACCATCTAATTCATCTCTTGGCGTAGAAGTAACTGTAGTAGTGGTGGAAGAAGATTGTATTTCTGTAGATGCAAGCACCGCGGAAGATAACGCATTCTTGTAATCTCTTCCCTTTCGAAACATCCAAAAGAGATCATATTTCTTCCCTGCATGTCAGAAAACAAATATAAGAATATTTGATGGTAAGATTAGTAACTAACAATAAATAAAAAGTCCAATGAAACAGTGACATGTATATATTTCTCCCCCCTATCGTACCTTGGTCAATGGCCTCATCTTTTGGCTTTTGATCAGTAACTGTAGTGGAAGAAGATTCTTGTGTTTCTGCTTCAGTTATCAGGGGAGATGTTAAGTCATTTGAGTCATCTCTTTCCTTTCTAAATAGCCATAGTGGATTGCATCCGCTTCCTGCATAACTTACACAAAGATATATAAGATTCAAAACCTTATGAGGAAATGAATTATTCGCGTTATACAGTGCATTTTTACCTGCCGGTTGTACCCGTATATCTGATGCCGGTTGCTCTTGAAGCTGATTATTTTCGTCATTCTCTCTTTCAGGTCTAAGGAAACGGATTGGATTCAGTCTATTTCCTGTTTACATAATAAACAGTGAATTGAACTCAGTAACGCATTAATTGAGGTTTTTTATGCAAAATATTGCATGCTATGTGTACAGTAGTCACAGGGTTAAGTAATACTCCCTCTTACTCCGTCCCAAAATAAGAGTCCAAAATTTTCTACGACTAAAGTTTCTTTAGTGCAATCGTCATTACGAATTTGCCATCATACTGAAAAAGAAAGTGTTGTTATGAAACTGAAGGAGAAAAAAAAAAAATACCACAAGAGACGAAGATGCTGAAGCATGATGCACATCCAAATAAGTCTCGGCGCTCTGCAGGAATAATCCTCCTTCGCCTTATTTTACGACGAAGAACCACCTTTGTGATCCGGTTGCTGCATTTGGGACAGAACATACTGTAGTCATCGTGAGTGTGCATTTTCTCGACGGCCGTCTCGAATTCCAATTCAACCACTTCCTCATCACTCTCTTCCAGCTCGTGAGTTGATATTGCAGTGCCTTCAATCTGTTTCTTGCCTGGAACTGCTGAAGTACTGAGTATTTCGTACTCCGATGTTTCGAATTGTTGAGCATCAATGACCGCACCCATAACTTGTTGAATATCAAAGTCATTGACTTTGATTTCAGGCTCAGTTCCTGCAGATTGAGTATTTTCCACATCATATCTACAATTAAGTACGTAATTATGCAAAATCGGGTGGTAAGGAACAAGTTTGTAGTCGACTCATAATAGCTAGCTATTGCATACTACACTCTTAGATGAAAGTGCAAATAAGTCCAACATACTATACTCCTATCCTAAAATGATTGTTATGTTCGTTAGACAGTCATTTTGGGACGGAAGTAATATATTGTAAACTTGCTGATTCCCTTAGTCATCAGAAAGTTGATGAAAAATGGCTGCTTGCATACAGTGAACAATCATTTTTTGACTTTTGTCCAGAATTGATGTGGGACGTAATCTATATATACTAAGTTACTAACCTCTAGTAGTGAAGTCAAAATTGAAGTGTTTGGAGTGAATAGGAGTATCAATCTGGGGAAATCCGTTTTGGTAAGTCCAAGTGCAGTGGCGACATTTCCACTTGTCTTTATAGGAACAGTGAAATATTCCAAGTATTAGATTTTCCATACAAATACAAATGTGTGGTACAAATTTAAGATTTGTTAAAGATAACTTTAACAACAAATTGTCGATGAAACACACTCCTTTCGTCTCCCAATAACAATTCCCTTTTTTGAGGGAAAGCAATTATTATGAGATGGCAGAAGTGAGTTTACATGTTTAGCTCTATATTTTCCAACAGTTGGGTGCCCGGTGGTAGAGTGACCAGCTCCAGAAGGCAATAGCCAATAAATAATGAAAACTTCTAGCAGCCACCCAATAAATTCAACCGTGGGAAATTCTAGAATTCTTTCCCCTGCTAGGTAGCTAGTAGAACTAAGTGAAAATTAACAGTAACACACTCGTAATTATTATGACTACTATTGTTTTTTGGTACAGTTATTATTACTATTACTACCTCCGTCCAAAAAAAAAAAATTCATATTGAAGCGAATTTTGTACTAAAAACAGTACAAATTACAAACTCAATGTAGACTATTTTTTTAGGACGGAGGTAGTATAATTTTTTTATTACTACTACATTAAACTCATAGTTCGAGCGAGAATCAAATCTTAAATTTCATGATAATAACGGTCCATCGACATAAACTTTTTATCCATTTCACCTCGTAACACAACCGTAACTAAACCTAAAGTTCTATTCAAAGCAAGGAAGAAGAATAAAATGATTAAATATAGTGGCCCGCAATTTTCTTTATTTTCTTAATGACGTACGGTTTGTTGGTGAAAGTTTCACTTAATTCCACAAAATAAAAAAAAAAATGGGGAAAAAGAAATGAATGTGTTGCACACAGAACGCTCCAAAATTTACCGGAATCTCTCCGAAGGGACGTTTCACGTTTGATGTTGAGCGATGATAAACAAACAAAGAACAAGGAGAAAGGACCTTTTAAAGGTAACCCCCAAAAAAAAAACAAATGAATAAAGAAATAAAAGAAAAGCCTTTTCGTCTTTTGTCTTTTGGTGCATTGCTCACGTGTTTTTTATGAATGGATGTTAATAGTACTTAATTTAATATGGAGCAGCCAGTCCAATAAATTTATTATCAGTACATGAAAAAAAGAAAAAAGAAAAAGAAGCTCCATCCATGTCCGTGTACTGTGATATCTTTCTAGAGAACAAGATTCATCAAGCTAGTAGTTTTTATTATTCTTTCTACTAGTATGTGTCCTTCAACGTTAAAAATTGTATCTTCCAAAAGAATTAATTCGATAATGTAATTATTAATATTTCTTAAAATTATAATATTTTTTTGGTTAATCAATTTTAGATCAAAATGAGAGGCATTGATATTATTTATGATATGTATATTTGTAAAATCTGGTCAAAAATATTACAACAAAGATTTTCAAAAGTTGTCTAATAAAAATTGTCACCACTAACTAATGTTATGTTTGATTTAAAAAAATATATTTAAAAAATACATAAATTGTGTCTAGATGCCTATAGCCTATTTATAGGCAAGGGGACTTTGGGATTAGATGTAGTTCTAATAAAATATGAGACACAATTAATCGTCCTTGAATATATAAAATCGATAAACTTGAAGACTAAGTAGCACACAAATAGAACTTTAAGGGCCAAAATGACAATAGATTCGTAAATGCAAGGACTTCTTAAGTCGGGAGGTTCTCAACAATTTTTGAAAATATTCATTTTTAAGCTCTCAATCCAGAATTTGTAATATCTGTAAAAATTTTATATAGTAAATATTAGTTATTAACTGTTTACATAAAATTTTAACTGATTAATGATCAACTAATGAGCAAATGACCCGTGTTAATTGAGACTTGATAGTCTCAATGAGCGACACAGTGTTGATTATCTTTCTTTACTTTAATATATATAATGATGTACGGGACTATAAAAGAGCTACCTATTTGCATTTTTTTTCTTGATTAAGGAGAGCATAAAAAAAAAAAAAAAGGAAAAGAGAACCACCCGAGTGATTGAATTTGCAAAATTTGAACTTTTAAAATCAGAAGATAAAGAATTAAGATCGAATTAGAAGTTTAAACTTCAGTTATAGCATTTTTTTTTTTGAAAACGTAATTAGTGATTTCCAATACCTGCAAAGCATAATATAGAGGCATATTTTATTTGGGAATACTTTTTTTTTTCAAAAAATTAAATTACCTTAACAATAAACTCATAACAAATCCTATCTAAATCTCTAACCGTCTCAACCAAACTCTCACCTCATTATATATTAATCTCGAGCTTAATTGTAAGAAACAAAAACTAATTAAATTTTTATTTTTCGTTAAGAAACAAAATACAGTACAACTACCACACAGAATAATTTTTTGTCCATCCAATTTTTTTATTTTTATTTTTTGAAAAATGGAAAAATTTCTGTCCCTTTCCCTAGCCGCCCAATAAAAAATTAGGAAGGAAAAGGTTTTTTTTTCAAAAAAAAAAAAGTTTGTCCCATAATTAATAATCCAGAGGGAAGTGTTATTATTTTATGAGGCTCTATCTAAGCAACAACAACATGCATAAAATTAGTTTTAAAAATACAGAAGTGCACAGAAAATGGAGTAAAAGATAAGGGAGAGAGAAGATGTAATTCAAACTGACCTTCACTTTTGTCGAAGTAAACGCTATCTACCTTCTTCTCCTTCTTATCGGAACTCTCCCCGGCGGCGGTTTCCTCGTTGACGACGACGAGGGTATCATCCATTAACACGTCTTCGCCGGATGACGAGGAGGAACTGGTGGTGGTGGAAGTTTCGGAAGCATCCGAAGAGACGGTGGTGAGAGTACTACTTCCGTCGCTTATAGTACGGCCGGCAACCCTACTCCGGCGTTTCAACAAAGCCTCTTCCACAATTTCCTCCAAATCATCCTTTAGATTATGCATCACTTCTTTCGCGGTTTTCGCCTTTCCGCCCCCCTCCGTTCTCAGCTGCTGCATTACTTCCATTGGCTATATTATTGATCACAATAATGATATTAATGGCTTTTCTTTTCTGCTATATTAGATGTAATAGCAGTAGCTTATTTATAGGCAGCCTAAAAGAGTACTACTAAATAGTTGACATGAGCTAACTCGCTTGCAATTTGCAAATTGGTTGTTGTTATTGTTGTTGGGGTGAAAGGCAGTCTTAAATACTCGCAAAAATAACGAGGTCAATGGTTTCTGATAAAAGACTGGTGACAGTTGAATTAATTAATTTCACGGAATTATTTTATTACTTTAGCGTCTGAACGCAAGCTATGAACATAATAAAGTCCAGTCAAGTAAGCATTTTAATGCATGCTAGCTCTTGACATTATTGAGTAGTAGTACTAGTAGTCGTAATCAGAATTTGCAGAAACCGTATCCCTTCATTTTGAACACATGACTAAGGACTTGTAAGATAAAAATTAGTGCTTTATTCTGAATGTTTAATACTGAATTGGAAATACTGAATTCATTAAACAGTTACAGAATAAGCAATAAGCTAACTTTTATTGCTTATATTTTGTACTGCAGTTTCAGCACAACTTAATTCATTAAAAGGTTTAATTTTTTGTTATCAAACATAATAAAATGAAAAAAGAATAATGATTGGTGCCAGGAAAAAATGACAAAGAAAAATTATAAGAAAATAATCTCACAGATCCATTGTTAAAACTTTCCAAATGCATTTAAGCTTAAGGTATAGTTAAAATCTTGACACATCATCTTTATCATCTTTTCTTATCATTTTTTCCTTGTACTTATCACTACTCATGAAAAAATGCTTAATTCTATAATTTTAAGCATTAAGTGGCTTTATCAAACGAGCACTAAAGCTTTGTCTTTGTTTTGCTGAATTACATCAAAGAAAATGTGAAATAGGCTTATGAAGAATTCTTTTTTAGCAAAAATAAAAAATATAGTCTTATTTGAACTAGTATAATGGGAAAAATTGTAAGAGATACTAGAAATGTTTGGATAACAAGTACATAGTGTTTGATAATATGAGAATAATCAAATTTGGGACCAATAGGGATGGGCGGACCACAAAAAGAAAATGACCGTGTAACTATTGTCCAATCTTTAGGAATATTAAATTGGTAAATATTGATTTGGTCTTTTTTATTTTTGTCACGCAAGTTTGTGCTCCGGGACATTATCATTTACTTGAGTGTGTCGCTATAATAATGACTTACATCCATTGGGTTTTCGAAGTCAATATGGAACTCAAAAATTTAAATTACAGCTAAGCATCTAAAATATACGTAAAAAAATATAATGACAAGTAACATTTTTGAGTAACTTGATAACTATGTAGTATGTATGTATGAAGCATGCATTGAGTTGGTCTAATTTTCTAGTCATGTGTAAGCAATTTGGTCATGACAATAACTCATAACACGAGCAGGAGCAAACATTAATTTCCGAGTTTGGATGTTTCCACCCTTTTAAGTTTTATGAGCTCAATTAGGATCATATATATGACTTGGAAAAAGGACAAAAACCCTCCTGAGTTATATCCAAAGGATAAATTACCCCTCGATATTTCTTATAAGGACAACAACCCTCCTACCGCTAGGTTAAAGGACAATTTGCCCCATGTATTAACAAATCTTAGTGTGAAAAGATAGAAATGCCCTTAAATCTGAGAAGAATTTTTTTTTTCACCAAACCTGCCCTCCAACTAACTCGTTTATTTTCTTTTAAAATTATAAATTTTATTATCCGTCTTTTTAAAATCTGTTGTTGACTCTAGTTTGATGTATTGTTTCTTCCTATCACTGCTGTCTCAATACATTGTCCTTTGACTTGGAGGTAGGGGGTTATTGTCCTTATACGAAATGTCAGGGAGCAATTTGTCCTTTGGACATAACTCAGAGGGTTTTTGTCCTTTTCTCATATGACTTTTCTCTCTCTCTCTCTCTCTTTTTTTTTTTTCTTTTTTCCTAACTTTCATTTAGTCATTATCAAATTTCAATTTCTAATAATTTAGACAATAACCTTTTAGGTTTTATACTGACTTTCGTATAGATTGAGGTTTGTAGCTTGCACAATAAATTTACGTCAAACCTTTAATTTTGAGTTTCAAAACTCGCAAAAATACAAAGTTAGAATAAATAATCGAAGGAATAAATATTACAAGTAAGCATCCGTGTGTACAGCTCATACATATATATAAATATATATATTACAATGTAATATCTGGTATACCATGTAGTTGTCGAGTGCTAATCTAAAGACTGTTGAGGGTCAAGTTTGTTGCACCTACAATAGGGCGATTATTTTCAGTGTTCAAACAATTAGAGATTTAAACTAATCAAATGATTCGTAAGATCATGAGGAGAACGTGGCATTCCTCCATTTCAACAGCAAAATTTTCCAATGTGGATGTACAGATGGTCGTGAGACATCATGGTTTGGTGGTAGCTACATATGAAATCTCAGTAATATTTAGGTTGTTTGGGTCTGACCGTATGAGCGGTCTGCTTTTCTGTCCGTATCGACGTATCCTAATATTCAGATCTTCTTCCATTTATTTTAGTTTTTAATAAGATATCTTCTTCCGTTTTTAATTGATTCATTATTGGCAGGTCGTCAGGTTGTAACTTAGATTACATGCGAATTGCGAAGTTGAGAAATTTGAGACCAATCATATGGAGACAGAGGGACCTTGTTGTTCATATGTTAACTTCGAGAGTCTTTTGATGTATTAAAAAAAAAGGGGATGATTGTTGACTTTAATTTCTTGACAAGGACTGATGATTTTTCCCTATATATTCTTTCCATACGGTGTTCACTATCGCGATCGCTATAATTTTTCCTGAACTAAAGGGCCATTATCGAAATTTTGAATTATGATAGCCCTCGGAAAAAAGAAAAAGAAAAAAATTAAAGTGGAGGTCAAATAAAAAGTAAGAAAATAGCTGGAGTATATCATTTCAGATCATGTATATTCAGGCCAAGCTGTATTTTTAAGCGATCTTGCGCAAATGGAACGTTGGTAGTCAATCAAATTGCAGTACACATGTCATGGATAACCAAAATAATGGGCACCTAGGCCCTGAGGTATTCTTATATATATATCGGGTCATAATTTGATCAATGAAATACAAACAACGGCGCTGATTGTATATCGTGACTTTTCTTTTGCTCCGTCTAACATTCTTACAATTTTTATATATTATTACTATATGTCTGAGAAATTTATACAAAAAAATCTAATGTAAACTATTTTTTTTAGCAGGTAGTACAATTTTATTTCTTCGGCTCTTTTTTTGGGTGGGACGTAATTTCAAAGTAATTTGTATATTTTAAGATGAATTTTCAAATTTCGTGGAGGTTTGTTAAAGAGATTGTTTAATCTCTCAAATTTTTGGACTAGTAATTCCCCACTTTGTCATTTTTCTCCCGAAGAGAGTGCTTTAAGAAATATCCAACTTAGGTATTACTTCCCCCATTACAATTCAATAGGCCTATTTAGATATAAATGGAATTAAGAAAAAGCGGATAATATAGTTTATGTGGTTAATTTTAAATGAAATTCCTACCGCACATCTATTAATGACTAGTTATGTATTAATTGATATGAGAGAGTAGTTGTTAAAATTAATTAAATGTTCTCAATTTCAGTTAAAGTGGAAAAAGTATATTAGAGATTTTATAGTAAAACTTCATTAATTATCTCAAGTAGGACTAAGTTTTAAAATATCCCAAAAAGAAAGTTGAGCCTATTGAGTTGAAATGGAGAACGTAGTATAATACTACTTCCATCCCTATTTATAAGAGGTTTTAGACATATTCTTTTCATTAGTTTTTATAAGAAGTTTTATTTTTTCAAGAAAGCATTTAATGACTTTTTTTTTCTCTCTTTACCCCCACAACTAACCAATTCAAAATTAATTTAACCACTTCATTAATGTTATCAAGGATAACTTGGAGAATTTACAAAAGTTTTGAGACAAAAAATTAAATTTTATTAGTTTTATTTGTTTTTGTAAAGTTAGTTAACTCCATCTTATCAATAGGAAAAGGAGGTAGTAGAAGAAAACTTTCAAACAAGATTTAAATCTTTTCATAATTTTTTATACAATGTCAATTATATTAGCGCCGTTCGATTGAAATTAATCGACTTAATTAACGGGTTAAGCGATCACAAAAAATCAACTTGATGGCATATAGTTTTATGCAACGGAGTGTTTGAAGTAAATGCTCTATTTGTATCAAAATTTCGACTCCAAATCCAAACGAATCGTTTAACTGATTGATTAAAAGGAACTCAATACTCCTTTTAGTAGAGAAAAAAAAAAAAAAACTAGATAATATAAACATCCCCTATTTTTCTTCATCAGAAACTGGAATTTCTCAAGAAAAGCGAATCTCCAAATAGCCGAAATTTACAAAGACAACAAACTCAAAATGGACTGAAGGAAGAAACCCCAACCTCCGGCCCAAAGTTGGAGAATATACACATTTTTTATTTTCTCTTTCTTTAATATGCACATGATGCCTCCATTCTCCATTTAATTACCAAACTGAAATTCCAACGGAGACAAAAAAAAAAAAACCGGGAATTAAAAGTTAATCTGGCATGATCAGTAAGAAGCCCAGGTAATTGGTTGTAGTAAATCGGCGGGTTCGTAACGAAGACTGGATGGGCAGGCAAACAAACCGTACTTCTCAACCAGTTTCCTGGCCAACTCACCAATGGCGAACGCGATTCCGGAGACCAACACTGCACACGTAACGTAGTACGTCACCGTCTTGAAGTAAGCCGAAAACTTGTGTTGCCCTTTTGTGTATGCCTTGGCAATTCCGAGAAGGAATATGCATACCAAAGAAGCAATTCCAGCAGCCAACATTTTGAAGTCTCTATCGTTAGTCTCCCGAAATGTGAATCCGTACGTCAAAGGTGCAACCAGGCCGAATACAATGTATGACAATATAGCCACTGTTGCGTGGAGAGGGAAATACTCTTTCCTCCCAAGTTCTTTCTTGTATTTCTCTTCACTGATTTGGTCATTTTCTCCGTATCTCAAGTCCTTAAGCTGCGAATTAAAACCCGAACTAATTAGCCTTTTTCTGTTATTTGAGTTGAAGCAGTTACGAAAACATGACTATCATTTTAGGACAGAATGCTTACATTGTGAGCAAGGATGACGAGCCCACCAACCAAATTTGCGAGTGCAAGAACCACAATGTTCACTGCGTTACGCGGAAGACGATAATTAATTAACCAGACAAAGTGATCGACGAGTCCATATATAAACATCCTAAGTGATAAATATCTGATACCAACCATTAATTAATTTGAAGTACGTTTGTGGATGATTTTTTTTTTTCTTCCTAACACGGGATCCAGGAAGTTGTTGAATTGAAAATTTGAAAGTAGAAAAGTACTTACATGTTGTAGCATTTGCAGCTGCTGATGATGAAACGATGCTCAAGCTCACTATTGACTCCATTAAGCCTCCATATACGATACTTTTCACTATCTCCAAAGACCTATAGTTTTCGGGTTGGGTTGCAATTGGTGGTGTCTCTTCTTGATGAACAGGAATTCTGATTTCACCTTCTGTACATCGTATATAGAAATGGCAGTTTAGTGATTAGAGAAACTCTACTGAGTACAATTAATTGCACAAATTAATGGCATGAATTTTTCCAAATAATTATGTACATTGGCTCTCCGCTCTCAGTATATGATCTCACCTGGTGGTGTAATCAGTGGGGGCCTTATAGCATTGACTTCGTCTTTCCCATTTCCAAAGAACCAAAATAGATTATATCTCCATCCTGCATATATATGTTTTTTGGAGTAAAACTTAACAGTAAAAATTTAGTAATGGCCTAACTAGCTTAGCAGCCTTAGCTAGTATATTCAACAAATAAGATATTGATCAAACCATATTTGACGGCCGCTTGCACATCATCTTGACTGGATGGGGGCTCGATCACATCTGGTTTCGGTTCCCTCGGAACATGCGGAATTTGTGTATCACCATCATGGCTGACAGCTCCAAAAAGGCGTAGAGGGTTCAATAACTTCAGTTTATTGCCTGGTTGATCATATTGACAGATTAGTTTAACTAGTAGTCAAAATACTTAGCAAGATGGATTCCTAGCTAGTTGGTTATTTTTGTAAAATTATTCTTTGTCTCTTTAATATCATATATGTATATATACCACAAGAGACAAAAAAGCTCAAGCATGATGCACATCCAAGTATTTCATGGTCTGATGATGAATCTGGAATATTTGTGGCCGCTGGAATCTTCGGTTTAGGTACTTTTCGACGAAGAACCACTTTTGTGATTCGACCTCTACAGTAAGGGCAGTGCATAGTATAGCCATCATGAGTGTGAATCCTCTCGACCGCCGTCTCGAATTCCAATTCAACAACTTCTTCATCGTCGTGACTTTCTTCTTCCACTTCATAATTAGTTGCAGTTTGTTTCTTGGTTGGCCCTGTTGAAGTTTTTACCACATTGTAATTTCAACTTGTGCCAGGTTTTCCATTGTTATTAAGGCTTGCAGACAGTCTTGATTACCTTGTTGAATGTCTATGCCTTTGCCTTTGGATGCACCCAAATTCGTCCCTTTCACATTGATTTGAGACCATTCGATCTCACTACCTGCATGTACGTGCGAACTATAAATGTTTACTTTTATGTCAAGGATAGAGCTAAGAATCTGTTATACCACAATTTTACCATACATTCTAAATCATCGTATAAAATTTGTCGTATTTTTTATTTAATTATTGCTTCCCGTTTTTAAAATTATTTTACTAATACCTAATCCATGGTTGAATGAACCCGTCATGACCATGCATGTGTTAAATTTTAGTGAATGATGTGTAGGAATTTTTTTTTTTTTTGTTACAAAAAGACCATGCCATCCTAGTTTTACACCTCTTACTGGCCTTTGGAATAGATATTTAGCCGTCCCATAAAATCAATAATATTATTTTTGTTCGATAAACAAGCTGAAAATTGAGTACACAGTTGCGTGGTAGGTAAAATGATAAATTGGCACCTGGCCAGCTAGTGAGGTACAAATAGCAAACAACCGTTCATTATATATATGTATAGCCGGCCAGTATTGACCACCCCGGAGTCAACCAACGGGTATTCTAGAAATCTTTCCCCCAACAAAGTGCAGTGATTAACGTAATAAGAGGACAACATAACTAAAGTAATTAGTATTTGATAATTGTTCTTAACATAATTTGTTCGAAATGAGGACAACATTTTTAACTTTGTGACTAGAAATAATGAAGAGGACGAAAAAAGAACATCATTGTATAAACTATCGAAGACGTAAATGCATTTTCTCATATAAAAAGTTTTGAATTTTAGTACTCCCTCCGTCCCGTAATTATTGTCCAGTTTTACTAAAATGAAATATTTTATTTTTGGTCAAACTTAACTACATTTTACCTTAAATAACCGGATATACCCCTATATAAGTAATTGTTTAACCATTAAGATTTTATGGATAATGTTTTTTACTAAGGACAAATGTGTAACTTGGTCCATAAAAAGTCAAATTGGATAATAATTTTGGGACAAATTTTTTTGGACAAAGTGAACAATAATTATGGGACGGAGGGAGTATTTTCTTTTTAAGTGGTTGTTTTTGAAATACATAATTTATCCGGGCTAACAAAATTAACTAAAGAACAAAAAAGAAAATATCAACCTCAAAAAATAAAAGAAAGGAAAAGAGATGATGACTAATAAATATGGATAGCTCACTCCAAAATATAAATTAGACAATAATTTTAGGATGGGGGAATATATAATTTTAATTTAACAAATTTTTTTTCCCGGGACAGAAAAGTATAAATAGGAGGAGCTACAGTTATAAGTTGACGTGAGAAAAATTGCACGGCGTTCCAAAATTATAGTATGTGCTAGAAAATGTTGTTGGGAATGCTATAAATAGAGAGTAGTATCCGCATTAAAACCGGAGTAATAAATTCTAGTAGTTCCCGGAGTATGGATTATGGATAATGGATCTAGATTCCACTCTCCGGAGTAGTAAATTCCTGAAACCTGTCCCCCCTCTCTTCCCCAGACGGAGAAAAAGAAACGAACTTCCCAATTAATATGAGGGTAAAGAAGAGGGAAAAAAAAATCTAAAAAGCTAAAAATACAGAAGTTTGATTTGTTAGATCAAACTACTCTAGGTGATATTCCCTTTTTTTTTTTTTTATATGTCTTTCTAGAAAAATTATCAAAACTAAGAAAACATTAATTAATATAGTTAAAATACAAAAACATCCTTATTTATGGTCTATAAAATTCATCACAAACTAACAGAAATTCATTATAAATACTGTTTCATTTCCAATTCAAGTGTAATATTAGTAAAAAGTAGTCAAATATGTCTCGATTTGTGAAAACGATATATATTTAAAAAAATTTACTAAGGCCCTATTTGATAAATCAATTAAGTACTTAAACTTATTAATTAAGTACTTAATTGATTAGCATTGTTTGATAATACAGTATCATAACAACTTAATTGATTAAGAACTTAATGTATTAAGGACTTAAATTTTAAGTGCGTTTGATAACTCAAAGTAGGATGTCTTAATAAATTAAGTGGGTCTGAAATGCTAGTACAAATGTGAGCCTAAAAATAAGTGATAGGTCAATCACTTATGTCTGAACTGAATTCTTGAGACGATTTTTTTTCTATTTATTTATTTTTATATTTATACTTTTGATATTTTATCTTGAAATACTTTTATTAATCATGATGTCTAGTTTTAAATTAAAATTTATGTAAATTATTTTTTATTTAAAAAATATTTATTTTTATATAAAAATTAAAATCCATTAAATTCCATGATCAATATATATTTACCATAAAATATAAATTTTTTTGACAATGATAAAATATGGTATTATTATTAACTGAAAAAATAATAACATAATAAAATAAATATTTTTATTACATTATTTAATAATAATATTATTATTTTTATTATCATAGTTTCATAAGTTGAAATATTTTAAATTTCAGTGTTCAGACTTCAGATTTCAGGCATTTTATTCAGTGTTTAGATTTTGATTTTTATCAAACACGACAAACTTAATCAGTTTAGTACTTATGATTCAGTCTTCAGATTTCAAACGTCAGACCTAAATTAAGTTTTATCAAACGGGCCCTAAATCTTAAAACGACATATATTTCAAAATGGAGGGAATAACTGATAATGGTTAAATATCTTACCAACTTGTTATAATAGTTTAATACCTTAGGTAATTGTCTTCTTTATTGTATCAGAAAAATTAAATATTTTCTTCAGTCCGATATTTTGATTTGTTCTAAATTTTGGCTAATTGAAAAAAATTTAAAAATATTTTTTAATAATTAAGAGAATACAATAAATGTGAAGATGTATTTTTCAGAGTTTTTTTTTCAATCGAAAAATATATTATGTGAAATTTAAGGCAAATTAAAATACGGAAGGAAGAAGTATATATTATAACAATTTCTTTCTTTAAAAAAACAAAAACCCGGTTCGCTGGAATTTCTACGCGGGTTCAGCGAAAACACCTTTGCGTATATACAAAGTATGCTCTCCCTAAACTTAATATTATGTTTAAAATCATGTAGATTTGTAAGAAACTAAAAATAAAGATGGTCTTCCAATGATATAACCAAAGGTGTATTTTACTTTGTCCCAATTCGTTAAAAAAAAAAAAAAAAACCAGAGAATCATTTCAGAATGTATATTAATTACTGACCTTCACTTTTGTGGAAGTACTGAACGCCGTTTTCCTTCTTATCACTAGTCGGATCATAGCCAGTCTCCAACTCCTCGGTTGTTTCACCGGCGGATGATGATGTCGTAGTTTCATTAAAAGAGACGGTGGTGAGAGTACTTCCATCGCCGGCAACCTCCGCCGTCGTCGTCTGCCGCATTACTTCCATGGTGGGAGAGTAGTTCTGTTGTATATATAATGAATGAAGCTAATTAAGTTGCAAAGGTTTATATATATATATAGGTTGGTTATTGGGGTGGGAAGTAGACTTAAATACCCCCACAAATATGAGGTTATTGACTGATGATGACACTAGTTGAATTAAATAAACTAGTACTGTATGAGCTATTTCCAGGGTATGAACTCATGGATGCTTTAAACTTTAAAGTAAACCACATTATGCTTGTGATTAATTCCCCCCTCCCCCGGTTGATTTCTGGTTTGAACACTTGACCAAATTAAGGTGACTAATTTGTCCTAAATTAATTGGCAAATTTTATCATGTATTCTTTGTAAACGGATGTCAGGTAAATACTTTGCGATCCTTTTCGGTTTTTTTTTTTTTTTTCTGATAAGAAAAAAAGACATAACATTGACCTATTGAATTTGATCATATGAAGATAATATTGCTGTGACTTGTAAGAATGTTTTAATTTTTATACTCCTTCTTTTTTACTTATGCTTATTAAAACTAAAGTAAAAAAGTATTGCGGAGATGGTTACTTATGTCTTATGGGAAAGAATGAAACCCCTGCAGATAGATGATGGACTTGCCCAACAACAGTAGTAGTGCATTATTTGACTATACTCTTGACAACTCAATGTGTAATATTCGATCTGTAATGTACTTAATTAGAATTTCAAAATTTATAATCTAAAACCTCATAACAGTTAACAAATTTGCATATGCCGTACCATTAAATTTTTTGTAAAAGGGAAAAGAAACCTTCATAAGTCAAGAACACAGCTAATTAAATCACAGCTAACCAGCTAGGCTAGCTACAAGCCATAAAAACATTAATTTAGTTTTCTTTTACCGAATATTAACACTTAATTTTAGCGCATTGCACGAGATGGAGGACACATAATATAAATGGTTGACCTATATTCCAACTATTTTAAGTTAAAAACATCATGGAGTACTTTTCTTTCACCTTGTCAACTACTAGTCTTATGTTAAAGTATGTGACTACTTATTATTTTATTTTCTACTAAAACCCGAAAGATATAATATAACTCATCCATTTCAAAATAAAAATTATATTTATTATATTAAAGTAATATCATGATATATATATATATATAACTCGTATATTTGAGAAGAAAATACTAATAATAATTACTGTGATTCGTGGAATAAGTATTTGAATATGGAACTCTTTTTTCTATTCGAATTAAATTAGGAAAGGTTGCCGCTAGAAGTGGATTGAAAAGCTCATCCATCACCTCAAACACCAAATAAATAATCACTAGTTTCACATGTTACAAATACTACATCTTTCTAGCTGCCATGATTTTCTCTGTCTCCCGTAGTCCCGTTCATATTTTTACCTTCCATGTTGAATTCCAGGGCAAATGGAGAGGACACCACGTATTCTGAACTCACCTTAATCAAAGATTAATTTATTCCGATGTCACATTACGCTATAGCTTCTGCTTTCGATAGTGTTCCCCACGTCTTTGAGGCCACGTTTTCTCTCGGTACGCTAATCACGGATTTAATTAAACTAATCAAATTCTATGACCGAGATTAGAGTCACCGTTCACGTGGCCATCTTTGGTTTATCGTCTTTTACAGTATATATCTTTTACTACTAGTTTCTAGATCTTTTTACCAGTTGTATTTGGGTCTGTACAAAAATTTTAAAAAAATCAATAATGATTGAAAAATTAACTTATGAATGTATTCCTATAATGCTTTGAATAACATGTATTAGTCTCTTTATCATAAAAAAAAATGTCAACGTACTTTAAACCGCATTCCCCTTTTCTGTACGTAAGATATCGTTGAGATTTTCTATTCATAAAAATCACCTCACAAAATAGATATCTTTCAAACCGTTTAAAAATACTTAAATATAATATATATAAGTTATTTTTAACCAGTCCCAATAAAATAAATGATTGTCATTAATACTAATAATAGGACATGTCCCTAATAATATGTATGCGAAGTTAAAATACGTATCATACTTCAATGAGCTTGAACGTAGTAAAACAGAAAACCAAAAAAAAAAAAGCACAATGCGAGTACGTGACACTTCGTGGCATGTTCTTCGCCACCTTTATGTTTTATTCCCACACCGATTTTTTCTGTTTCCTCCCAATGAGAAGAGATTAATAATGAATCCAAATCTTATACAATGCGTCTAATGTAATTTAATAGGGTTTACTTTATTGTATCGTTGACCAGACTGTACATGACCCGTTAGAAGAACAGGGTTTACTTTATTGTATAGTCTCAAAATCATAACCATATTGCAGAAATTTTAGTGTAACTAACCGTTTAAACAATATTAGGAGTACTATTATCTTTTTCTTGAAAATAAAATAAAATTTATAAGAATTGTTGGGAAGCGCTTAATTGCGTTTCAGAAAAGGGAAGTGGATTAGACCACATTACAATGCCTAATTTTGCGTTGATGTTTATGCCTTGTAATTGCCGGTAATTCCTCAATTTTCCAGTGGGTGATCGACTATATGCATTAACATGAAGGGGAAAAGTTTGTAAACTCGTCAGTTTTGAATATGTATTATACAAAAATTTTGAAATCTGTTTCCTCCCAGTCTTCTTTTCCTCTCCAATTCTCACCGTCTTAGCGTGTCGTATTTTTCACGTCTCAAGCACGAAACAAATCGATTACCCAGTAATAAGGGCACTTGCTAGCTAGCTAGCACTTCGGGTACTCATCATGTTCAATTTCCAGTAGCCTTATGGTTAGATTAAACATAGGCATTTCTCGGAATACATTAGGAATATCTGTTCTTATATGAGGATGGGCTTTTCCCACAAACTTGTAAATAAATAAGGGGCCACGTTAGTGGTTTTTGAAGAAGAAAAATGTTCCTTTCGCTCAAATTCTCTAAATTAATTCCTAAAAATCTAAAATATAATTCTATAAAAAACGAAGTGTCACAAACAACAATGTAGAAGGGGAAAATGAGAGCAATTCATATTCCTATTACTCTCACAATGGCAAGACCAAGATTTTAAGATAATAAGGGTAACATATTCTTCTGAGATAAAAACTCTAAAATAATATATCTCTTCATTCCATTTCAAAGTGATGTTTGCTTAACAAAATAGTACTCTCTTCATTTCAATTAAATAGACCCATTTGATTATAAATAAAAATTAAGAAAAAATGAACGATACAGCTTATGTGATTAATTTTTTTAAGTAAGATATATGATATATTCCCTCCGGTCTTTAATATAAAGCATTTTGATGTTTCATAGGTTTCACCTAATATGCATTTTTAATTGACGAAAAAATCTTAAAAATATATTTTCAAATTCGTCGTGTTCTCTTGATTGTTATAAAATATTTTTAAGATTACTTGGTAATCAAATCAAAATGTCTTATATTAAGGACCGGAGGGAGTACTACTTTTAATGACTAGTAGATTACTTGGTATTCAACGAAAATAATAATTAAAATTAATTAAATATTTTTAATTTGTAAAAATTTTAAGGGTATATGTAATAGAGGATGAATAAATAAAATTTGCGAATTAGAAGTTGGTTCAGTAGTAAAACCACCCTGATCTAAGAGGAGATCATGAGCAGTGGCGGAACTAGCTTCTAGTAATTGGGGGAGGGGGGGCTACTGTCCATTAGACGCAAGTGAAGAAAAAACTTATATACGTTTCATGAATAGATATATATATATATATATATATATAGATAAATCATTTATATATTACTATATAATAATTAGGAAAAAATGTTAACTCTAAATTTTCTTTTTAACTTTAAACTTATGTTGTATGCTGTCATTTTACTCGTAGGTAACCATTTAATGATAACATAAGAAATTTAGATAAATTCGTTTTGAAAACAGTAACAAAAAATACACAAAATTTATTTGCATAATCCCAAAATGCTTCATCTGGGGTAAATTTAACAGTTTTTTTGAAAATTAAAACGCCAAAAGTTTAAATTTTCAAGCGACATGAGGAACTTTATATAATATTTTTAAACATTAGGGATTAAGTTTGCAATTTTAGAACTCCAAATTCTCATGACATCTTCTTCTTGCTTGACAATAAATGCTGCAGTTAGATTGTCTATCACCGCCGCCGGAAAATTTCAATTACTATCATAACCAAACCCTTAAGTGCTTGGATTTTGTCTTCCTCAAACCCCTCCTCTCTCCAATATCCGGAAGAGGGGGGAGGGGGGCTGAGTTAGCAAAACGAAACCACCTAGGCTTTGACTGGAGGTACTCCTATGGGTTTCTCCGGTCGGCCGGGGGGTCTCGAGACTCCCCAGGCCCTAAGGTGGTTTCGCCTCTGGTCATGAGTTCAATCCCTCATTCCAACAAAGGTGAGGGATTGAACTCATGACCTCCTCTTAGATTAAGGGTGGTTCTCACTTTGCCTATTGACACCTACCGGACTTGAAAACTCTTGTAGTGGGCGTGGGTTTATCCATCTCCGATAGGATTCCCGATGTTACCAAAAAAAGAATAACTAAAATTTAATTTAATATTTGAAGAGGAACAAATTTTTTAAATGTTCAAAAAAATTGTATTTATTGAATTGAAAAGGAACGAGTACAATACAATAAAATTGATTAGTATATCGGAACAAAGAAGGTACTAATAAAAACTGTAATTGTAGTACCAAAAAAAGTAATTAATCTATTCATAATTTCTTCTTTTAGAAAAATTAATGGACCGATGAAGGACTGAAAATGGATGGGGAATAAATTCCTTTGATTTGGACATTAAGAGAGAGGGAAAAATCAGTAATTGATAGTAATGATCGATATTCACCACTTCTCTAAAAAGGAGAAAAAAATAGAAAAGAATCCGCTTCATTATTCTTTTCATCTTCACTAGTTCAGTCACACACGCGCACAATTTAAATCCCCCGCTTCACTACCTTCCTATTAGTAGCAGCAACAAAACCCGAGCTGCATCAGAATAAACGTTAGTGCAGAGATGGCGAAAGGAAATTGCAGGGCTGGAGTGGGTTATTGTGCTCGAAAGGAAAATGGAGAAGTTTTGGTAGCTGTGGCAGATTAAGTTGATTTTGTGCAGAACTATCTGGCAGCAGAACTGATAGCAGTCAGAATGGCTATGATGGAAGCTCAGAGAAGAAGAATTCAAAAAGTGGAAATCCAAATAGATGAGAAAACTATGGTAACTTGGTTGCAAGGAAAAACTATCCCTGTTTCAGATGTAAGCGCCATAGTTGACGGCATCTTTTTAGTAAAACTAGATTTTGAATATTGTAAATTTGTATTCATTAAAAAACAGTGGAATTCTAGTAGTCACAATCTAGCCAGATTAGCCTTGTCTAACAATTATACACAAAGTTGGGATCTAAGAGCCCCATTGTGGTTAGACTTGTCGTTTAAGACGGATTGTAATATCTCGGTGTAATTAGCTCATCTTCTTTTTTGGATGTTTTCTCTATATATGATTATCGATTCAGACAAAAAAAAAAGAAGCCAAAACCCGAGCTGCCGCTCCAGAGGAGGGAGACTCTATATAGGTGAAGAATATTACAAATTAAAAATAAGATATACAGAAAACAAGCTCTTGCTCATTTTTTTTCATTTTACCAGATTAAAACGATTCGAATTAAAATTCAGGTGAGCTTTGTTAACTCTCTGTCTCTCTCTCTCTCTCTTTGCTAACATCTTCTCTAGGGGTTTCGTAGGGACCAATCTATCAGAGAGATGGCATCATCAGTTCCGACCAAGTCTGCTCAAGATGTATGTGTTGGGTTTTTTTTTGCTTCTTTTTTTTTTGTTTTTATATTTTTTATCTCTTTAGTTCACTACTTCACTCCTTTCTCACTGTTTATTTTTGTTTTTTCTTGTCAATTCTTTGGCACAAATGGATGGTCGTATGTATGGGATGTTAATACAGGCTATAAATGAAAAGATAAAGTCGCTAAACAGTGGTGATTTCAAAGCCGAGATAAAATCAGTTGACACTCGGGAGTCATCCAATGGTGGATTACTGCTGGTCCTTGTGACTGGTTATTTGACTGCTGGGAAAGCCAACATAAACCAATTCCGGCATTTTTTTCAAACTTTTATCCTTTCTCCACGAGATGATACCGATGGTTCTAATTATTTCGTTTTGAATGATATCTTCCGCTTCACTGAAAATGCAAACCTAGAGATTAATGATGCGGTAGCTGTTGGTGCTCCAGAACAAAGTATGAAAAGAACATAATAGTAATAAAAATAACATCAGTCATCAGATAGTTTTATGATCAATTGTTTGGGAATTAAGATGGACTTGTGACGAATTAATTTTGTTGCTGCAGATCCTCCAGCGCAGAAGAATGGAGATGTATCCATTCATAATGATGAGCTCTCACAGTGGAAGAGGTGGTTGATGAACCTCAGTCCCAACCAGTGGTGGAATTAATCCAATTTTTCTTCTTAGTTAATTTATTATATACCTTCCTCATGTTTGAACTACAATATTAAAATTCGATTAGCATATCTTTTTTCTGTATGAGTTAGTTATTTCGTCAATATATAGTTACATTTCCTTCATTTTTTTATAAATGAAGTCTTCAGCTCTGAAATATTAATGAAGAGAAAAAAAATATTTTTGTGTTATCTTGTAGTAGTTCTTTTTACCTTGTTAATTTAACTTCAACTTCATTACTAATTATGAGGAAATTGCTATCAACATTTGCCATAAGATTACTAATATTTTACTCTCTAATCGAGCTATATATGCCCGAAGACTATAGAAACAAAGAACCAGCAGCCATTTAAGCCAAGATGGGAAGGAGGAGGAAAAAATTTACGGTATTTTAAAGAAGGTTGATGAAGTTTTCTTCATCTTTTTCGTGTTGAGAAATTGATGGCATTTCATTTTTTAAAAAAATTACAATAAGAGAGGTTTCATACTTAATTTCAATGAAGACATTTTGAGAACACAATACCTTTATTACATTATACTCTAATCACGGTTTTACTTACGATGGTGGTGTTTCCAATCATCGGACACACACCGGACCTAAATCTACTAAGGAAGCTAGATAATCCCTTATGAAATTCGCCTACCGAAATGCATGCATGCTTGAGCCCAATTACGTTACCCACTCTCGCTTTAGCAACTCCCGGATTCCACAAGTTAAACCAGCATTGACCCTAACAAACTCACTTGTTATTTGCATCTATGTAAATGAGATAATCATCGCACTATAAGTTATGTGGTTCAAAAAATCAAAGAGTAAATAAAATACATGGACTCATGCTCTACTTCTTTGTCCATCAGTAGCTAAAGAATGGTCAATCTAACATGAGAAGGGAAATGGTCAATCTAACATGAGAAGGTATAAATCCCACAACTTCTCGCTGGGCATGCGACCTGGAATCATTTTCCTCCTCAATGTGCCACATATTGCGATATAAATAATCGGCCCATTGGCATTGCCAGCAACATTGTCCGCGAGGATCAATTATGATGTTCTCCAGGTTAACTCCACTCCTGATGAAATTTTTGAGAAGTTTCAATTCAGTTGCAGTACCCCGGTATCCAGCAAATTAACTCTTATCACTTTGAGATGATAATGGTGAGCGAACAACCTTAAATACTTCAACATTCATCTGCTGTCCTCCAATTCTGCAGTATCCGTTTCCCATTCCCGCTTCACTACTAACTCCTCCAAGTTGGGTGACGCCCTTATCAGCGAAACACCGAACAAACCCGGCTCTCGTAATACCAGGATTAATCTCCTCAGCCCAGTCAACAACCCAAGTTTCCTGAATTTCTCTTCCAGCTTAAGAACATCCGCAGGAGTCACTTGTGCTTTATATTTCAATCTAAAATGCAAGGTTAGAACCTCCAGTTTAGACAGGTACCTTGAACACCGCAACATAACATCCCCGAGGATCTCTAGATTGCCGCGGACATGAAACTCAATAAGCAACGGAACACTCTCGAGCAGTGCTAATACCTCTGGCTTGGTAACCTTAATCGATAAAAGATTGATGGCATTACGTACAACGAGAGATTGCACTCTGTCACAATCACAGATTTGCAGGTGTTTCAGGGCAAGAGATGAACCAGAAACTTCCAAATTAATCAAACCTTCAGAAAAGTGCACTACCAGGCATTCAAGAAACTTACAACTCTGCAAGAAGAACTCAAGAACTTTCCCCGAAACATTAACTTTTTTTCAGAGACAATGATTTTAGGGGTTGCAGATTCCAACACTTAAGGCCAACAACAACAACAGGAGAAGGAAAAGTATAATCAGATGTGACTTCTCTTGTCAGCGCCGCATTGTGTTCGAGGTTCAGTTATAGATTGGATACCGTACCCCCCTAGAAAAGGCATGAACCCAATTGTCAATCTGTGCCTGAAAGGAAACGTCCAAATCACAACAAACCCTGAATCCATCCAACACCAAAGCTTGGTGGGATTGCAGCGATTGGTTTGTCCACTTAATAAAATTAAGTCTCTCTCTCCCAATAGCCATGCAATGCATCACATTCATCTCCTGACATTCAGCTCGGTGGTTGGCGCGGTCCTCTTCATATGCTTTGCACACTTCATCTGCCGCCCTGATGAATGAAGCGGAAGCATCAAAGTTGAGCCGGGGAACAAAAGTCCATAAATTCATCCATCTTTTTGATAAAACACTTGTTCTGGCGGCTTATTTGGATGGCAAGAAACGACAAACTCATCCGGAAGCAAACTGGTGCAATCCTCGGCTATGCCATCGCTTATTGTACACTGTGGACGAGTTTAATTTTGGTGATGGGAAAAAAAAAAAAAAAAAGTCAGCGATGATATCAATTTAATTACAAGCACATATATTTAACTCGTGAATCAAATTTACACTGAATGGGATCTATTACCTGTCTTAACCCAAAGTCAAACCGAAATTCTGGATTCCTCTCCATTATTTATCTTTAGGCACCCATGACTTGTCTTGGATCAATAATCTCAAAACCTGAAAATCTCCGACGAAGAAACAAACATGAACATTAAGAAAATTACTCGTTCCTTTGAGGACGTGGTAGCAGATGCCTGGTCTGGCTTTATATCAAGGGAAAGCTTTCATGTTGCTTACAAATTTGAAAACTTAATATAAACTATATTTTAACAGTGAGAGTAATATAATATTAAATCAAAAAATTACAAACCTTTGAAGGCAACTGACTAAGGTGATAAACAAATTGAACATCTCAAAAATCAACCTAGATTAGATAGGATAAGATAATTTGTTATTGTCAAGTAATTTAGAGACTGATTAGTTATTCATTAACTCAATGTGGGCTAGGAGTATAAGGTAATCTCACAACACCACCTTAGGTACGTATTACAATTTTGTATACAAGAAATACCTAAGCTATTATAACAATTTATTGTAATGGAGGGCACAAAGTAGCTCGATGTGCTTAGGAATCGAGTTGGAAAATTAAGGCTCTGTTTGGTTGCATTGAATTGGGACCAAGAATGGAATTGGAGCTCTCTAATTCTAATTCTTGTGTTTAGTTGCTAAAAATAGAGGTCCAAGAATTGGAATTAATATTCAAGATGGGGTTCAATTCTTTATTTTCAATTCTTTTGTGGGAGCAAATAATTGGAATTCAAATTCAAGAGACTTAAAACACGCGGGTCATAACCGGGTTGTTTCCGGGTTATAACCTAAACGGGTCGCTCTATCAATTTTTGCATTTTGGCCTTTTTTTATATTTTTCTTTATTTTTTCAGCGCTGCTTTTTTCTTTTCTTTTTTTTTTTTTTTGCTTTGAGCGCTTCCTGGTATTTTTCTTTTATTTTTTTCTTCTTTTTTTTGTTGGGCTGTTTGTCTCATTATTATTATTATTATTTCATATATATCAATTTAATAATTATCAACGAAATCAATCTAAAATTAATATTCTTTTTTTTACAAAAAAATCAAAAGTATAGTTGTACCCGAAAAAAATTAATAACTAAATATTTTAGTTTTGGGTTAAAATTTTTAATATATGATGAGATAGTAAACAACATAGCATTTTCAATTTTTTTTATAAAAATTGTTCCATATATACACCTATATTATAATACATAAATATATATATATTAAACTATTCATGGAATCTTTTCACCAAAAATTATGTAAGTTGAGTTTTAAGTATCTATTATTTCATATATAATCATATACTAAAAATAAAAAAATTAAGCATATATTATATACTAATGTTAATCTATGTATAAATGAACCTCAATATTCATAAACTGAATTTAAAATGTTATATAATAATTTTTTTTTAATTTTGATATCAATCAAAACATCAGAAATTAAAAATTTTGAAAAATAATAAAAAGAGAGGAAAACAAGGATGTTTTACGTGTTAGTTGTTTGTGTATTAACTGAGAATTTTAAGTATCATATTAATAATTCTTATACGTAATAATATTTTTTTTGTTTCTAACAAAAATGTGTGTACATAATAAATTACAAAATTGATATAGCAAATTAATTGAAAATAATAATTTGTTTTAACAAAAAAAAAATAAAAATTGTATTAGTTAAACAACCACAAAGTAGTCAACTATACATTACATAATGAATTTATTTATTTTTTTGTGTTATACATATCTATAATAAATTAAGTTTTTTTTTTTTAGTTTTTGACAAAAAATATAAATTGTACTAGTATTAGTTATACAATAACAAATTAATTTTAATTCTAAAGTATCCAAATTTTTATGCGCCCAAACGCAAGAATTGGAATTAGAATCTTAATTCTAATAAATTTTCAAGATCTCCCAAACAAAGGAATTGAGATTGAATTACAATATTAATATCTCATTTCCAATTTAATATTATTGTAATTCCAATTCAATTGCAATTCAATCTAACCAAACGGAACCTAAAGATGTTTGATCGGAAGATTAAAAGTTAGATTTTTTATTGCTGAGTGTACAAAGAACTGGATAACACCTAACCGTCTGATTTGCATGAATCATGAAAAAAAACCAGATATGTATACGAGTAAAAAGCTGCACGGCGACAATGATGTTCTCTTCCCAGATCCTTACGTATTTTGAAAACACTAGTCGGTGGTTTCTAAAAAAATACTAGTATGAACCATTATTAAAGCTCACTGGTAAACAATTGGGCTATCTGTGAACAAATAAATAGATTACACTGCCTTTGTGCTAAAGTCCACACCAAGCTTAACGAATCACCGGTTCCCCACCAGATCAAGTTGATCCGTAAAATCAGCCATGTTGCCAATTGGGCTCCCTTCTTTTTGTTAATTATACTAAAAGTGAAATCTCAAAACAGTAAAATTAACTATGTGAATTAATATTTTTTTAAAAAAGATGGAGAACATTAAAATATTTTAACAAATAAAACTTTATATATTTTGAGATGGAGAAAATATATTACATCAAAGTGACCATTTCTTGAATTAATTCTTCACTTATTAGAAAAATAATCCATCTTGAGTTTAGAAATTTGTGTTTAATGAGTATCTTTCAACATTTTTTTTTTACATACAGGGGAAGCTTTTAAACTTTGATTACAAAAGGCCTCCTGGGTTAGGAGTGTCAAAACTTAGTTCTGCTATTACTTTGGAAGGGCGTGTTGCCAAAATATGAACCCCTTCCGGTGCTGTATGGCCCATTTTAGCTAAGCTATCTGCTACTTTGTTTCCTCGGCGATCAATGTGCAGTATATCAACTGTCAATTGCCAAGCTATGTTTAGCCCATGGAGAGCTCCCCAGAGTTCTGCTTCTAGAGTTGAACAATCGCTGATGTTAGCTGTAAAACCCATTAACCAGTCGCCATCGTGATTCATGAAGACTCCTCCAGCTGCTGATTTGGGGAGCGACGGTATTCTCGATCCATCCGTGTTGAGGCGGATCCATTGGTAGGGCGGCGGTTTCCAGAGGTGTTCCATTTCCGTCGGGGACGACGGTGAAAATGACGGTTTGGGCTTCAGAAGCTTGTTGGATCTATTGATCTCTGCTACTGCCGCCTTGATTGAAACCGTGATTCCTGTCGAATTGGTGTATCTCTCTGTGAATACCTCTTCATTTCTGAAACTCCTAAGTTTCCAACATGATGTGGCGAACCAAATTGACCAGGTAATTCCTTCCTGCAAAACAGAAGATGATAGATTAGTGTAAATCCATGTCTTCCAGTTTTGTCGAGTCCAGAAAAGGGTGCCAAGATTCTCCCTTATGTTGTTACATAATTGCATGGATTTGGGGCAGTCTCTGAAAAGGTGTAGGAATGTTTCTTCTTTTCCACAGAATGTACAGTTGCTGTCGTCTGTCATATGTCTTCTCCTCCTTTCTGCATTGGTCAGTAAAACTCCCCTTGATAGTTTCCAGAGGAAAGTTTTCACTCTTTTTGGGCCTTGCCATTTCCAGATTTTGTTCCAATGTTGGTCTTCTTCATCCCATTTTTCTTCATTGAGTTTTTGGTATGCGGAGGCTGTAGTGAAGTTTCCAGACTCTATCCATCTCCATATGTTGTCTGGTCCAAAATGTGGTTCTGGTGGTGGTATTGATAGGATCTTCCTTTGGATTTCTGTGGTAGTGAGTTGTTTGATTGCCTCCCAATTCCAATTGCTTTGGGGATTGATATATTGGCTTACGGTTTTGTGCAGGTCTTCTACTGGGATGGGCTTGGTTGCGTAATTTTTAAGCGGTTTATCCATGTTGGTCCATATATCTTCCCAAAAAACGAGTTGTTTTCCCATTGCCGATTAGCCATTTAGTACCGTGAATTGCTGCTGACCAGACTTGTGCCAGCTGCTTCCACAGGTGAGAACCATTTTTCCTTCTGTGCTGTGTTGAAGATGAGATGATGGTTGAATTGTATTTTACCTTAAAGATGGATGTCCATAAGCATTGTCTACCTGAGATTATGTCCCGTGCTAGTTTGAGTAGGAATGTTTTGTTGACATCTTTGAGTTTTCGGATGCCAAGCCCTCCTCTTGATTTTGGCTGACAAATTGAGCTCCAACTGACTAGATTTAGCTTTCTTTCTCCTGGGATGGAACTCCAAATGAAATCTCTTCTAGTTTTGTCAATTTCGTCACTTACTCCTTTCGGTATGACTTGTGTTTGCATTATGTAGATAAGGAGTGTCGCCAGAACAGACTTGCTCAGTGTATGGCGGCCGACCATGCTGATTTTCTTTCGACTCCAATGGCTCGTCCTTTGTTTGACTTTGCAAAACATTGGTTGGTACTTGCTCTTCTCAATCTTTCTGTGGATGATGCGAATTCCCAAGGACTTTCCCAAATCATCGACTAGCTTGATTCCTAGTTTCCTGCTTAGGTTATTGGTATAGGATTGTTCCACATTAGGGGTTTCTGGCAGGATGCGGTGAGCCCAAGGATCCGTAAAATCAACATATGCATGCTTTTCCAAGGATCTCAAAAGTCAACATTGTAGAGGGATGCAAAGTAGCTCAATATTAATAGTTGGGCTAGCTCTGAACAGATAAAATCCAGAAATACAGTGCAAAAAAGCCCACACAAAGATTAGACCAAATCATCAAATTCAAAAAGCACATTTGTTGCTCCATCCATAAAAACGCAGCCATGTTGACAATTTGCCTTTCTCAGATTTTCTTGGAGTCTCCGACGAAAATGAAATCTCAAACACAGAATTAAAAAGAGCAAAAAAGACGAGACCGATCCATACCCAAATTTCACTTCCCCTTTTGGCTTTTGCTTGCTTACTGCTTAGGTCCCATCGAATTAAAAACCATTTTCTGACAAACACAAAAAGAAAACACAGAGACTCAGAACCGAACCAGAATCACAAAACTAGTTTCACTTCACAAAACACGCACACACACACACACACAGTAGCTCTTCTTCTTTTTCTTCTCGGCCTCTTCGATTCTGTGGCATGCAGTTTTTCTAGGATTTTTGAGCTAAAGGGATTAGTTTGGGAACCGGGTCGGCGTTCAATTGCGGCAAAATGTTGTCAAGAGGTGCGTTCTCGGTATGCAATGCCATCACCGACCACAACAATCAAGCCGCCGGAGCTTCCTCCCTAATTGGTCAATGCCACCCGAGATTCTTCAATTTCGCGAATCAGCAGGGCCGGAACCTGGGTCTTCCGTCCTCCGGGACGGCCCACAAGTGGCCTGTTCTGGCCGTGGCAACTGGCGAGCCGAATACTAAGCAAGCCGGATTCGAGCCCAGCCTTGCTGACCGGCTCCGACTCGGGAGCTTGACGGAGGATGGGTTGTCTTATAAGGAGAAATTTATTGTACGGTGCTATGAGGTCGGGATTAACAAAACCGCCACCGTTGAGACCATTGCAAATCTGTTGCAGGTAATCTCCCCCTTTTTTTGTGCATTTTCGGTGCTATTTGGTGATACAGATTTGATGCTTTTTATGAACTTTTAGCTGTATATTCGCCAATGCATGCGGTTTATGCACGGAGAATGCTGAAAATCTTGCTAATTTTATACTGTGTCTTTACGGGAGATTGGTCAGTAATCGTTTCTCGTTCATTTCTCACGACTTCTTTGCGAGGGATCAGTTGATTGATCTGGAATCTTTGTCCCAACAAATGTTCTTGCTACCACTTGACTTTTTGGACTCTGCCCTTCTATGTTTCCATTAATTATATTTCTAGATATTTCCTGTTGATTGCGTGCGTGATGGGAGGAGTCTTAATACCCCTTAAACAAGGGATATGAAGCATTTGTTCTATGACTTAATGATTTCCCGTGAATTAACAAGTCAATGAGTTGGTATTGTTGGTTGGAGATTTTTTTTAAAAAAAATCCATTCCGTTGGCACTTTTTGTTTTTCCTCCCTGTTTGGTCTAGTCATCCTGCCTCAGATTTTAACCTTGCGGATTAGTTTTCTGATCACGAGAAAATTTCCACTAGTGAGGGATATTTCGAGTTATGCAACTGTAGTTAGCTACTTAGCTCGATATGGTCAATTATTTACTGTTTGTAAACTGCAAATGAAATTTGTTGGCAAACATTTTCAATCTTGATTCTCTGAATATAGTTTTTCCTTTACCTTTTGTGATCAAAAATTTGCTTTCTGTAATTAACTACTTTGATATGTGTTCTCCAGGAAGTAGGATGCAACCATGCTCAAAGTGTTGGCTTTTCAACCGATGGGTTTGCGACTACTCTTACCATGAGAAAAATGCATCTGATATGGGTGACTGCTCGGATGCACATTGAGATTTACAAATATCCTGCTTGGTAGTAATTAAGTTCTTTCTGAAATCATATTGTTCACCTGTCTAACTAGTGGTATCAGTTTTATGCACATTTCTTATATCTGTAATCTGCATGGCAGGAGTGATGTAGTTGAAATAGAGACATGGTGCCAAAGTGAAGGAAGAATTGGTACGAGACGTGACTGGATACTAAAAGATTATGCCAATGGTGAAGTCATTGGCAGAGCCACAAGGTGATGATTTTATAATTCTGATAGCAAGTAAAACAGTTGGTGTTTTGGAACTTGGCATTGCAGACATGTTATATTTTCCCGTATACAGATATTGTTGTGTGTTTTTTAATTGTTTCACAATAGTTGTGTAAGATTCCTATCACACATCACATGTTAGAAGAAAAGCTTCTGCATTTCATACTCATTAAGCAACTGAAATGCGGTACTTGACTTTCTATTGCAGCAAGTGGGTCATGATGAACCAAGACACAAGACGACTTCAAAAAGTGACAGATGAGGTCCGTGATGAGTATCTAGTTTTCTGCCCAACAAAGCTTAGGTGAGACGCTGGCTTCATTAGTCTTCTTTACTGGTGCAGAACTGTAGTATCACCGTAGCATATGCTTTTCTGTATTGTGTTTAGAGAAGGTTCTAAATGTTGACTAGCTAGAATTCTTCTGGATAATACTGTAGCTATCGAAGAATTGTTTTCAGTCAAGGTTTGACGAATGTTCCTTACATTTATCTGAATTTAGATTAGCTTTTCCCGAGGAGAATAATGCCAGTTTGAAAAAAATTGCAAAGCTGGAAGATCCTGCCCAGTATTCCAAAGTTGGGCTGGTGGTGAGTATCTCTTACTTCAAATGAATATTACAAAGTTCTGCTTTCACGTCTCAAATGCTTGTGTTATTCATCAACAGCCGCGGAGAGCAGATCTGGACATGAACCAGCATGTGAATAATGTCACTTATATTGGTTGGGTTCTCGAGGTTAGTGTGCCTATCTGGAATTTTACATCTTAACACAGTGACCTTGTATGATTATATGTATTCTCATTGACCTGTACATTGTCCTCAATTTATTAGCTAACATCCTCAAGTGTGATTAAAAATATTGTTTTTAGGAAACTGGTTAATAAGTGAAAGTTTAAAACAGAAATGCTATTCCTTATTATCACAGTTATGATGTCTTCAATGGCGTTGTTTTTCTGAATGATTGTGGTTCTGATTGCTTACGTGGGTGCAACCTCGTCAACAGTGCAACAAATCTCATTGATTGAATACTTGTTGCTCGCAGAGTATGCCTCAAGAAGTCCTTGACGACTATGAACTAGAATCTATCACCCTGGATTATCGGCGTGAATGCCAGCATAATGATGTAGTTGATTCCCTCACAAGCCCTGAGCTGGAAGAAGATGCTGCAATTAAGGCAACAAATGGTTCACCCACATCTAAACAAGATGGGGGTGAATCCTGCCAGTTTCTGCATTTACTAAGGTTATCTGGTGATGGACTTGAAATAAATAGGGGTCGCACTGAGTGGAGGAAGAAAGGGGCAAAAAGATGAGAACTGAAACAGTTGGACATTAGCATTCCCCCCTCTTGGCTTTCATTTAATGAGAGTTTTTGTTGCTAGTCTCGTATGTTGCTCCGTATTTCCTTAAAAAAATTTCTTTGGACTGGAATTCGATTTGCCTGAAAACTTAGGTCTCTATTGAACCGTGAGTTACATATTCTTGTATCTTATTTTTAGTTCTGTGATGATTGAGCATACTGCCAAAGATATGTACTTAGGGATGGCAGGATTAAACTTTGCTATTGCTTGTGTTGCACTGTTGTAATATTAAGGGAGTTAATATTCTCTTCTTCATTTGGTTTAATTTTTCTCGGGTGTACTATGTGCATATACTTCTTGAAATTGGGGAATCATCTAATCAAACAGTCCCCCTATGGACTTTTAGAAGCAAACCCGTGATTTGTTTGGATACTGAAACTGATTCATTTGGGGGAAATGCAAATTGTGGAAGGCGTCATTATCACAAGTAAGACGACATTAAACCATCAATTGAAACAGCTGGTGGCTACAATGACTTGACTCGGTGCTACTAGTTGTATCCTTGCATTAATGAGCTTTTTTACTACAATTTTAGCTTGCTTTTCTTACAAAAAATGGCAACTTGAGAAGGCTTTTGACTACAATGTGATGATGGCTGATGCCACATTTCGTAAGAGTTCATTGTAAAGGCGTTTGACAGAGGGTGAACCAGCAGCATGGAAATGTACATTAATGAGGGGAATGGCGAAGGACACGACTCCCAAAATGCAAGGTTAAGGGCTTCCCAAAGTCCGACGTACGCCTGTACGTTGAGACTTCGGTTACAAAATGTTATGGTCTGGCTGAGGCCACATGCGTATGCCTTAAAGGCATGGAGACATGACATAAATGCTAAAGACCTGAAGAAGGAAAGAAAGCCCAACTCAATCTGAAGAAGTAACAGAACAGGTGGCCTTAGTAGTAACAGAACAGGTGCATGATGTTTTGAATCAGTTACCATTGTCAACGAGATGCAAAATCCAGGTTTAAAAAGCAGACACACCATTGTAACCAGGGTCTGGCCCTGAAAAATTATATGTTGCCTTGACAGATGATGCTTTTGATTTTAATGATTTAAGAATCTAGTAGGCAACTGCCAGTAGTTCCTCATCAAGGGTATGCTGCAAGTAATGTATCAAAGTTCAACAAACTGATACATAATAGTAGTTCAAAGACTAGAAAACGCAAAAACGATAAGTATAGTATCTTTGACCAGCTTGCAAGCTCACGTTGTTTGCCAGAAAAATGCCACTTAGGCATCGAGCTTAGAAAGATCCACACCTAACTTGACGAAATGCAAAAACTTGATACGGAAGTACTTCGTCGACTTATTCGTCTTGTTTATTTTCCCGACAATAAAGTCGACGAAAGAAAGTTTTGTAGTATAAATTTACATCGTCTAGTCGTCCAATTCCTATGTAGTAGGAAATCTGTACCATCCTTTCCGTTTTCAAGTTTTCGACTAACGATGCTATGTCTTTGAGAACTGATGACTCTCCATCTACACTATATTTGTTTGATGCAGCCTATGTTTCTGATAATTTCTACCTCTGAGAATTTGTGACACACGACATTCATCCAACTCAAGAAATGATATGTTTAATAGGCCTACAATAACTGGACATGAACTTGGTGTAACTGTGTTTTATGGGCATATGTGTTAGGTTCATGTTGTGAAAAGAACATTGTGGACTTGACACAGAAATTCAACTCTTGTCCTGCAAACAAACGCTAAGTACGATCCTATGGCCACTACTAATTGACAATTAGTGTTGTGATGAATAGTGGCCTTAACCGGCATAAGCATTGTTTGCCCCAGAAATGGACTTATTTCGCTTTTTTAAGTTGAACAACATTTTATTGCATAAGCCGATTGAACAGATCACCAAATAAAATCACATCAATAATACAACAAAATCATAAAAAAACAAGATGGAAACACACACCAACGTTGTGTTGCTGAGGAAAGAGGTTGTAACGGATTTTGGAACTTTTGCTTAACTGGCACTTCCCATAACTTCCACGCAAAATCCTCAATGATCCCAAACTGATCGACTCCGACCCTTATGAAATTTTTTTTTGCTATAAATTCCGGGCTTCTGACACATAATTTTCCACACTACCCACTCATTTATACTTTACTCTGTTTTTTTTTTTTTTTTCAAGTTGATCATGGCGAACAATGTTTCAATTACATTCATCACTCTGGTTTTCGTGTCTGTGGCTTTTCTTGCATTTGCTGAAGGAAGCAGTTCCGACGGCGGAAGCTCAACCCTGAAGGAATACATGCGTAAGTTCCGGCAGGGGTCAATCTCCGGCGACGTCCAGGAAGGAAGGAAGCTGCTGTATAAGCCGGTAAGCGAGCCGACTCCCGGCGGGTCTGAATCGGTCAACCACGAGGAGGCCGGGATTTACCATACGGCAAGCGAGCGGTACCCAGATCAAGATAGCTACCACCCCCAGGAGGCTGCTGAATCCGCCCACCATGAGGCCGGAATTTACGTCCCACGCAAACCACCAAAGTAGGCCGGAAAATTTTCTGCCTTGTCATTGTAGCCCCATATCTTCTCTATAAGATCAATTCGTACGGGCAATATGAATTATGATATTAAAACGAAATTATGTTTACTTCTGTTATTACCAAAATCTACTTCAATGCTAGCTACTAGGTTGGCAACCTATGTTGGAAAGACGAGAATTACGAAAAGCTAGGAAATCAATATTTCATTTTCAATGGTTATGAGTTGATTTTCTTTCAATACGATGAGGAGAAGTGAGCCTAAAATCATTGAATTATACTATATCTTACGTTGTTATTAATAAGTAACACCACCAACAACCAACCCCCAACCCCCCCGATGTAGTCTTATTCAACCATTAACCCATTGACATTAGACTAATCACTATGTCGTGGTTCTAAACCAACATACGCGAGGGAAAGGTTTCAACTTTATTAAAATTCACCGCATCAAACAATGTGTTGAGGATAATACTCTGATCTCTCAAAGGGAATAACATGCGGTTTTTGAGTTTTGAATGGTTTCTGCGATTAGGAAATTTGGAGGACCCCTGCCATCTTCTATTTAGCCAATAATTTAGCTTAAAAAAAAAATTTGGCATTATCTTTGTTTTGATGCGCTATGAATCCTATCATTCCTCATTTACCAAATGCCAATTGAACCGAAGTGTTGGCCATATCCATCGATCGCAAACAGAAATGGAATTGCAGAATGGAGACAAGACTAATTAAATCGCATGCATCTCGTGCCAAAATAATGCAAAGATAGGATTTTACTTTCTTTGAGAATAATGCTAAAAAGACTAATAAGTTAATGATAAGAAATCTACTACTAACAAGTAGTAACAAGAACAAACAAATCTTTGCCCAGAAGAGGTAGGTAGCTAGTAACAACTTCTTGGAACTTTGTTACAAAAGCATTTCCATTAATCCTAAACACCTTATCCTCCACGCAAGTACTCAATTATCGAGATTCCCCTTGTGCTACTTTTTTGCAGTATAATTGAATAGTTCTAGAACAGAACATCTACACCATTTCACCCATTGAATTTTGAAGCCAAAAAAAAAAAAAAACCATGCCGAAGATTTCCATTACTTTTCTTGCTCTGGTTCTCCTTTCAGTGGCTTTTCTGGCTGAAGGGAAATCTGAGAGAAACTCTTACTCCTACCAAAACCATGTTGTATATGGGCGTAACATACTTTCACCAGGTGGCAATGGTATTCAAGGTCGCGCAATTGCCGGCCACCAACAAGGAAGGAAGCTACCTGAGCAGCTTGTAAGCAAGCCGTTGGGCCCTATTCTTACTGGATCTCTGAGAGTGGCCAGGCCTGCTATCCCTGCACAGCAAAGCTACTGGGCTCGACTGACCAAGAACAAGGACTTCCCGGCTGGTATTCCACCAAAATGATAATGAGTTATTTGCCTGTGGTCCACCATCCCTTCTCTCACAGAGATGTATGGGCCTTAATAAATTATTATTATGCTGGTTTTAAGTTTTTTTTTTTTTTTTTTTTTTGAAAATTGCTGTTTTTTAGTTAACTACTAAATGAATCGTCCACTTCTCTGTTCACACACAGAGATGTATGGACCTTGGTTAATTAATAATTATTATGCATTATCCATATGAATCGTCCCTCAATTGTGCTTTTTAGTTGTTTTCTGTTTTCTCTTGCTTAGCTTGGAAATCATGGTGGCTACAACTTAGAAAGGGAGGTAAAGAAAACTTGGACATTAATCTACCAGATATATTTGCTAAATCATTAATCCTTTTTTTTATGAGGGCACAACTGCACTCTACAGCATGCATAGCATTCATGATACATTACATTACATGATGCACCAAAAGATTGGTACAACAGAGTATCATCGCAACGGTGCAAATGGTGAAGAAGGTGAAGATAGAAGTTAGAAGCCTTCATAAGTTATGAATCTGAAGAATATTCTAAAATGAAGAGCACTTGCACAGCATAGAGTGGTGCAAGTCGGTATCCACTACTATCGAACAACGATTAAGCATCCTAAGGCTTTTGTTCAATTCAAAAAAATTACATCAAATGACACCTAAAGAATGGCATCTTTGTTGGGTTTTGTTATTACCAGCTGACAATAAAGTACATCCACCAATGCAGCTACAACTCCCACAGGCGCTTCTGCCAAATTATGCATTCTACCACCGACTTTCACAGTATACCGGCATCACATTAACGTTATCGTTCTTCCTGTATCCTGGCCTCCCTCTAAACCGTCGCAACCCAAGCCTACAGGAATCAAACAAGCCAACAGTTAGAGCTTAGAAATAGAATATGTTTCCAGGCTCATGGCATCATGAAATAAACGAGCATCCTATGTCTATCAGCACCCCAGATACCCTGTATATCTATCAGCAAGTTCATTATGAAGCAACACCATGCCTATATTCCTACTTACAAAGAGACCCAAGAGATTGATACAAGTATGCAAGATATGACAACACAAGTGAAGAGCCTAACCTGAAAGATTAACTGGCAGCAGGGAGATAAACTCTGATCAACTCTTTCATAGTGACTTTCCTCCTACACGTTGGGCATTTATTCTGAGCAGCAATGGACGCTTTGATACATGCTTTACAAAAAATGTGGCCACACTTGGTGGACATTTCTTCAACCAATGGGCCCATGCAAACTGGACAATTAAAGGTAGGCTCCTTAGGTGGTGGAGGTGGTGCTGGCTGCAAAAACCGAAGAGTATTAAGTGTTAATTCACAATTCACATAAATTACATACAAATCCTAGGGAGAAAACCCTTGCTACATTAATCAAAACGGGGAGAGGAAGACATTAAATTGCCAGTATTCACAACAGACAAAGTAATCAATCAAGCATCACAAACCAAAGTGCATATATTCTAGAGCAGGCATTCTCACCCACAAAAAAACACGAAGTAGAGAAGCTGAAAGGGATGTTCAGAGAAGCTGCACATTTTTCTTAGAAACATATGTATCAGGGCTCTAACGGATTCTAATTCGAAAGCATTCTCATTGCACAATCTGCTCCATGACATAATTCCAAACACCAAAGCTCGCAAACTTACTATTAACTCTACTAAAGAGTAAAAAAAGGAACCAGATAATAGTGAAACACCAAGTTTCATATTCGCAAAAAACAAGGTAATGTAGTTTTCATATGTTAAAACTAAATTACATTACAAACAATGTAATGTAGTTTTAACATATGAAAATGACGAACCACATCAGCCACAAACTAATCAAAAGATACAACTAAAAGAACTAGCTTTACCGCAGCGTTGCTGGCAGCTTCCAGATTGATAAAAAAGTTGACTGTCTGGCTTGGACGAGTTCTTCGCCGCTTGTTGTGAATATCTTGAGGGAGTCGATCTGAAAAGTCTTCTGATGTTAATTGAAAGTAGAGTTAGCGCTAGACGACAAATGAAGAATAACTAGCAGAAGAAATGTCAACTGGAGAATGGAAACATAAAAGTTACCAGATTCTATATCAACCACAACTGGTCGCCCAAGATTTCTCCGAGAATTGTTTTTGGCCTGAAAAGAATGTAAAGATCTTTAACATAGTTAGTTCTGATATCAGGATGGCAACAGGACAGGATAGAAGCTCTTCAAAGATGAGCAACATGAGAAAGGCAAAATAACAGATGAAGGAAAGATAAAGGAAAGACAGGAACCCATGCCTCAGCAAAAGCACTTGGGGTGGATATAATCACATCATCATCAAGTGCCTCTAGATCAATAGGAGCAGTTGGCATTGGTGCAACTCCTTGGTTAGTTTCACAATCTTGGCCCTGAGAACGTGAAGAAGGCCCCACTTGTTCGCGGTTATCTCCAGGTGGAGGAACATTAAGGTCAACATTTAATGCTGCCTTTCGCCTTCGAGTCTGAGGCTTTGCACATGGCCGACTCCTATGTTCAGAGGTGCTCATGGTAATTATTGGGGCTCACTCCTAAAACCTGGAATTCAAGATAAACAGAAACACAAAACATCAACACTTTATACAGGAAAACATCCCGAAAAGGAAAGAGAGACTAAAGGTACTATTGCTACACAAATATCTGAATAAAAGAGGTGTTCAAGTAAAAAAAAAAACATATAAAAGCCAGATCTTTGCAATCATAATCAATTTCCCTGATGAAGAATATGAAACTGAAGGAGAACAGCCAACTGAAATTACAAGATAAATCTAAACCTTAGCCTTTCAATATGAACCCAACAAGCCAACAAGTTATCAAAATATGTGAAACTAAGAAGAGGCATTAAACCTTCAAGTAGGAGAAAAATTGCAGTAAGCAACACTACACCTTTGTCCCAATATGATTTAATAAACAAGAGCTTTAAGTTAAGGCCAATGGGAGGACAAATCAATTCATAGGGGACTGAAAAAGAATGCTACCACCATATGGGGTGAAAAAAAATTGAAGAAAGATTGGTTCTTTAAATGAAAAACACAATCCGCAACAAAGATTTGGAGCAAAAGTCAAATACTTAGCTCATATCCCCACCCTACAAGATGAATCTCAAAAGCCATTGAAATCTACTAAAATAGCTAACTCCACTTCGTCTCTAATTACTAACTGGCTGCTCCATTCAAAATTGTTGATTGATAAGAAAAAGTTAGTAAAGCACGCCAAAATCATCAATCAATAAGCACAAAAGCACTTCACCTACCATAATAAAAGATTAAAACATTATCTTCTAATCGGAATGAAAAAAATCTAATCTTTTGCCGGATATTGACGAAAAAAAGTGGAAATTTCAACAAATGACGAAAGACAAAAAAGTAACAAATAAACAGACTTGGTCAATAGAAGAAAAAGATTCAGCAGATTCAAAGATAAAGACGGTGGAAGAAGAACCTAATTTACCTCGGATTTGCCTGGAAACGAAGATTCTGAAAACCGATGGCGATTTGAGGAAAGAGGAAGCGGGAATTCAAATTAGACCACACAATAACGGCCCCCTCCGTTGGCTCTAGGGTTTCTCATATAGAGGAATGCGAAGCGTGTCTGTGTGTGTGTGTCTGCGTGAAAGAGAAAGAAAAAAGGATTGGAGAGGGAAGATGAAGCGTTTGAGTGCTTCCAAAATTATATATGAAGTGTTGCAGCGTGTGTGTATGTGTGTGTGTGTGTGTGTGTGTGTTGTGTTTGTACTTGATCATGGGGACCGGACCGGGAAATTCCTCTTTATTTCCACGGACGAAACGGCTGACGGAGGATGGGATTATCCGTGGGTTCCCGAGTCGGGTTTGGATCATGGGGCGTTGGGGCTAGAATTTGAGAAGAGTTTAATTAATTAGAGGGGACACGTTGCTCTTTATGACGCTACCTGCACTCTGATCTGCTTGCGTCGTTGCCTCCGTCAGCGCCTCTTGATTTAATTTGAATTTTCAAAATTTTTAACGTTTTTATTTTCTCTATTATGCTAATTTGAAACTGATTGTTAATATCAACGAAAATGACCTTTTATTTTTTCCCCCAATTATTTTTATTTAGTACTCGTGTAGTCAATTTAAGAAATTTTTTGTCGTCAAATGAAGATGTTTTAAACTACTATCTTATATTTCCAAAAAGTTTTTTATTCTTCAAAATATTCACAAAATTGAAAATTACTGTAATCTTGCATAACGATTCAACAATTATAATTTTTTTTTTATGTGAAAAGAGATACTATCTCCATCCCTATTTTAAGAGGCTTTTTTTCTTTTTATAAAAGTTTCATCAGAATCATTTAATAACTTTTTCCCTTTCTTTACCCTCACAGTTAACCAATTCAAAGTTAATTCAATGGCTACATAAATCAATATTATCAAGGATAATTTGAAAAATTTTCAACAATTTGGAGACAAATTACTACATTTTGTTAGTTTTATTCATACATAAAAAATTAGTTATTGACCTCCTATAAAAAGAAATAAAGGTAGTAAGACTTGTGCATTTGATTAAATTCTCAGTTGACATGGTAATAGTCATTCGCAAATATTTTTATGTTTCTTCAATGTGTTTTATTAATTAGTTGGCAATTGATATATGCAGAACTATTTTGTTAGATAAAGAGCAAATTCTTTCTAATTATCAATAATGCCCTTATATAAAATTTTAACACTTCTATTATAATTAATTTTCTTCATTTTCTTCCTTCTTTCATGGCTTAGATAAAATTTTATGGCTGTCTTTTTCAAGCCGGGGATGGAAGATACGACGTTGAGCTTCTTGCCTCTTTCGTAACAGTATCAATTCATTGATGCCTTAATTTACTTTTTATTTTTAATCTTAGAAGTTTAAGTTTCTTTAAATCTCTCAATATATTGGTGTTCCAATTTCTACTCTCTGATTTTTCACTCACCGACGTCAATTTATCGGATCATTCCCAGCGTGGTGAGGTCACAAGAAACAAAAACAATGTTATTTACCTTAATTTCTTTTAATTCTCAAATATCATGTTTTAATAGTTTTTTTGGTGCTGGAAGGATTAATTCAAGATCACAGTCTGAGAAGAAAAAAAAGTTGCGCAAGTTTTTTTTTTTTAATTTGTAAAAGGAAAAAATAATTACGCAAGTTTTTTTTTTATTTGGAGAAGGAAAAGAATTTATGCAATTTTATTTTCATTTTTTTTGTTTAGAATAGGATATTAGCTTTTATCTAATCCATAAAAGAAGGGGGAAAAAAATAAAGGAAATTAATCACAATAGATATGTTAAAATTTTACATAATTGAAAAAAATTTTGCTCTTTATATAACAAAATAGCTCTGAATTTCTCAATTGGCTAATTAGTTTAGTATAATGAGTACTTCTTGTGTCCCAACAAAAAAAATAATAATTCACACTGGATTTTGATATTTGTATAACATGAAAATTTAATGTGGCTTTTTTTTTTAATACAACGAATAGAATATGAATATTACATGGTTCACAAGTCATTAAAAAAAAAAAACCTTTTTTAAATGAATCCCCAAAAGAAATCCTCTTTTTTTTTTTTGTACAATAGAAGGAGGCTTATTGTCTAATAGTCTTGATTATTACAAATTGTTGGTACGAGACACCAACTACAACATATTGTAAACATGGCTTCAGCTCATCTAGTGGTTCATCCAACCAAATTAGTCCCCAAGTATTGGACGCCACTAGTGATGCTAAGGAATCTGCGACAAAATTCTGATCCCAATAAATGTGTTTCACCTCTACGGTCCGTGCTCTGTGTACCATCAGACATATAGCGAGCACTAAACTCCGATGCAAACAAGTAATATCCTCTTCGCCCAATACCATATTAACCACATCTAGATTGTCAACTTCTGCGATGATTTTTCGCATACCTCGCTCCCAAGCAAGATGTAGTCCCTATCTATAGCTCAGCACTAGTAATAGAGAAAAATCCAATGTTTATTATAAAGCCATTACCCCATCAACCTAAATGGTCTCTCACCAATCCCCTTGCACTTGCCATACCACTCTAACAAATAAATAAATAAATAAATAAAAATCAAGACTGTCAAAAAAGAGAAAACTAGAAGACATTATAACAACTTTTTTACTTGTTAGCATATCTGATTCGACACATTCACATACGAGCACATTACGAGCAATACAAAGACAAATTAGCAAAAGTTCCAGTCCAACAAGTGAACTATATACATTATCACTGGTTCTTTATTCGTAACTGCGTAGTAGCAGGAAGAGGACGCTAGATTACTTAATCTAATGAAGGTTTAAAATCCAACTTTGAGAGTTTAGGTCACAACAATTTACAATAATGTTACAATCTCGGGGCTATATAGTGAATTTTGATGAACTACCTTTCAGCTACTCAACTAACCCTCGCTAATCATTGATTGCACATGGCAAAATAGTCATGACTTAAGGCCACCAAGAGCCATATAACTTCTTCTAAATGACTATAAAATTGTAGCAAAACTACCTACCGATCATTTATATGTACAAAGTTCACATGATGTTATATGGAAGCAGTTGGTCTTTTCCCTTCGAGATTGTTTGAATTTAGATTGACCACAACTTGTATATTTGGCTAGAGAATCAATAGTGCTCCAATTGTTTACCTGTTAATTTCCAGTTCTAGTGGTGTCTCGGTAACTTCGACCTTATGCGCAAAGTTCTAGGGAATTTTTTAATTATTGTTCATGATTTGGGAGTTTGGATAATCTTTACTTTTCAACTCTTTCCATCAATGTGGAGTACCACGTATCTTGGAGCAAATGTGCTCATCGTGCCCTTATCTATGAGAATAAGAACAATGTATGTAAGAACCTATTATTTCTATAATTGCTTTCATTCTTGCCACAAGTCATTGGTCTCTTAAGCTCTGTTCGATAATCATTTAATACAGTCACTTAACTTATTTAAATATAGATAAAGTTAGTGTGTTTAATAATTATTACTAAAAAATATTAATGAATTAAGTTCTGAACTAATTAAATACTTGTAAATTAAATTACGTTTGATGATAAATATTATACCGTCTAAATCAATTAAGTGTGTCTGAGTGGTTAGTTCAATTATGAGCCAAAAAATGAGATATAGACCTACCATTTATCACTTATCATTAAAAAATTAATTTCTGCAATGGCTACTCTTTTTCTTTTTTCTTTTTTTCTTCTTTTACTGTTTTTTATTTTTTCCCCTCGTATTTGCTTTGGCTCTTATTTTTACATTATTTTAGAACTTTTATTTTGTTAAGATAAATTAATTAAGAGCACTTAGATTAAATTCATATTATGAGTATAAACAACTTCAAACTTGCAAACTCGACTTAAATTAATTTTAATACATAAAATTTGTTAAATAACCAGGTATACATATATGTTGATATATACAAATATTTTCTAAATTTAATTATCTTGATTATTTACCAATTTTGATATCATTTTTTATTATACACTAAAATTTTATTTTAAATTTATTATTTTATTATTATTTAGGACAAAATATTAGTTATATTTTATTTTTAAAAAATTTTATTTATGACTCAAATTTAATGATATTAAAAATTAACAAACATTCAAACCTGAATATTCATATTCAAAGACGAGATACAGATTCTCAAACATAATTGGAAAGAAAACTCTTGCACTAGTTTCCCTTTTCAGAGATCGGGAAAACCAGACAAGCATACGTATGCAGGAGAGAGTGATCACCTCTTTAAATGCTTTCCATTCCTTTTCGCAGCTTTCCAATTTACATGTCAAATCAAACGCCCTTGAAGCTATAGCTTCCTCAACAACTCTTGTAATAGTGTCCTCCTTGCTAGTTTTTACTTTTGCTAGCAACGATTCATAATGCTTACAAGACAGTGCAGGTAGCCAGTTACAAATCCACTTCAATTCTCCTAGATAAAAAGTTTTCATCTAGTACCATTAAATAATTAGTGTATAAATATAACCATAAATCCAGCTTAACTTACTTAAGTCTTGTTTGGACAAGTCACTTTTTGCCATTTTATCTCATTTTACCTCTTAAAACACCTCTCAAACACAAATCTCAATACTATCCAAATAACTTTTTAATTTATTTTTTAAAATTTATTTCAAACATTATTTTTACACCATTTTTTTTACATCACCACCGGACCACCTCCGCCGCCAACGTCCGCCGCTGGGCCGCCCACCGTCGCCAATGATCGCCGGCCGAATTCAGGCGACTTGGCCAGAATTTGGCCGAAATCCGACCGGCTGGTCGCCGGCCGGTGGCGGAGGTAGTCCAATAGTGGTCTAAAAATATTATTATTTTATTTAAAATATTATCCGAACAACTTTTTAAATTTTCTCTCAAAATACATTTTAAATCACATCTCAAAACCAAATCAAAAGCTAAAACAAAAATAAAAACAAAATGTTGGCCAAACAAGCCATTATCTTTGAGAGTTTAGCATTTTCACAAGTTTATAGTCAAGAATCTTGGTCAACTGGCAAGTAAAGATAGGTCGATCGGGTAAGTGCCAAATAACCTCCAGCAATGACTACTTATCACTTATCACTTATCATTATCATTTATCAGTAATTGTGAATTGTGAGCTATAAAATAAGATATAGTCCTACCACTTATCACTTATCATTAAACACTTAGGGCTTGTTTGGCTAACATTTTGTTTTAGTTTTTGTTTTGATTTTTGATTTGGGTTTGAGATATAATTTAAAATGTGGTTTGAGATAAAATTAAGAAATTATTTGGGTGATATTTTAAATATACCAATAACATTTTTAGACCATCACCGGACCACCTCCACCACCGCCGCCGGACCGCTCACTGCCGTTGTCGGACCGCCACCGGCCGGCAGTGGTCTGGCGGCGGGCGGCCTGGTGGTGGTGGATGAAAATTATTTAAAAATAAATTTTGGAATATTTTTTAAAAGGTAAATTAAAAAATTGTTTGGATAGTATTGGGATTTGTGTTTGAGAGGTGTTTTAAGAGGTAAAATGAGACAAAAATGCAAAATGTAAGTTGGCCAAACAAACACTTAATTTCTGCAATGCCTACTCTTTTTCTTTTTTTCTTTTTTTCGATTTTTGCTTTTTTTTTTTTCCCCTTGTATTTGTTTTGGATCTTATTTTTACATTATTTTAGAACTTTTCTTTTTTCATAAGATAAATTAATTAAGAGCGCTTAAATTTAAATTCATATATAAGTATAAACAACCTCAAACTTGCAAACTCGACTTAAATTAATTTTAAGATATAAAATTTGTTATATAACAAGGGATACATATATGTTGATATATACAAATATTCTCTAAATTTAATTATCTTGATTATTTACCAATTGTGATATCTATTTTCATTATATACTAAACTTTTTATTTTAAAGTTATTATTTTATTATTATTTAGGACAAAATATTAGTTATGTTTTAATTTTAAAAATATTTATTTATGATTCAATTTTAATGATATTAAAAATTAACAAACATTCAGATTTAAGAAATCAGATTCAAAGGCGAGATACAGATTCTCAAACATAACTGGAAAGAAAACTCTTGCACTACTTTCCCTTTACAGAGATCGGGAGAAGTAACAACAATGTGTATTCAAGAGAGGGTGGGTATTCATAAAATAATCAAGCGTATCCTCAAGATCACATCTAATTAGCATCCATTCAGAATTCTCATCATGAAAAACTCCTAGTTATCATTACTTACATTATTGGATGACTGTTTGATACTAGAAGGCTTTTCGACTTCTCCAGGATCAAGCTCAATCAAATTCCGGTGTCCTTTTAGTTTCACATCCAGGAACTTGACTTACAACCTCAGCAACATTCCTAAAATATGTCACCTCATAAGAGTGAAATTAAAAACTAAGAATTTACAAACAGAAGTGCTGAAAGCTATTCCATGAGCGCTACCATACACAAGACTGGATAGTATACTTCGAATGCATTCGAAATCGGTAGACTCCAACTTCGAGCTATTCTTCACCAAATCAACGAAATTCGCCATTTTTGAACTGCCAAAACAAAAACCTATTAAACTTTAAAAACATCGCAAACGCCAAATTGAGTTATCGGGAATTAGGATAACCCACACAATAACAATCAGAAAATGAATGCCTAACTGCTCTTATTGCAGTGAAGAAAAACAATCACTTAGAATTGGAGAACAATCATCTTGATCTTTTGTAGCTGAATGAGACAAATTGAGCGGGAATATAGAGAGACGAGAGAGGAAGGACTGAGGAACAACAATGATAAACAAACCAATTCAAAAAAGGAGGAAAAATTAGAGGGAAATATAATAAAATTAGTACTCATTAAAATTGAGTTGGTGATAGGTGAAAATGCACTCTGAATGCGCTAATTTGTAGACTATTTCAGTTTTGCACCTTCAATTAAATTTTTACTTTCTTAATCTCGTTAGTAAACATTAAGGATTAAGTCAAGAAAATTCGTTTGTATGTTCCTCGACATTAATTTTCTGCAAATTTAATTTTAGGCGTCAAAGTCTCAAAGACTAAATCAAGTGATTTATTCGTAAAGATATATTGATTTCTCAAACTGCGATTAAGTAATTTATTTGTAAAAATATATGGATATCTCAAAACGGTTATGCTTTGACGAGTTGAACTGCAAATGTATAGTCATTTGCTAATATTTATATTTTTCATGGAATCATTTGTATAAATTAGTTTCGTGTAATTATCACATGACTCACGAGGGAAAAATCCTCCTTTCTTTAAGGTGATGGGAAAAATGATCTTCAAATGAACTAAAAACATAGAGACTATCAATAAAGGGATAACTCTTCTTCAAAGATTACCTGTCCTTTTCCATACTTCAAGGTTTAGCATATCTGATTTGACACAAGTACTACCAGCAGCACAGACACACCACAAATGAACTACACTTTATCATTGGTTCTTCATCTGTAACTGCATCCTGGAAGGAAGCAAGATTACTATGATCCAATCATCCAACAACCACCGTTTAGATCCAGATTCATAAACTCATAATGCAACAAGTTTGACACACAACAACCACTGTATTGTTGCAGTTTCAGGGCTACGTTGGAGGTTCTGCAGAACCACCCTTCAAATGTGTTATTCCAGCAGGCCACTGAGCAACTAAACCCCAAGCTCCTATGCAGCTCGGGCTATAGTTATTATCAAATTGTGATACATATCGTGTATCGGAAATCTAAATTTATGATACGCGTATCGTATCGCGTATCGTATCGTAAGATACATTTTAATATAATAATATGTATAAAATAAATAATAAATATCATAAAATCCATATGTCATTGATATATTTATATTTTTTTATTTTTCAGCTATAAACAAATAAATTGATTAAGTTAAATTTAAGATTATTTGAGAGTTACAAATTACTCATTCATTAGAAGAATAATGGTTGTACAACCTATGTAATAAATATCATTTTTCATGATAATTGTCATTATTGCCATAAATTTAATAGTGAGAAAATTAATATAAACATGTATTGCATTTATTCAACATGGTATTAGTTATACTTGATTTGGAAAATGATATTATGAATAAAATAATATTTTTAAATATATTATTTTTAGACTATGATAATTTATTTAGCGCTTCTGTCTTCAATTGAGAAAGATTATGTTTGTGAAAGAAATAAATCAATAATATCTATTTAAAAAAATTGCAAATGAAATTCGCTCTTAATCTAAAATTTAAACGGTTATTATAAAACAAAAGTTTAAATTTTTTTTGAATCGGTTATTATAAAACAAAAGTTTAAATTTTTTTGAATAATATTTTTTTTTGTCTATGTTTTTGTATCGTACGATACACAATTATATCGTGTATCGTATGTATCGTATGATACGTATCGATAATTGACCGATACACAAACGATTGTGATACATAACATAATACATATCGAAATCCTTAATTTTGATATGTATCGTGCGATACATATCGCGTATCTTACGATACTTACTGCTATGGTTTGGGCCATTACTAGTTTTCAGCTGATCATTGATCGCATATATTGCAAAATACTCCTGAATTAAAGTTGCACCAAGGTCACACTGTATGACTTGATATGTTAATCCGTGAATCTAGAAACGAATGAATGACGACAGCAGGAGAATCAGTTCAGCATTCTTACACTGAAGCGTAACAACAATGGAAGAGAAGAATCTAGCTGTTACAGAAATATAGATTATACAATAGTGCATAAAATGAAGGTTTCTTCATTTATGGTCTCTAACAAGTTAAACTTAAAGAAAAGACATTTGGTGTCAAAAAATTCAGTTACAAACAGTCACAATTTAAACTTACAAGGAAAAGTTGTCGAGCTATGTCTACTATAGAAGCTTCTCTGTTAACCTGATCATAAACGAATTCACGGATTCAGAATCTAACACTATCCATGAGGATTCAAATAGCTCATGAAAATATTCTCTTCCTGTTTCCTCGGCTGCACTTCTGAAAGCAATTCCAAATGCATTTCCCTGAACTGCACCCAGCCGTGGCTTCCCACAAAGCCCAACCATCAACACTTTATCTCGTTCTTGAGTGTAGCATACACAGATCAATGGCTTCATTCTTGCACCCTTCTCTCGTAAGGCATCCATCAGGAAGTAACCAAATTTGGTCAAGGCCTGAGGATGGCATAAAACCTTTGTATCAGCTGAATCTTCTAGCTTCACCCACCTGAATTTACTCCCACTCCTTATAGAGCCTTTCTTGGTTATTGCTGAGCTACCTTGTCTGAGAATCGACCTTTGCACCTTGATAGCTTGTTTCATTCCAGCTTCCAGCTTCTCAAGTTTGTTCAAGGACAGTGCATCATACGCTATTCCAAACTGTCTGGATGAAGAAGAGCCATCCGACGCAACATGTGACTCCAAAAGGGCAGTAACCCCATGAACTACATCTGCAGCAGAAACCTTTGAACTATACCCATGCAATAGCAAAAAACCTCTATAATAAAAATCAGTGAGACCAAACTCAGGAAGATACTGCTCAAACATATCCTTCATTCTCCTCTTGATTTCAACACTCATGTACTGGAACTTCTGTTTGCACTCTTCCCGGGCAAACCCCATTCGAGCTAAAAGAAGTTGCATCTTCTTGATGCCATTGTCGCTCCAAGTCTTCAATTTTGTTGCAACATATGATGAACACAACATTGAATCAAACAAGTTCCATTCTTGTAACAACATCAGCCTCGGCTCATCCTCATATGCAATTCTAGAAGTGTCAGGTGCAGTAACCTTTGTACCATCCTTGAGGGTAACTGAAGTAATCGTATCCAAATTACCCGAGCTATTAATATGCTGCTCAAGCTCCATCACTCCGGCTTGGTACCTCTCATCTGTCAATCTCTCATGAACAAACTGATCAGTTAAAGCCACACAAGCCAACCAAAGCAACTGATTCGTGTTTTTCCTGAGAGAATGAGACAGATCATACATCAAACAACCAGATGGCTTCCCATGGAACGTACCCATCAGGTAATATTCTTTCTTCAATCTTCTGAAAATCTTAGCAGGATCACTCTCATCTGAAAGCCTCCTCCTCTTTCGAGTCCCGAGACCCCCGCCACCATCTTCCTCATCACTCCCGCTATCATCCTCACTATCTGAATCATCCTCAAATTCATCATCACTTTCCATATCACCCGCATTAGCCAATTCAGAAACATCAAAATCATAAGCTAAGTCAGCCTGATGCTCATCATCCTCTGTGTAGAGCACCACCACCCGATCATTCTTGGTGCTTAAATTATGCAAATGGATTGGCCTATGACTATCCACAACAAATACCTTAGCAGAGGGACCAATTTCTAATACCTTTCTCAGATCCCTATGACAACCCCAATTTATTAACAAAATGGTAATGGGTGCATCAGAAGATGCACACAAACTGGGGCCAGCATACTTGTGGATTTCCTTAAAGCTGGAAACAGGGTAACACGCATATCTAACAGAATCAAGCTCAAGAACGTGGCCAATTATTTTTAGAGCACACAGGGAATCCACATCAGAAGTTGAAGGGAAAATGAGCAAAGGAGTAGAGGAAGCTGAAGCTAAAGCAGATTCACGAAGCCGACTGTAAAACGAATCTAAGCTTTTCTCTCTGACCATATTTTCTTCACCTCAGACTAAGAAAGAAAAAACAAACCCCAAATCTTGCTGCAAGAATTTACAATTCTGAGTTCATTACACTACTTCAGCATTTCAATAAACCATCAGATCCGGATTGACCCACACAAGTAGATAATTCATTAACACCCTACTTTCATAGAGGACTTACGTCGAACAGAATAGATGGGGTCTGACTTTCTAACCCAATTTCTAGATCTAGGAAATGAGAAAAGAGGAAACTGAAATGTAATTAGGGTTTGACGAGAGTACCTGAAGAAAATCAAATTGAGTTGAACCCGGCTCGAGAAAGGCGCTCTATGAGTTTGAACTTGGAGTTTTTAGGCGGCTTGTGGCCACCTCGAGTTTTCTGGTCTGAAGAGGGAAAGTGTTTTTGGCAGATAGGATATGGGTTTTGAACTTGAAGAAGATGCGTCTGAAAGTTTTGGATTAAAAATTTGAATTTCTTCAACGTCAGCCCAAACTTTGGCGCTCGAAAATTTCGGACGGGAGGGAAATCGCGGGATCTGGCGATATTAACCTCAATTTAAATATTTTCATTTTAAATGGGCCTGATATACACTAGATTAGGACCACTTGTGCCTGAGTCCACAAGCTGATTTCGATGGCTTCTGGTTTCTGGCCCTTGCTTTTGTCGGAATTCGGCCTTGCTCGAATTCGGCCTTGCTCAAATTTCAGTCCGTAATGTGTTTGCTAAAATGTTCTCTTGTTTCTCAACCAAAAAAAAAAAAACCGTTCTCTTGGTGTTTGATTTAATCAAATTATTATGTGTTAACTGAATTTTTATGATAAATGTAGAGTAATAATATGTTTTCACTCTGGTTCTAGAGATTTTTTTCTCAAAGAAGCAAATTAAGAAAATAAACCATAAAAGTTGCTAAAACACGTGAATTATACATTACATTTGAGATTATTAAAAAAAAAAAAAAGAATGCCACTGTCTGTAATTATTTTTCACTTCACCCAAATATCGTCGAAAAGATTTAACATAGTACAACAATTATGATCAACGCGAATAGGATAAAAGATATTTCCCAAACAGGGAAATCGAAAGGAAGAACCTTAGTAATGTGATCAAAACAATAAAACAAAGAAAAAAAATAATAACAATACAAAATTTAGCGGCAAAAATTACACCAATAAAATCTTCAGGAATCAGGGCTATTTACAAATTGCATGTCCAAGGAACAGAATGCGGCGCCCGAAGGTCAAGACTCATGAGCACCATTTTGCAAAGAATGAAAAGCACCCCCCCTGCAAATGAATGTCAAAGGTAATGAAGGGCTAGTCAATAATAAGAAACAAAAAGGGAATTTGACTTAGAAAATACTGTATTACTATGTGGTAGTGTAATTGTGTTTTTTAAAAGGTAGTGTGATTGTGTTATTACAACATATTTCATTTCAAAATGGCTGTCAAACATATTTCATTTCAAAATGGCTGTTAATAACACGACAGACGTAATAATAATCATTTTAAAATATACAGAGTCTGAATCACCTTACGACGACTACTACTACTAATATGATGACAAACGTATTAAGAACCACCTGTTTAGAATTTAGAAATTTAGTTAAGTACTAAAGAGAACAGTTATGTACAACGTTTTTTGTAGCACTAATTAACACCAACTATTTAATTTCGTAAGAATTTAGTATCACTTATAAGAAGGAATTGATGAATCCTGTTGATGTTAATACGGGTGAGGGGTGTTTGATTGGTTAAATAGATTCTTCAATGTGCGGGTGTAAAAGAGACAAGAAGTCATACCTTAGCGTGGCCGTCCGAGTTTGGCCTATGACTCGTGCGGTAAGGAATCCGTCTTCCCTCATCGTGTGAGGGAGTCTGGTTCCTTTCCTCCCTTACTTTGTTGAAGATTCCCGTATAATCACCTCCTTCCGGATTGCTTTCATCCCAGTCCCCAAATCTTGGAACTGCAGCACTTCTGTCCGGCTGTGTTTGAAACAAAATTCAACCAATTAGCCTACATTTAATTTGTGAATGACGTGACACACATAAAAATATTGTGTACTAATGTGTCATGCTAAATCAATATTTGATCGTTTCATGAAACGGATTCACTGTCTCTAGCTTAGCATTACTAACTAGAAAGGAAGAAAGCCTTACACTTTCGTCTACTCGAGTACTTTGCTTCATTCGGGACTTTGCAACCGAGGCACCATGGCTACTGTCATTAATAGAGTTCTTCCCGTCCCAAGCCGGGGAAGCACTACCTCTTCCGCCTAACTTAGCCTGATACACAGGATGCATTGGGGATCGCTCAAAACTGTACTCTGATCCGGCGCTTTGTCGTGGCTGCCGGCCCAAATGTGATCCATGACTGGAATGCTGCTGGTTCACTGAGTCACCAGGAGTCGTCTTACGGCTCCCAAAGTTTTCATTGCGCGCAGGTGAAGGTGAAGGCGCAAACTGCCTAGGAGGATTTCCATAGTCTTCCCTGCCCATCCGGGGTTCCTGAAGCGGCTTAACCGGCCCACCACGCCCGTTGGCCTCGGGTGTTTGAGCCCGATTCCTCGCGGGTGGAGGAGCGGTACCGGCACGCATATTGGCGAACATTTCAGGATTCTCCTGAGGATCATTGGGGTTAATCATCTTGCCTCCAGCACCTCGGCCTTTCCTGGCCTTATCAAAGGCCATTGTGTAGGGCACATTGTCTTGGTTCTCCCATTTGCCAAATTGAGGTACATGTGGCCGCTGAATTTAGAGCATTTCAAACACATATATTGTCATCATCATCAATAAGGCTAATCATTGCGTTGGTAGAAAGAAGACTAGTTCAAACTCGAAACAGAATTGTGCAAAAATCAGCGACTCCAGAGAAGCAGAAAGCCAGAAGAAATCCAAGTTTCTTGTTTATTAATACAGGTTCAATCTAATTTACCCCCAAAAAAAAATACAGTTTCAATCTAAACTGGATTGGAGCTATCCTAAATCTCTATCTGAGAATTGATCCACACAGGCCAATTTGGAAGCATAAAACTATGAAAATTGGGAACCACACAGAAGTCAGAAAACCATCTTAAAAAGTCAACTGCAATCATGTTCATTGGGTCATAAACAACATTCAAGCCCTGCAGCTTAGGCAAAAATGCACAAGCGTTAAAGACCAGACATCTCCACCCTCCTTTTTTGAGAAAGAAGATTTGACCAGTTCAGGGAAACTATATAAAACACAGGATGGATTTAAATAGCGCATGAAAGTCGAAAAAATCCATTAGAAGGCAGAAACAGAGGTAGCCCATGTGCCTAGATTCTGTATTGTCATCAAATAATATAAAGCAGCATCCATCAATTACACAACTCTCCTACAAACAATTTACAGTATGAAAAAAGAAAGACTTTGCGATGAAAAGGGTATGATAAACTTACAGCTGCCATTTCTTTTCACCAAATTGAATTGTAGAAACAAAAAAAGACCCAGAAACTGAAAATGAATGTTTAGTTTAGTTCTTCTTCAGATAAAGTCCTCAAAATTTCACCAGAAATATTGATCAAGAACTTGCAAGGAACCCGCCAAACTCCTGATAAAGAGAGACTAGAAAATCTTGAAGAATCTAAAGAGAAAGAGAGGAAATGGTGAGAGAGAGAGATTAGAGATTTGGTTAAGAAGAACAAGTAAGAGGAAAACTGGAAAAGGGTGGAAAAAAAAGAGCAGAGGATATATCAACCATTGACCAAGTGTGGCGAACCAGTACAAAGTTGACTATTCGAATTCCATGTTTTAATTGTATATACTCCACTACACCTTCACCTAAGTCTACGCTTGGTCTTTGCTTTACAAAGTCGTCTTCTTCCTTTTCTCTTCTTCTTCTTCTTTCTTGGTCTATGACACCGTGTTTATTATTATTACCATAGTAAAGGAAACAGCGTTAACAAGGTAAACTAATCTGGATCAACATAATAAGAAAAAAATAAGTCACAAATTATATGACAACCATCATCGTCGTCGTCGTCAACAAAACAAAAATATCAAAAACTCGCGAGGGCGGGGCCCCTAAATGCCTAAAGTGCATACGTACCCTACTGAAAATTAAAACCTCATCAACCAGCATTAATCAGCAAGTTCTTCAGTATGCATTTGTCCGTATCGTATTATAGTTTGATGATGACTAGTCTTCGGGTCACCAATTACACGTTATACCACTCTAATATAGGGTTACGGTCTTACGGATTCTCTAATCCATGGACTAATAACTTATTATATATTAATACAAAATTCAAAACTTAATGTGAATTTTTTTTTTTAGAACAGAGTTAGTAGTATATAATCTTCAATTGTAATATCCATTTCGATCACTTTTGTTTGTCATGGCAATGGTATATTTGAAATTGTGTAAGGTTCCACACTTGCATTCAATTCTATAAATATTCGAAAGCAGCCCCTCTGGGGCTCGATGACTATAGCTGTCTGTAAGCAATCAAATTATAACAATATTAATGTGCTACTCATACTGACTTTGACAATCCAAAAGGAGGGAGTTTATAGATGATTGATTGTTTTCGTGAGCAACTGCTTCCACCAACTTGCCATTTAGTATTTTTTTACGGACCCATTGTCTGTCTCCAAGTTGCTATGCCAGTTGATGACTTGATGCTGCCATTGTTTTGTTAGCAACTTAGCATCACTTTCTCGTACTTTGGATTTAAATCGTTTTAGTACGTTAATATTAATATTTTGTAATGTCGTTTATTTATTTGTTCATTTAATGATTTATTACAACGATTCTTATATAATGGAATTTGCGATTCCATATCTTAAATCACTTCTTGAACAACTCCAATATAGTATTATGCCGTTTTTCAATTTTTTTTTTGAATTACCTCAAGAAAAAACGTCTATAATAATTTATTTATTAGTAAAAACTGTGTCACCATTAGATGAATCTTCTGTGTCGCACTCAGGTATTGGTCTCTAGTCTCTGCTAGTTATTTGGCGTTTTATCCACATAATTAACTTTTCTGTATCATGTAAAATTTCATGTCAAATTATACATAGTACTCAGTACAGTCTATGACTATAATAACTACATTTAATTCTCAAGACAAACCAACATCAGACGCAAATAATTTACTTTTTTTTTCACCGCCTCATATAATACCAATTTTTTTTTTGGGAAAATTATTGTTAAGGGGGTTTCGAAAGATGAAAATTATTAAGAAGGGGATGATCTTTATTAACTAATAAATAAATGTACTTGTATTTAAGTGGGGTTAATGTCTTTTTCAATCATCAATTTACTATCGTGTCCTTACTTCTTCTCACCCCTAACATTTGGCAATTAATCATCTCCAATTAACTTGCAGTCTCGAAGTCGCCATTATATGTCCCCCTCCAGACCCAATTTTCATAGGACTTACCTGCTCAATAAGTTCACAAAAAACAGACCGTGGGAGTTTTACGCTTCTAACCCAATTCATAGTTCAAGTTGGTTTTATGTGGAATTGTTTTCAACAACGAGAGAGCACAAAATAAGCATGCTTTTCTACTGATGATAGTTTTTCCTATTGGCGCAGGGGCAATCTCGAAGCCACAACAAAATTTTTATCAACATGTTGGAAAATTATTATGAGTAGATCTACTTTTTTCAAAAAAAAAAAAAATAAATAAAAAAATCTTGATTTAATATGTCTTAATAAACAGAATAACCAGAGACCTAAAAACCATTAACCGATCAAAATGGATTTGGAGGTATCGGGTATGGAGAAGCTATGGCTATTCCGTAAGTTTAAGAAAGCATGTGCAATTCCATTAATGCTTATCAGCCATGAAAAAAGGGCACAGTTGGTGAAGAAGGAATGTTCAAGGAACAATGGAAAAAAGTGTTGTCACGGTGAAAAAGATAGATGTGGCGTCTGTCGATCATTTTGTTTAAGCAAAGGAGAAAAGAGTCATTTTCAAATAATTAAAACTGGTTAAATGTACACACTATTGACTTGTAAATGTGATGCCCTTTTTAATAATTTTCATCTTTCTAATGTCCTTAATAAAAAATTTCCCTTTTTTTTTTTTCACAAGTGTACGATATTTCAAGTCTCAATTTAAGTCGTGGCCTCGTGGGGGGATGATATACGATATGACCATTCCATTCTTCGTACAATTTAATTGAAGTCAATGTTATACCAAAATAATTTTTTTTAAAAAAAAAACTACTACTACTAATTTGAAGCCAATGAAATGTGTACGCATAACGTTTGCCAAACAAACTTCAACTAATAACTACACCCTCCCGAATTTGTTTGAATTGGTGAACGCGAATACGCGATAAACAAATCACTGTCACAAAATAAAATTTTAATTATTGCAAAAGGTGTAGTAAGAATTTAAGGTAATAAATGTAAATCATGTCTGAAATCGAAACCCATTAATTTGATTCATCAAGTCAAAGGCTCGTGTGTTGATTTCACATTTGTAGTGAAACTTCTGAAAGAGTGTAACTATCTTGAAGTTTTCAAGCGGTTCAACGTCAAAAATCTTCCCTCAAATACTACATAAAAGAATTCCTGCTAACTAATACTCATTGCTTTTTCTTCTTGTCCATTCTCTCGATCTAGATTTCTTTTGTTGACTTGGTTTGATTGAATTCCAAAATTAACTTCTTCTATATTGAATTCATCAGTTTGATTAATTTTAACAGCACTATGCCCTTTACTCAAATGATTCTGCGGCATTTTTGAAACATATATGTATAGGGGTTTGTACGTTTTTTGGGTTACACTGGAACTGACATACTGTACAGATTTAAAATTGTCATTCAATGCATTCGTTGAGAGTAGCTTTAATTTAGAGCATCTCCAATGATCACATCAAAACATTATATTATTTGGTGTAAATTTTTAACTCTAAAGAAGACGCTAAATCAGTGCATTATTTTAGTACAGTAAATAATGTTACACTAAATATAGTGTAAATTGTCAGTTACGCTATCTTTTGTGCACTATATTTTACTTTGATCTAATTATATATTTGCTATATAATTAATTTTTTTATAAAATGAATTATATTGTAAAAAATATATCATATTAAATATTTTTTTTGAGATCTACAAAATAAGACCCCATATTGAATATAAATTTTATTTTTAAAATAAAATTTATTTTCAATCATTATTAAACTTGAATATGTAAAAAAATAGAAAAACTTCATATTTCTAGAATCAAATAAAAAGCGATTTAGAAATAAACCATACCAAATTATAAGACTTTAATCAACCACTAAAATAAAATTTAAACTAAAAACATTTAATGTTTCTCTTGTGTATTAAAGTTGGAGTGAAAAGAATTTTTGTGTACAAAGATGTTTAGAATATTCTATTTCTTACACTAAATTTAGTGTAAATTACAGTGTAATGATTGGAGATGTTCTTAATAACTATTCAACTCTTAATAGTGATCATACATTATTTTCAAATTTTATGAAATAAGACACCGATAATTAATGTCCTTTTTTAGTGGCACTCTTCATTTATTAGGGGTTATACTAACTATCACAATATCATACTGCAACCAAATAATGTATACAAGAGCTCGTGCTTCGAACTTTGATAGTTTGACGGATTGCTGTCGCCCCTGTCGGCAGCCTGGACAAAACTTATGAATATCAAGTTATCGAGTTTTCATCTTGTCATGGCAATTTTTCCCCTTTTTTACCCATTTGCCATGTTTATTTATTTTTTCCTAGCGTGCCTGTACAACCTGATTTCAGAAGCATATCAAGTGGGAGCTGAAAAGTTGGCGTGCAGGGATTTTTCATTTTTTTGGGCAATCAATACTCCAATCAAATTTATGATAAAAGAGAGAAGGCTCTATAGAGCACATTCTGCACCAGAAAATCTAGATGTGTAGGCATAAAAAAAAATACTAGAAAACTGTCTGATTATTCTTACAACGAAGAAAATAACAAGTTTTCAAAGTGATACTGTGTACCTGTTAGTTTTAATTATTTATTTTCATTGTATAGTTTTAATTCAACAAAACGAATAATGAAAATATGAATATGGAGTTTATAACATAGTCAGTGGCAGAAAGAGGGGAACCAATTTGAATAACCTCCCCATTCCCTAAAAATATTTACAAGAAAGATTTTTTTAATTTTTATTTTTTTGAAATTTTACTCAATATTTTAAAAAAATCACTTTTTGGCCTATGCAATTTTTTATTTTTTTATTTCACCACTCACAACAATGCCTAACTCCTTCACTGTCCATACTCCATAGTCATTAATTGTCTACTCTTGTATAACAAACTTCTTCTCCTTTTACACTGTAATAAAAAAATAATGATGCTTTTATACATATATATATTGGGGAGGCAAAAAGTGCGTAAGATCAAAACAGTAACAAGTCACACCTAATTTCCATATATTTTACCTTGAGTTGTGCCTAGTATGCTCCGTCAACAACTTTTACAATTTACATCAAAATAGTAACAACTAACAAGCCACGCCTATTTTTGCCTATGTGGCTATATAATGGTGCTTTGTTTACCCCAGGGAGAAATGAGTTGGAGCTGCCATAGTGCCATCCAGAAATCTAATTGGGCTACTTTTTACTTTTAAGGTTACCCAAATTCGTAACCCTGGGCTTCAATTGTCTGTCCATTAGACCATCCCACCATCGGATGGCACCAAATCACCAAGGTCTGCACTATTCGTGGCACCAAATGGGTGCATTTACTGTTCATGTGCACCAATTTGGTGCTTGAATTTTTTATTTTTTATTTTTATTTTTAGTTAATTTTTGTAATTTATAAGACAGTCCATTTAAATTAATTATTGTGTAATTTTTAAATATTGTGTATTATTATAAAATTATTGAATTTATAAGTTTAAATTTGATAGATTTAATTAATCTCAACTTAATATTTAATTTATAACACACACAAAAAATGCACAGTTTGTATGTTTTTATTTGTATAAAAATGCTATTTTAATTATTATTTTGATGAAATATGGTTTTTTAAATTTAATTTATTATATTATTTTTTTTTGTGTAATGTATATATAAATCTTTTCGCTATGTTCGAAATATGAACAAAAGTGGGTTGTCTTTTTGTAATTTAATAAATTTAATAAAAAAAGAAGGATAATGGAAAATTGGTGATTTGGGTATAGAATTGGTGTTGATAGTAAACACTATAACAGTCAATTTGTGTTGATAGTAAACACTATAGCAATCACAAAAACACCAAATTGGTGATTTGGTGTACACCAAATAGGTGTTGCCCTTGGGATGCTCTTAGAAATTTTAAGACGAGGTTTTCGATAAAGAAGAAAGCCCTGATGGTTCAACGAAACTGTAACTTTTTCTTTCTACATATGTTTATTATTCAAAAATTATCAATGATTAATAACAATGATGCCAATAATGAAAATCGAAAGAGGGGAAACAATAAGTAAATAAAAATATAAACCATAAGTATTACGATGGATTGATTATTTTCACAAATTCTACTTATTTTATAGGTTCATTGACGAACGATTGAAAAATTTAATAAATTTATTAAATTTTATAAAATATAATACTAAACAAAACAAAAATATCAAAATGAAAATAATCTACTCCCTCTAGTTTTTATTATAAAGTATTTTGGTTTGTCATAAGTTTTACCTAGTATGTTTTTTCAATAGGAAAAAAATCTTAACAATATTTCCTAATAATTTGGAGAACACAATACATGTGAAAATGTATTTTTGTGATTTTTTTATTCAATCAAAAAAACGTATTAACTGAAATTTAACACAAATCAAAATGTCTTATAATAAGATACTGAAGGAGTATCACCAAATTGCTATCTGGAAACATATATTCTTTCTTTCGATCAATAGGCTACAAAATTTTAATCTTAAATATGATATAGTCTTAATTTGGATTGACATATCAATTTTAATACACAATTAATAAATGGATGGAGACACATTTCCAGAAAAAAAAAAAAAGAAACTAGTCAGTAACCAACTGACCATCTTTTGGCCTTCCTAATGAGTAATGGCACGCTGCTACTGCTTACCTAAAAGAGAGCCTTCTTCTTTCCTCACCCTTTTACACTCATTTTAACTTTTCCTTTACCCTTTTTTCACAGTGTAATGTCAGGATTACAGCAAATTATCTCAAATTATTCCCACTAATCCCAACATAAATTGTTTAAGAGTTGCATATATACCAAAAGATACCTTATTTTTAGTTGTACCAGCTGATTTCCTAGATCTGTGGCTTGTTTTAGTAAAAAGTCTGTCATTCTTCTCAAAGCTCAAGTTTAAGATTTGAGGCTTCTGCATTCAACCCAGATATTAACGACTGGCTTTCTTGCTGGTAATGGTTATGGACTTAGTACGATTCTCTGTAAGCATAGCTTAGTTTTACAAGCAAATTTCTTGTAGGAGATTCTTTTGATCCCCCCTTCCACTCTTTTTCCATTTTCTTTAATGGATAAACCCCAGGGTTTTAGCTTAGATATGGAAGTATTTGGAATGAAGATTGGATTTTTACTTGTGGGTTTTTGTTATTTTCTATGAAATTGAGTTGTTTGTTTGAGAACAATATCAACTCCTTATAGCTGCGGACAGGGGAAGTTTTTTCTGGTGATATTCTTTTTGGGCATTGAAGATGATTCAGTTGCTGTATTTAGTTTTGTTCGCCGAGGGGGTGGTAGCATTTCTTTTAGTTGTGAAGATTGGGCCATTGAGGGAGCTGGTGATTAAGGGTTTAGATCAGGTTAAGATGAGGAAGGGTACCGTTTTAACTATTGCAGGTACTTTTGCTGCCATTCTCCTATCAAATTTCATCAGCATTGTTAAGATTCAGAACAAAGGTGCCAAACTTGGTACTATGTCACCAATGGATCAGGTGCTGTGGAGAACCAACTTGCTTGAAGCTTCACTTATGGGTAACATTTCTATCCTTTGCAATTACTTAAATTGAGGCCAGTTTGTATAATTTATGGGCTCTTCTATGCTTGGGTTTTTTTTGTTTTGGGGGAGTTGATTGTAGTTGCATGTCAAAACTGCTTCTGCTGACAATATTAAAGGTTAACGATGGTTAATATTACCCATCTTTCATAATATTCCATTTCTGCTGAGCAAGTTTTAGTAAGTTTTAGTCATTTGACTTAAACTTGCTTGGAAGATGATTCCAAATGTTTAAATAATCTGCTCACTGAAAGTAATCTATGCACGGATATTTTGGCAAAAGAAGTGTTTAGCTTTGTATTAGGGTCTATATTCTTTGATGTTGCCCCTAGCTCTACTGTTGTAGTATTAGGACTAGGACATGATGCTATTAGTATAGGATGCACACACTAAGGCGTTGCCATGAATTTTGCTGTAAAACACTGTATATAAAAAGAAAAATCCGTAAACTGGTGTTCGGTTAACCTCGACATCCATTTCCTTGGTCAGCCTTTAGGGTTCTCAGCTGGAGCTTCCTATTGAATCATTCAATTATAATGGCTACAAATAGCAGTATTTCCAAGTTGTGTTCTGTTGACTTGTTGATAAACTCACCGAAGCAAATTTTAGACAGATGTTTATAGCCTGTGATGTGACCATTTACCTCAAGCAATGTTATGATAACACCTTCCTTTGTCCATTCTTTAAGAAGAGGATGAAGGGGGCAGTTGGATGCCTTTTTATTTATATTAGTTCATCCTACATCTTTAATTACTATGGCGTGATGGCAGTTGTTTCTGTTCACGCAAGAGCTTACTTCCGCTGTCCTGATAATAGAGCATGATACATTGCTGTGGGTTACTTTAGTTATATGGCATGTGGCTGCAAGCTTGAACTTACTAACATTGGTTTTTAGTTATCATTCAACTGTGGCTATAAAGTCAAACTTTCATTTCCTTCTCTTCTATTGAAGTGATCTTAAGTCTAAGAACCGGCCTTGAGTTTCTCTGGAATGTAAATTTGTAACTCTTTCGCATGATGACTCTTCTATCTTTAATAATCGGTCTAATCTTTGATAATTGGTGTATGAGTTCTTTGTCCTTTTTGGTTTTCACATGATATTCTGGCTAACATATATTTTCTACTTGTTTTTTAGGGTTCTCATTGTTTCTTGGATTTCTTATCGAACGTATGCATCATTACATGCGAAAACTGGTTGGATTAAGAAGTACTTCTGGAGTTTCTAAAAAGGAAATTGAAAGGCTGGAGAAAGAAAAGCTAGAGCTTGTAGAAAAGGCAAAGAAAACTGATGACGAGACGAAGGCGATGAAGAAAGAATTGTCCAACTTAACAGAGAAGCTGAACAAGCTTAAGACAGAGTCTGCCGAGAAGGACAAGCAAATAGAGACTGCAGAAGCTCATGTTACCGCCCTTCAGAAACAAGCTGCCGATTTACTGCTAGAATATGACCGCCTTTTAGAGGACAACCAAAATCTCCAGAACCAAGTACAAGGATATCGTGGTTGAGCTATGGACTCCCAGCCAATTAAATTTTGGAAATTTCGCTCGGAAGTTTGACACTGACTGAGTATCTAGTTGCTTGCCAGCTTGACTCCTCACAAGTAAAATGGTTTTGTAGACAGTTTTGTACTCCTCAATTCTATAAGTTCTTCTTGATATAATATAGAGAGTTGACCCAAAATACTTGACATCCAGCATTCATTTGAAAATGGGGATAGCAAGCTGCCAAAATACTCATCTTAAAGGCCTTCCCAACTATAAGACTTGGTGCAGGACATTTTTCTCTTAAATTCTTCTTCTTCTTCTCTCTATTCCATGAAGAAGAAATATTCGAATTATTCTTCTTCTATCGTAATAGTGTCAAATGATTCACTAGTTTTTATTCTTGAACTAGTATTATTGAGACTTGTAATTCCTATTCCCCCGTCCCAAAACTCCAGTTTGTTGAGCTTTTTAGCGACTAAGAATTGACTCTTTGACTATTGAACCAAGGAGGTTGTCGGGTTGGATTGGTAACTGACAAACATTGAGAAATGGAGACTCTACAGTTTTATGGACAATTATGGAGTAAACTGTTCTGTACAAACACATTAGGCCATTTACTCTTATACCTTTGTGGAACATGTTCATTGATCTAGAATGATCGAATCTCTCCAAAATGATACTTATAACAATGGGACTCACATAATCACGTTTTGATATTGAATTATTAATTGGTTAATTTCACAACTAAAATAATGCTCATGCAACATCGGAATAAGGTGAAATAGCAAAGGTTGTACATTGTTTTTATAACTTTTTTTTTCCCCCTTAGATACTTCAAAGATATTCACCATCAACAGCGGTGATAACTAATTTTCTTTGTTGAATTCTGGACTTGTTGAACGGCAAAATATTGGCAATTGAGCTAAATAAAATGTTATACGTCCATTTTCAAGAAAAGGTTGCACTTCCAAACATGATAAGTACTATCAATTACTTCATCGGTTTCAAAATTATTGTACAGTTTAAAATTTCACTTTTAGCACAAGTTCAATTAAAAAGAAAAATCCAAATTGAATAATAATTTCAATGTTATATGTCCATTTTCAAGATAAGGTTGCACTTCCAAACATAACAAGTACTATCAATTACTCCCTCGGTTCCAAAATTATCGTATAGTTTAAAATTTCACTTTTAGTACAAATTAAATTAAAAAGAAAAATCTAAATTAAACAATAATTTTGGAACGGAGTGAGTAATATGGTACAAAATAGGAAACTGAAGCCTAGTTTGATACAATTATACGCCGCGAATAGGAACTACCCATCACATCATAAAGTGACCAAGGTTTCATAATAAAACGAGAAATAAGAGGGAGTAATATTTATTTGGTCATAATAAAACGAGAAATGAAAGAAACTGGCTAGTTCATTATAATTTTTCTATTTCAAGATCACATCAAGTACTTCAATTTCATAGTACCAAATTTTAACTTTTACTTTTCAATTTGGCTACTTCATAATAAAATTATTAGTGTACATTTTTTTTAAAAAACTATTTCCGGGGTTTTAATATGGGTTCATCATGATGTTATAGGGTCTAGTAATCCCAAAATGTAGTTGTTAACTCACAAGGCGTGAGCCTCCTTCTTTGTAACCAAAAAATAAAAAAATAAAAAAAAATTCAGAACGTTTAAATTTATTTGTTGCCAAGTTCTCTGCTGAAAAATAACACGATTACATTGTAATCTGATAATACAAACCAAAACCTGAGCCGAAACGGAATACTACCCGGCGGTGTCGCTTAGACTGTTCAATCCGACGACCATCAGGAAACGAAAACATTCATTCTGAATTACTACTCGTAATCGGAAAAAAATGGGTTCCTCATAAATATAGAGTGAGCTAATCAAGCTTTGTTTTCCGAAATACCTCTATTGTTCTGAATCCAAGTTCAACCAGCAATAATGTCAGGTTGGTGGAAAATTGCAAAACTAGGACAAGGGTCTTACGCCTCTGTTTTTCAGGCCTGTAATGAATCTTTAAGTTGTGTAGCCGTGAAATCTGTTGATTATAATGATCATCATGGCTACGCTTCACTCGAGAAAGAAGGTCAGATATTAGCCCAGTTGAACGGTACTCCAAACGTCGTTCAATATTTCGGCGAAGATTTCAGCATCGAAAATGGTCGTGGGGTCTACAGTCTCCTGCTTGAATACTCCCCTGTTGGGAGTTTTTATGATCTGATGAAGAACACTTATAGTCAAGGCCAAAGATTCCCGGAAACCCACATTGCTTGTTACGCGAGCATGTTGCTAACCGGACTCGCCGGGATTCATTCTAAAGGAATCGTTCATTGCGATCTTAAACCGGCCAACATTCTGGTGTTTCCAGCCGTCTACGGCGGAGGACTCACCAGCCAGTTGAAACTGGCGGATTTCGGAGTTGCCAGGAGGGTATCAGAGAAGGAACCACTCTTGGTTTATGATTCAGAAGGAAGAATGAATTACACCAGGACAAGTCTACCGTACGCATCGCCGGAATCTTTGAGGTCCGGTCGGCATAACACTTGTACGGACATTTGGTCTCTTGGCTGCATAGTAGCTGACCTGATCACTGGAAAACGCGTATGGAAATACAAGGATGATGCCGAATTGATTGATCAGATATTACACGGTACCATTGACTTACCAGGGAGTTTTTCGAATAAAGACCGCGTTGATTTCTTAAGAAGGTGTTTGGCGAGAAACCTGAAGGAGAGATGGTCTGCTCAGGAGTTGCTGAACCACGACTTCATCGTCAAGAATTTGAAGATCATGGCTGAAGTTCACGGTGTCGATTTGAACGGAAAACAGAACCAAAATCCGTCTCAGAAAAATCCTTTCCAAAGAGTTTCTAACATGCATCTTTTCACCGAACCGGAGGAGCCTCAACCTCAACAACAGCAGAAAAATCCTTTTGAAAGATTTCCAGCTAGGCCTGATCAGTTTTCTTGTGAAGCATTAGTGAACAATCGCCTTGGAGTATAATTTAGAGATCAAACATTAGCAATCCACGAAGCTTGGTGGAAGAACCGTGTAATTAAGACTTTTGGCTCATTGTTTGCAATATATTTGGATTGGATGATGCTTGTAATATCATATCAGCCACATTGAAAATGGTGCTTTCAATTAATGGAAAGTGGTTATGATTGTTGGATTTTATCTTTCGTTTTAAATTTATTTTACTCTACAAAGTACAAACGGCAACACATCCTTAATTAGCTGCAGATGACCTTACCAAAAATTCAGACATCCTTCCTATGTTGTCTGTGGCAGAGACTTGAGATGACTGTTAAGCACACCAAAATACTCTCCAGACAGTTAAAATTTGAACCTTCCAATCTAACAAGGCTCGACAGAATGGCATGAAAGCAGAAACGCCTACAATACATAAAATGCATATAAATCATCAATTCAAACGTTTATCGAACCTTATTTGTGAACTGGAAATATACAGAGACTTTGTTATGCCCTGGAGGAAATGGAATGAAACTGCGTTCTTGTCCTTCCACAACCTCCCCCGTGCTGGTCCATACAATCCCGGATTAATATTAGACGTCTTCAGGAGTTGTAGACCAGATACACTAGTCAGCGTTATTAAAGGGACACTGACAATACTAGAAAAGATTAGTAAATGTCACCAGAACAAACTTCCATTAACAGACAAGATGGATTTAGCAAATGTGAACAGTGAACTGTTCTCCCTTCTCCTATGATCCATTAAAATGAAGAGGCACATGCCGCATGGTTGCACACAAAGGGGCAACAAGCAATGATGATTTTAGATTAGAATAAACAGGAAGAATCTCACCTCATGAGCTGGTCGCAAAGCAGCAAGCAACAAAATCAGGAACAGCAGTCCTTAAACATCGTACCGACAGGTGAATACGTTTCAACCTTTATCTCCAGTGTAACAACCTTCCAAATTCCATCTGATTGCTACATTGTAGAACTCGAATGTGGCATTACAGCACAGATACAGATTCGAGCCCTGGGTGATTAGGCTTTGAGCAACCAGACAATGTGTGGATTTCCAAGAAATGATTTTGGAGTTGATGCTGGATATCCTGCATGTTTCGGCTCATATATTTTCAACTGGATGAATTACACAGGGCATATTATTCAACTGTGATCAGTGCATCAGGACTGCATCGACCTAATACAGGTGAGCAGATGAAATATTTCTACTTGCCAATGATACCCTTGCAAACAACTGTTGACTCGTAAAAACTGTTGCATATCAGGCATTCTCCAAAAAACACGAGAAGCAAGCTCTAACTGTCCAGCCTCGACATCCATATCCACGACGGTGATCTGTATAACAGTAATCATAGCACGATAGCACGATCAATTCTATTAGAACATCCATGAACAGGGCAGCTCATTAATGATTTATACATTCCCGACATTTGCCGGCGCCTGGATCAAACCCAATATCACAATTCCATCCTCTTCCATGCTCTCTCATTTCATCTTCCAGTGGGTGTTGCACACTGGCCTCGCATTTTAATCAGTTCGGTAAACTTTTTGATTGCACATGTAAGTTCACCGTCTTTTGTCAATCACCAGTAGTCCCTGCACGAGCAGATTCCTTCCTTGAAGTGGTGGAAACGCTTGACATCTCTCACAATTATCTCTCTTTTGGTTATTGTGGATATGAGTTTGATTGCTTCGTGACAGTCTCCACACACTCTAAGGTTCTTTGTGATGAGCAATCTGGTTCCTGGCCCAGTATTCAAGAGTGCAAAAGCAATAGCAAGTCGCTCACTGTGATTACACAGCATTTTCACTTTCACATCCTCTTCGACATTGTGCAACACTAATTCGGTCTTCGGACTGTAACCCAAAGCTATCATCTCCTGCTCCAACTTTTCTAGAAGATTCTGAATTTGATTGTATTGAGGGTGACTCTTATCCTCCACAAGAAATGCATGAAGTTGCCCATTCACTTCAGCAACACTGTGACCTGGCACTTTCTTCATTCCTCTCGTTTTCATAATCTTTCTTATGTCAGCGACTTCATCCCACATCCCAGCTGCGGCAAAGAAATTTGAGACTAGAGTCAGAATTCCTGAGTTATCAGGGTTTAACTCCAGAATATTCTTTGCTGCAACCTTCCCAACCAAGAGTTTCTTGTGGTTATGGCAGCCTGAGAGAAGTGCAACCCAAACAGCTAGCCCTGGTTTATCTGTCATGGAATTTATCAAGCTCTGAGCCTCATCAACTCGGCCGGCTCGGGCCAAAAGATCAACCAAATAAGCATAATGCTTCTCAGTAGGCTGAATCTTGTATTCTTTGACCATTAGATCAAACCAGTATTTCCCTTCCTCCACTAATCCGGAATGACTTAGAGCTGAAAGAAGAGAAGCAAAAGTTGCATGGTCTGGTTTTAACTCTGATGCAATCATCTGTTTGAAGAGGGATAGAGCTTCCTTTCCATCGCCGTGTAGCCCATAGCTGGAAATCATCGCATTGCAACATATTAAATCCCTAGAACTCATGCTGTCATAGAGATTACGAGCACAAGGAATGGATCCGCACTTAGCATACATGTCAATCAGTGCAGTACCTAAATACTCATCCACGTCATGCCTTCTCAAAACATATCCATGTATTGACCTGCCCAATTTTGAATGCCCGGCGTGGGAAGTGGCAAGAAGGGCACTGACAAGCGAAACCAGATTTGGTTCATATCCCAATCTCTGCATGTCTATTAGCAACTCAAGCGCCTTTGCAACATAACCATTCTGAGAATAGCCAGATACCATTGCACTCCATGAAACTATGTTCTTCTCGGGCATTCTCCAAAAAACACGAGAAGCTAGTTGCAACTCTCCAATTTTGGCATACATGTCTACAAGGCTGGTCTGCAGAATGATGTCCAAGGGAATATTATTTCTAACAATATAACCATGAATAGAGCAACTCATTTTCACATCCCCTGTATTTGCAAGAGCCTGTATCACCCCCAATATAACGATTCCATCTCCTTCGATGCCCTCTTTTTTCATCTGCCGATATGTGTCCAGTGCAAGCCTCACTTTCCCACTCTGCACATAACCCATGATGATTGCCGTCCAACAAAACACATCCCTCCTCGGTAACTTCTCAAACACGGCCTCAGCTTCATTCATCTTCCCACACTTGGCATACAAATTCAGAACAGATGCCCCAACAAAAACGTCGTTCCCATATCCACAATGAGCTGCTCTCTCCCAAATCTTCTCGCCAGTGTCCAAGTCCATTAACCCCGTACATGCTTTGATTGCCAATGTGAAAGTCGAGCTATCAGGCTTAACTCCTTCACAACTCATCTGCTTAAACAAATGTAGAACTTCAAGCGGGCAATTGGCACGTGAATATGCAATGATCATAGCATTCCAAGCATCAGTGCCTCTCTTAGGCAATTTATCGAGCAACTTCCGGCCAATATCAATGAAACCAACTCTGCCATAAGACGCTATTAGTTGAGCAGCAGAATTCCCATTGCTGAGCAGCCCAGATGAGATCATAAATCCATGAAGTTGGGAAATGGCAGTTATGTCTTTACATTTTGCAATAATTTGCTTTAAATCCTTGGGAGACCATTTTTTCAAAAACATGGCAGAAAAAAGGGTTTCTAACTGAATTTGTGGAGGAGGGAAAGAGTTAAAAATTCTCAATGTCCAGGGTTTTTTTTCATCTCACACGTTTGTCTAAAAAACCAAAACTTGATCAATGGGATGGATAAAATCATAAAATGAAAAGAGATACCAGTGGGAGTAGTTGCTAAAAATCAAAAACTCCTTCAATAAAGTCGCCGTCTGTGGGAATCGAACCCACGACCACACGGTTAAAAGCCGTGCGCTCTACCGGCTGAGCTAAGACGGCGAATCGACTTCTTATCTTAATTTTAAATATTAATTTTTATTTTTCAGAGGTTGATTTAAAGTTGCCGAACTTGAGAGACTACTGGGAACTGGGAAGTGGGAACTGAACTTGGTCTGTTCAAGTGATGGCGGAAATCAATGATGCTCCGCCGGAAGACCAGATCAAGGATTCCGACCGGAAGTCTGAATCTTCCAAATTCGATCCAGAAACCATGCGAAAAACAAAACCGGGACTGAAACGCCTCGTTCTTACGCTTTCTGTCTTCTTGTCTTTCTTATTAGGTATTAACAATTTTGGTTCTTCATCAAACTACGCCCAATTTCTTCCACCTTCTTCTTTGGCCGAATTAAAATTAACTTTTCCTCGCAACGAATTATATTCTTATTACAGGTCTGCCATTGTTGCTGAAGTCAGTAGAGATATACAGATCACCACTTCCTTTCAAAGACATCGATTCCCTTTCATCCGCAATCGAGTCCAGTACTATTTTGTTTCCCTGTCATTTCCAAGCTTTGTTCGTCAATATCCCTGCAACGTTATCGTCCTCCTCAAATCAACAATTAGAGTATTCAATTTATTCTCGCATGCAAAAGCTCTTCCCAACGACTCCACCTTGCGGCACTTGCAGCAACTTCTCCGTCTCGGTAACCCTAGAACCGCAGCTGCTGAACGGGCTTTCGCGTGATCGGAATTCACCAGATTTTGATGACTATTTGGATGACTACTTGGATGCCGTGTTGAATAAGCAATTTAATTCCGAGGAGAAGGTTTACAGAGTTGTGGTGGTGAACAGGGATGAGGTGGAGCAGCTCAGGGCAGTGGTTGGGAAGTACAGGCATGCTTGGATTGAAGGGATGATTTCGAATGGGGATTATGAGATGGCGATGGTTGAGAGGATAGCGGAGATTTTCGTCAAAGTGTTTGTAAATGGGGCAAAAGAGGAAGGCACCATTCATGGGGAGTTTATGCCTGTTGGAGCTGATGGGAAGCTTGTATTGTCCTTCAATTTGTTAAATGCTGATCCTCGTGATTGGGTTTATGATTGGTACGTTTACCTGTTTATTTACACCAGGATTGTAATAATATTTGCATGTGGTGTTCTGATGATCCGGCTTTAGTTCATTTGCTTGGTTATTCAAATTTGTTCAGTTAATCGACTTCTTCGCTTCTACATTTGGCTGATGAAGGACAGTGGTTATGCAGATATTGGCCGAAAGTTCATCTTTTAGCAATTCTGTATTTTTTTGGCTAAGTTATGTAGTCGAAATGATAACTGGTATTTGAAATGGTGTTAGTGTACCAGATCCTGGAGAAGGAGAAATGTTCTTTTTTTTGCTGAAAGTTTTCAAAAAATTTTCCTCTGCTTTTGTTCCTCAAATGACACTGGCTCTTTTTCCCCATAAAGCGTGACATGCCGTGGTAAAAGTCCAATGACATTACCTTAGTGTTTAGCGTAAGCTGTTGTCTGATTGTATCATTGATACGAAGAAATATTCTTTTGTTGCAGGGATTTTCAACAAATAGATGACATCCTATTGGCTCCAATTGTTGAAGCTTTGAAGCCTCTTGCAGATGTTAGTGTGGAAAGTCAGGTATTACTGCAATTTCCTCTTTTCATTAGCTTTGAAGTACATTTCTGCTGAGTGTCACATGTTTGGGGATGCTGTTTTTAAGGCATAGGGCTTTACTTTACTCTGACGGGTTATGGTTATTCTGTGCAGGTTTTATACCATACTCCTAAATCCTCATTTTCGTATTGGGATGAGAAACAGGCCAGCCATGTCTTCAGTTCCAGAGATCTACCCTTTTTCGTATGCACGCTTAACCTTTTCTATTGTTTGCATTCTATATACCTGATGAAAAGTAGCAAATCTTTTTATCGTTGAACATTCATCAATGGTTCGATTAAACATGTTACTTATCTGCAAATATTCAATATGCTTTCATACTTTAATTCAGCACGGTGCAGATTAAAGGTTTATGGAATTTGTATCTTGGAATCTTGCGTTACTCGTTTTTATGTTTATAGATGCTTGCATTTTGTACAGGTCAATTCAAATGAGTGGCATTTGGATACCTCAACTGCAGCTGGCGGGCGGTCCAAAGTTTTGCAGTTTGTGGTGTATTTTCTCTACTCTTCATCTCTTTAAGATTACTCTTGCCCCATAAGATATGTGATTCTTTTCTGGTTCAAAGTTACATGCAACTGGAGCATTTTCTTTTCTTTTATGACAAGGCCTCATTATGATAGTTGGCTGTGTAGAATAATCAGATCTTAACTGAATATTGGTTTTCACGCAAGTATCTACGGCACATCTGCAAGATTTTGCTGGTCTTTTATGCTTCAAGGCCTCATTGCGAGAGTTGGCTGTATAGACAATCAGATCTTATCTTAATATTGGCTTTCACGCAATTATCTACATTACATCTTTTGCAGATGGGCTGCAGGCACCTTTAGAAAACTTATACGTTAATTGTTGAAGATGATTAAACACCTTGATATCTAGCAAAATTAGTTTGGGATGTATCATAGGATAATATCAGGAAAAGGACATCATTAAGACAGTAAACTGATGAAATTTATAAGGAGAAGACTGTTTATGCTTGTAACATTTCTCTTGTTGTGTGTTTGCCCTATTTAGGTGAGTTTGTCATGTGACTATAACTTAATCAGATCTCCTATCACCAAACCATGTACTTCTTTAAGGTTTTCTGAGTTTGCTGCTAAATTGTAACTCTAATTTTCTGCTTCGATAATCACATCCGAAATGCAATAATGTTTTCTCTCTGTAATGGCAGATACATCCCATCTTCAGGAGAGTGCCCACTCTCATTGCAACTTCCAGATGGACAGTTTTCACTGGCAAATGGTTTTATATCTCCTGTAAGTTGTATATGCATGTCCCTCTTCCTCTGTTTCTTTCATTCTTTATTATAATTTGTCGTTATTCCCTTTTCTACAGATGTGGGGAGGTGTTGTTGTCTGGAATTCCCCAGCTTGTTTGACTGTTTCAGAAAGTAATAAACCTCTTATTCATAAGATGTCCTCTGAGGTTAGTATCCTACAGCTTTTAATATTATATCTGTTTGTATGAAGTCAGGTGGGGTTGAAACACTCAGTAAAGCATGTTTGATTAGACTACTTGTTTTACCTGCATTTTTTTCCCCTTTTGTGGTGATTGACTAAGTGATATTTCACTTTTTAGCCAAGCTTTGCTATTATTATCGACTGTGGGCACAAAGAAGCCTCTGAATTGAAAATAATGGCTATATGAATCTTCTTAATTGCTGTATATATTATATAAGGTAGCTGCTGTAATTGTGATAATGAAGCTCATAATGTGGGTGTGCATTTGAAACAGGACTTGAAGAACACATTTGAAGTTTTTACAGGCCAACTGAGGCAGCTATTTGGTCTGAAGTCGAATAGCTTCTTTACTGGTGCATCAGGCACTGTGATTCTTTTACCCAGTGAAAGAGGCTTCACTCAGTGGTGAGATTGACTTGAGATTGATCGAAATCTACCCAAATATACCACTACCTACTCATTAATGAAAAGATACACTTTCATATGCTTTAACATATACCTGTATCCCTTAAAAAAAACGAAAAAAAAAAGAATTGTATATCTCAAAGTTAACAATGTAAAAGTATTTTTTTTCCCTGTGATTTTTGTGCTAAAGGTGGTATTGATCTGTGTTCATAGGGAACTGGACGTGTTATCAAGGCAGCATACATGCTTTAATCTTCTTCAGTGCGGAACAACCCTCGGATCACTCTCACGATTGGTTTGTCATCTTTTCTCTAGCATGTTTTTACATTTGCTTGAGAATGTGAATTGACAAAGTTATCATTTCAGGTGCAATCACTTCCGAGGATGATCATAAGAGATGAAATTGGGAAACAGGTGAATCTAGTTTAAGGCTTTATATCGTTGCCTCTCCTTAGATTTGAGTTGAATAAGCGCAGATGTAGCATAATTTCATGCTACATAATTGGTAACTCCAACATTGAAGCTCTACTTTCTGAGCTCATTTCACCACTTCTGCTAATATGTGCTCATGCATCAGTTTCTTGATATCATTTAACTGGCCTTCGAATCCTTTTATTTCGGATAGGTCAAGTATTCTCTGGATGCTGCAAAACTAACTCTAGGGAATGCTTCCCTTGGAATTTATGATACTGCTTCTGGTAATTCAGCTTCTAACTTGGTTAAAAGGCTTCAAATAAAATTTTCTGGCGATGCATGGTTGAGGAAAGCTAACTTTATTTCTACCGTATGATGTCAGAATCCTCCAGACTAGCAAGATCATTGGCTGAGGATGCTTTCTATGACCCATCTATGATGTCTGTCAGCTATTACTCGTTTGAGCACTGTTTCGCTGTTTATTCGGTTAGTCCCTACAACTCTAGTCTTGTCTTCATTAATGGACAAATAAATCGCATACTTTTAATTTTGGTTGAGATTTTTAAACCTCAGAATGGGGTAATCAAAACTCTCAATTAAATCTATTGTCATGGATCAGTGTGGCAATTTGTGGTTATGCAGTTTCACACGAATGTCAGAATTTTTTTTTTTTTTGAAGTTTTGAATATGGATTGTGCATGAAACTTTCAAAAAGCAGGCATAAGTAAAGATCCTTGATTAAGCAAGTCCATCAACTATTCATGTGGGCCTTCTCTGTTAATTGGGACACCAGCCTGCCGCCATTCTGCTTAATCATAGTATGTATTCATTCTTATTGGTCGCTTTATACTTGACAGCCATTCTTTCTTCCGGTCTCGCTGCATGTGGTTCTTGCCGTTCTTAGAGAATGGAAAAGGTACAAGCAAGAGCAGAAAAAATTTGCGGCCTGGAAAAGTGTTGGGATCTGAAGTTTTTCAGCCAGTTTATAGCTGCATGTAGGCACTTTGATTTCTTGTCGACAAGCTCCTTATGCCGTGATACAATCTTTAGTTTTTGACTTAACTTTCATCCAAGATCATCACAAATGCCACTTCAAGGAGAAGAGATTTGAAGAAATTGGGACTTTAGCTTCACAGCAAAATTCAGAGTGAGAAACTTTCAATATAACAGAAATGCTAACAGAACTTTTGTACAAGCTGATACTAGTTAATGATTGACAATGTACCTATGGAATTTTGTACCTTTTGCTCATCTTCACTCGTATAGAATTTGGTTTGGAGTGCTTGTGGTTCACACATTTTCTTTCTTTAGCTAAATCAATGTTGGCACAAATGAGATATGGCCATACATCCGATCTTGCAACCTTGAAATACCAACATCAACGAGGACACAGATCCAAATACTTGGAGCTTAAACTATTCTGTAATGCGAATCGGTGACAACAATGGTCTTATTTCTTATGTGTGCATATGTACACTTTACGTATAAAAAAAAATAAGAACAAATTCGTTTTGTTCTTACTTAGCCAGGTACATCAGCAGATCAGTTCAACAAATTGTCTGTAATGCACATAAAAAGGAAAATACTCGTCAAACTCTAGAACTTTTGGTAATGATTTATTACAAAGGAGTTTAAAAGAAAGAGATCCCTGTGGGGCTATCAGCCTATTACGCAGATCAACAATGAACTTACGCATTAATTGAATTATCTCAGATACAGATCCGGGGCATTATGCTTGCATCTAGAATACTTTTCTTCTGTGAGAAACCTACAGTTATCACATACTCCCTCCGTTCCGAAATTATTGTCCAGTTTGCATTTTCAGTTTTAGTATAAATAAAACTAAAATTAAAAATCCAATCTAGACAATAATTTTGAGATAGAGGGAGTATTAAACTTGCTAACCTTAATTAAGGTTTTAGGGGCTCGTGATCACTATATAAGCAATAACTTCTAAGTGATTGCACTGGTAAGTGAACACAAAATATATCTGTTACCTTTCAACATGCAACTAAAGAATTGTCTCATCCTGAGCAAGCATCTCGAGATTATCAAGTCGACTAGTATCATATCTACTTCCATCAACTGCTTCTTAGGCTCCGGCTCCAAGCTCAGGCATCAGTGTCTTGTACACTCTGCACTGCCCTCGGTAATCCGGTCGGTCTACTACAGTCGACAGAGCTTCACGTTCAGCCTTTTCTAACCATGAACTTCTATCAACAAGTTATTTGAACTCCCCTTAGCCTCTGAAGCTTCTTAAATAATATCAGAACCATATCCTCTCTCCCAGCTTCAAGAAGAGCTTGCTTTATGATCTTGAACAATGGATCTGAAGGTCTAATTCCAACATCCATCATTTCCTGAAAGTATGCACAAGCTTCTTCCAGTTTATTCTCATGGCACAAATTGTTGATCAATGTGCAGAACATATGCATTCCAGGAATAATCCCTTTTGCCTTCATCTGGTTCCAAACTCTCAAAGCCATATTGGTCCGATCCTCATTGCAAAACATTTGTACAATGATCTCATATGTACTAGAAGTTGGCTCACATCCGGCTTCATCACTCATTCTCTGGAAAACGGCATAAGCATCTCGTGTCCTTCGAGCCTTTATAAGATGATGAATAATAATATCATAAGTTCGGGAATTAGGACCAATCCTAGACACCCTCATCTCATCAATTATCCGATAAGCATCCTGCATTCGCATTGCCCAACAATATGCCCCAACAACTGCATTATAAGTGGGAGCCTCCAGAGCGCAACCACTAATCTTGGCTAGTTCAAAAAACTTAAGAGCTTGATCCAACCTTTTCTCTGATCCTAAACCATTGATCAAGGTACAGTATATATGAGGAGTAGCCTTAATGCCATTTCTTTCCATTTCTTGAAACTTTTCAACAGCTTCTTCAAACTTTTTAGCCTTACAGTAAGCATTAATCATAATGCCATAACTCACTACATCCGGCTGAAAACCATCACATTTCATCTCCCTGTAAACCTCATCTAATCTCAACAAATTCTGTTTTCGACCCCATCCTTCCAACAATATCGTATACGACTTGACATCTGGCTTAAACTTTGTGTTTTTCCATTTATCAAACAGCTGCTGTGCAGTCTCAACGTTTCTTGACTTGCTGAGAGTATCGATCAACCTGTTATAATCTTCCAATTCTGACCTCAACCCGAATTTCTCCATCTTCTCAAATGCCTCAATCGCCTCTTTAACCCGTCGACCTCTGGCGTACCGCCTGGAAATGAGGGCAAAAGAATCTTTCGAGAGCATGCCTTGTTTCCTCATTTCTTCAACTAAATTCCAAGCCATTTTGAATTGCTTGATCTTTCCAAGCGATTCAATCAAAGTGTTGTAACTCTCTGTAGTATGCTTCGTACCCTTTTGCTTCTCAGCCCACCTGAAGAACGACAAGGCCAACAAACCAGCATGACTGAGTTTCTTCAGAACTTCTTGCGCCAGTAAAGGAGTGATGTTTATATCAGCAACAGCTGTAGAGTTCATGGCGGAATCAATGGCTACGGAACCACGGTGGTTGGCAAGTATTCCGCAAATGGTATCAACACTTTCTTTAGCATTCTGAAATTTTCTGACATCGGAGGTTTCAGCAAAGACTTGGGCTTGCATCGAACTCTCATGAACATACCTGTAACCATGGCCGCAAAAGAAATTAAAAATGAACCGAGGAGGAAAACCCAAAAACCCAGAAGAATTTTGAGCATAGTTGATTGCTCTGAGGTTTTTCATCTGAAACCTGGATGGAAGGAGGTTTTTTTACCGGCCTCTTCGCGTACTTACAACATGGTGTTTTTTGGAAGGGAAACGTCCCTTATTTAGCAGAAATTACATGGTGTTTTTTGCACGGGAAAGGTCTCTTAGCAGAAATTAAAACTTCCCTTCCTAAATGCCAATCAGATTCTATCTTTCAACATGTAACATTTAACATTTTTCCTTTTCCAGGGGATGTTGTGAAGAAGAAAGAGAGAGAGAGATCTTGTGCGAGTGGCAAAGGAACGGAAGTTAGAAACAGACTAGTTTCGCAAGAATCTTACTGGTAGACTTCAGAAGGATAGATTTTGGAGAATCGACTTACAGCACAAAGTAATTTGGCAATTTTGTTATCAGCTTGATTTTTGATCTCTTACAACATTCAGAGCTATAAAATTCTGGATAAATTAAGGCCAAACGTTAACTCCATTGAAGGTCAAAGCAAAATACAAGCTGGTCAATCAACAGCCTACTAACTAAATTATCATGACATTTTGGGGTAGTGAATTTTTCCCTTCTGCTTTTTTGGGGGGCACAAAAAATTCACCCAGAATCATCCCTGCATTGCGGCGAGTCACTGAAGATACATGAACACTCCATGGATTAACCAAGCTGAGAGGTTTTTGCGATGGTAGACTGGATCAACACGGTCGAGAAAAGAACAATAGAAAATCAACTTGCTACAAAGACTATACTCTAGACTCCAATGCTAGAAGGATCTTCTTCCTTGGGCCCTGAAATGACAGAGCTCAGAGTCAGAGACATGGGCAAAATGGAAAATGCCAACGGCATTGTGCTCAATGTGAATGACGAATCTCTAACGTAAAATCAGAGCCTCCATCAACACAATTAGAATTCAGCAAAGCAGTTCAGAAACATCTTAGATGGTACCATTCATTATAGAAGTTGAGAAACAAACTACACACCACCATCAATTATGTATTCACAATTAGATGGACGTCTCATAAACTTTCAGACAGGTAGAAAGAAGTTCCTTCATGGATTCCCGTGATTCAGGATGTGTTCAACTTTCTACTTTGCTGACACAAGCCATGATTACTGCATTGCCCCTACTTTCCTTAAACTCTTTTTGCCAGAAGTAAATAACTGAACATATAGATCCATTCTGCACTATCCCTAAACTTCCTTACACCATTATCTTTCTCTCCTTATGTCTTAGCCAATTCAGTTTACAAATGAAATGTTGGTAAGAGCCCAAAATATCACAGCAAATTAATTCCAAATAAACTAAGCACCAAGCTAAAGCTAAAACAGTTAAAAATTTACCATGGGTATCCCCATTGCCTTGAGATCTTCATCCGTCATATGCAGGAGGGCAGCCATATCAACCTGTAGAAATATACGCATGTTTCTGAGAGTAAAACCTTTTAGGAAAAACCAACATTCAAAGGAAACTAGATTCACATACTTCTTCAGCCTGAAATGTAATTGAATATTTCTCCAGACCCAGGGATTGCAAGAAACTATCCACTGATTCCACCTGCAAGAATGGAGAAACACTGGAAGTAGTCAGAACATGAATTAAGCCATTAACACTAAGCAACACTGTTCTTCTCCTTCCTTCCTTCCTCAAACAACACAACCAGTGTTACAGGATTTCCTTGCAGAGTCCTCAGGCAATTGACTATGAGAATGATTCATCTAAGGCATGCGATTCATTGGAAGGCAAGAAATACAGCACGAGGAACTGAGAACTCATGTACATAGTTAACATATATAAAGGTAAGAGGTTAGTGCACCATATCTTGGAGCTACCGCAGTTAATACTGTGCATTTCAAACTAAGTTCTATAAGGAGATAAGTTGCACAGCACAAGGACAAAGAGACACCTACTTACAAACAATATAGCAACATCTCTGAAACTTGACTTCAAAATTTGTAAAGATCCTGAAAGGATCAACCCTTCCGCTAGTTTATTACAATTTTACCTCATTTAAACTCATCATTATAAAGTTACAAGTATCTGCATTTAATTGGGAACCAATTCTAGGAAAGTTACGCAAAAGAAATGAATAAATTCATCTCATAAAAGATTCTTGCCTTTTGGGTCTTTTTCTTAGAAGCTGAGCTGGCAACGGTTTTTTTCTCCGGGGGAGGAGCTTCGGCTATGACACTCTTCCTGACAGGTTTACTGACCTCAGACACCTGCTTCGGCTTGGGTGGGTCTGTCTCCATCTTTTGTGGATAAATTACACCAGAGAGCTTTTCCCGCAGATCCCTAACACCACTAGAACGGGATCCTCTCACACTTTGAGCATTTTGCTGTTTACTCTTCTTTTGAAGTTTTAAACGAAGATCTGTTGAACTCATTGTGCGCTCTATTCAATGATTAAGAATAATCAGGACCATATCAAGTTAAATGAAGAGTGCAACATGAAGCTAACTACCTAAGGCAACTGAAATTAAATGCATATGTTGTCAAACCAACATACTTGAAACCCGTGGTTCATCTTCTTCAAAAAGATCATGTTCCCACTTATCATCATCCTCTCGTTGCCTGCAGAGAGATTTAAAACTACTCACATACACGGATTCCTGATGACAAAACACGACATAAGAGAACCTGGTAATTCAATATATTGAGCATCAGTCTAACATAAGGATTTTATCATGTTAATTCTGTTACGTTAATCACGATCTTTAGGTAAGTGAATCATGTTAATTCTGTTCTATCAATCACCTCCATTATAAGTGAAATTCCAACAAATTAGCGGAGTTACATGCATTTATGAGAAAGGCTCTAGGACACAGGATGCCTCGTTTTAAACTCTTGCCGATAAGGTGAAATGTCCAAAAATCAACTCAAAGTTGAAAAAACAAACAGTGAATGAGATAAATACATATCTTGCACCTAATACAGCAGCTCAAACTCCAAAGGGGAACTGCCCCGTGGTTACGGATGTCTCATTCAAAACAGGCTTTGCCCTAAACAATGTACAATGGGCTAAGAACCTTCAAGTACTTTTGAGGCATTATTGTCCAAAAAATACTAAATTATCAAATGCAGATGCATTCAGTGCAAATTGTTCCTTGCCGCCTAATTCAAAATACAGCATTAACCCTATCACCTCACACAAATGTTTGAATGGCATACCAGGCTCTAGTGATTCTATACAATGAAAAGAATGACTTATCATTGAAACACGTAATTCAACCTTATCAATAATAAACTTCAAACAACTAGTTTTCAGGGCAAAGTAAAAGGAAACAAAACACTAATATCTTCATGAAATATAATACAAAGTAAGATTGGTTTTTGAGGACGGGAATTACAGGGATCCTAATCCACTAAAAATGTAATTTTGACAAACAACACCTTGATTCAAATCAAGGGGCCATTGTACTGAACAAATTTCCATGTCCAGAATAGTTTCAATCTCAATACCATGCTCTGACTTCCTCTCGTGACAACAATGGATTCCTCCATTTTAAGAGAGCAAACCTCCCCGCGAACCAGCCCCCAAAACAATAAAAGATTAAGTTACAACATAGAATGTGAGATTATGAACATATCATGTTAACAAGGTCTTAATTCGTTCATCCCATCGGTAAGAGTATCTCCTCGTTTTGATCCGTTTCATCACAAATTTCCACTTCAAGTTCCAAGTTTTGAACTTTATTCCTCATTAGCAACATTCCAGGACTAAACTAGACACCCAGCTCAAACGAAACAAAAAAAGACCAGCTTTTGGATTAACAAAAAAACCCAAAATCAGAGAACCAAAGCATATTTAAAGCAATAAGGCGGAGAAATAATCAATAACAGAGCTGCAAAGATAATGTAAAGGGCAGGATTCAAAGCAATTAAGGTTCCCAACAACTTACCTCTTCCCGGTAACTTGTCTCCGGCGAATGGAACCGCCAGGAAAGTTACCATTCAGCCGATCCTTTATTGAACTCTTCGATGCAGACTCCACCCGATCCGCATACATGGTATTTTACCCAAAAATAAAAATAAAAAAGGACCCACTATATCTGCAAAACCAGACAAAAACCCTAGCCCTAGCTCAATAATTAACCCTCAAAAATCCGTACAATTGGGAAGAACGACGAACGGGAAGAATCGTATCGTAGCTGATAATAGATTTTTGTGGGTAATTGCGAACGAGAAAATAGAATAGAAGATATTTCAAAAAGTAAGACTGGGAATCGTGAAAACTAAAAAGGTTCGGAGGTGAACTTCGGCCGAATTCAGATGGAATGAGAACTGGGCTCTCCGCCCTCCTTCTCTCGGTGGTTTCCGGTGTCGCAAAATAAGAGTTTGGAATTAAAACGGTTAAAATATATGGCCCTAATCAATGCCATACCATTTGAATTGAGTCCAGTGAGCCCCCAAATCCATCCCCCAGCAAACGTATTTTGGCCTGTATGGCCATTGGCCAGCCCAAATCGACAATTATTACAATATTACCATATATAATAATTATGAAAATGTTGTCAACTTGTTTACCAAAAAAAAAAAAAAAGATTTGTCAACTTTCTCGTCGTCTTTCCCTTTTGCTCAGTGGACCAAACTATTGAGGCCAATAATTTTTTAAAAAATAAAACATTCTACAGAGTTTAAAATGAGAAAAATGATTAATAAATCAATAACTAAGCCATTATGTCAAAATCTTAGTGAAGAAGTAGTGCAATATTATGGTGTACGAGATCTTTTGCCCGCAAATATATATAAATGGAGGCACTTCAACTTCTTTTTGGTAAGGATTTAGAAGACAAATTTCTTTTGTTGTGTGTGTATTATCGTGGATTTTTTATGGATTTGGTTTGATTCCCCGGACTTTGCTTTTATTTAGTTGAAATACTTTACGTTGACTTTGTTGTCTACTATAAAGCAAATGTAATAACATTTGTATAATGTAATTTTTTTTTTAAAAAAAAAATGTATGCGTTAACTTTCATATTTGCTTAGTAAGGGTGACGAGAAAGTCGACCACAGAAAAATTGTTCTAAATCATTTTTCGTTTTTTTTAATGTTATTATCTTGACAAATTTTATAGGACGAACTACATTTTACTTCCGAGTTTTAGCCAACTTTATCAAAAACCCCCCGAGTAAAACATAAAAATGATTAAAATAATTATAGTTTACATACAATTTATTTCTTTTTCTTCTTTGGGTTTGTTTTTATTCTTTTTTTAACATTAAAAATGAAAATTACTTTTTTTATTTATTTTTCACATTTAATTATAGCATACGTTAAAATGTGAAAGTTAATCCATGATTACTAATATAAGTTTATTATGCTTCAAAAGAATTAATTAATCACGATTATTTTATTTCAAAAAATATGATATAGTTAATTTATAAATTTTGTTATTTATTAAGTGAATGATTATAAAAATAATTAATGAGAAGTATTTTTATGCTATATTTTTAGAAAATATTTGAATCGTACTCCCCCGTCCCACAAAAATAGTTCAGTTTCTAAAAATACAATTTTTTTAATTTAGTCAACAGAGCAAGGTACAACTTATTTTTATGTCACAAACTTCCAATTATACCCCCGATTGATAATTCAATTAGCAAATCAGACGATTCCTTTAATTTCTCTCTGTTTCAATCTCTAGCTCTCTTTACTGATCTAACTCCCGTTTTTATCTCTCTTCGATCTCCGGCAAGAGCAACCTCCGGCGGCTACACAGCTTCTTCACGCTGTTTGTCTTCTCATCTTAGCCACGACCTCAAAAAAAAATTCTTTCCTAAACTGTACTCGCTTTCATCCTTCTGTCTCATAGATCGAGACCACTTTAGCATGGAAACTGGATTCGATTGTGACCGAAATTGATAAGCACTGGAGTCAGTTTCCTAAATTTAGCTTAAACCGGAGGGGAAATTGATGACGGAGGTGCCTCTGATCTCGATCCCCAACATTAGATCGGAATTTATCGACGGAGGTGCCTCCTTCAAACTGCCGGAGCTTGTCCACCGGCGTCGTCAGACCGAAGTACCTACGCGGAATTCCTTCAACATCCTTCCCGACTTCAAATCGTGAATAATGGCAAGGTCGTCATTGACGCTTTATCCAAATTCCAAAGTTATCATTCTTTCGTCAATTTAGTCTTAATTTATTGGAATTCCTCGAATTCGGCCTAAGTTCTGGGCTTTGTTCATCAACTTGGTATTTTGAACCGAAAGACCACTCAAAATTATCAGATAGGGCAATTGTGTCATTCAACATGTTTTGATTTTGACTTTTTAGAAATTGAACTATTTTTTTGGGACAAGATTTTTTATCAAACTGAACTATTTTTGTGGGACGGAAATAGTATAATTTAAAATATAAGTATTGAAGGGTATTTTTGACTGTTTACACAAAATTAATGACAACTTAGCAGGTTAAGGCCTTGAGGGGATATTTGGATTTGGTAGGTTAGGTATGAGTCAAGAGGGTAATGTTAGTATTAGCAAAGTTCAGAGAGTTTAAAATAGATTGAGCTAAAACTTGGGGTTAAAATATTTTCTGATTCAGGATGTGCGTAGGAATCAGGTGCATTCAAATCCAGGTTCGTCATGGACGTAGAAATCGTGGCACCTCTATATATTAGAGACTAGATGCTCGGCCCGGGCGGATGCCCGGGGCGCTTGTATTTTAAGTCAGTTAAATAACCCCCGGGGTGCTTGTATTTTAAGTCAGTTAAATAACCGCCGAGGCGCTTGTATTTTAAGTCAGTTAAATAATAAATAATTACTAAACTTTTGACAAATAATAATTTGTCCGAAAACGCCTGTGTTTTAAGTCAGTTAAATGAAAAAAAATTACTACAATTCTAAAGACAATAATAATAATAATAAGAATAATACAAAAGCCATAAGAGACAAATTATTGTTTACGCAACAAATGTTTACACACATTAAAAAAAAGGGAAAAAAAGAGTAAAAACTTTTATTCCCAAGAAACAATTTGGAGGCCTTTATTTCAAGATACCACCCCGCAAACCTTTTCATATAGAGCACCATGTGCATAGGTATTATCCTGAACTGCACTCACTGCAGGGCACTCATGAGTACAGTAGATGTGAAAATTTAAGGATAAAATGCAAACCAGAATATCACCAAAGACAACAACAGATAGAATCTATTATATAAGACTCCAAGAAAAACCGATCACAATTTGTATTTTAGAATAATATTACAGGCCAAAGCATAAATATTGTATAAGATACCCAAACACAATTTAACACATTAATATGTAACGAATAGAAAAAAATATTATTCTCTTTCGATGAATTATTGTAAAAAAAAAGTGCATATTCATCCCAGATGTCTTCACTCAATCTCTACTGTCCTTTGAGGTTACAAATGTCGTTGGAATGTGAAATATAAACAAAATAGAAAGAAGAATAAACCATTATTTTTATAAGCTAAATCATATTTTTAAAAGAACTCAATCATTTCGTCATTATAGCTCCCATCCCAACATAAAAACACAATATAAACAACATGAAGAAAGTGAAATCTACCACAACAAATGTCGGAGATGGCATTGTGATGAAGGGAACAGTGATAAATGATGCATATTACAAGTTACAAATGATTTCAGTTAGGGGTGGTTCTTTTAACTCTCATGTGTGCCTCCGCAACACGCACTAATCTTTGAGTCCTTATAAAGCTGGTTTTCATCATTCATCGATCCTAATAAGTATCAAAACAGCCGCATAGTATAATTCATATGCTCCAAGCTTTTGCTCTGCAAAAGAAATTGTAGCACAAACTCCCATCTCTGAAATTTTATACGAAACAATCATGTAAGATGAAGAAAAGAAACAAAAGCATATTGAATCCTTGATTAAACAGCTATGAAACAAATTGAACCAAATCATGGGTAGACTATATCAAAGGATACACCAAATAAAAACCATGAGCAAATGCACCAGCCAAAACAGCAGTGAACAACCGATCCCTCAAGACAGGCCTATGCCGCAAAGTTAGTCAAACTGCCAACACCAAAACATTTTAATTCGAGCATCACCTTATTCAAAGCAATAAACAAAACCAAAACATCCCGTAATCCAAAAAGAAAAGAAAAGGCACCAAGAACTTAAACGGGGATCCTTTGTTTTGCGTTCTGATTACTTCCCTATTAATAAAACATTTTAAGAAATAATTTAGATAAAATACTTGCTCTTCGATTAAAAAGATTTCGGATCAAATCATAATACACTCACTGTTGGGTGGTGGTTTATGACAGGGTAGCCATAGTATAATTTTTTTATCTTTGCAGATTCAATGAAACTATAAAACCTGGAAACTTCGTGATCGATCTTTTGAATTGATTTGATTCTTCCCTGCTGCTCAGCAGCAACTCTTATTGTGTTCTGCAACCCCCTAAAAAAACGCCAAAATCACATATACTCTTGTTACATACTATTTCATTGTCTCAACTCACCTTGAATTCCTTGCCAAAATTAACAATCAATAAAGATCTTCACTCTTTAGTCATTCCACAAGCATAAATAAAACTCTTATCGGAGAAAGAGCTAAAGAATTCACATACCAAACAATTTTGTATGCCTAGATTTTGCAGTTGAAATAGATATCCACCAGGGAAGTGGTAAGCTTTGCGTGGCTCTAAATGACCTATCCCACACTGCTCAAGCATACATCCAGAAGATGTCCAGCGAGTGTAACCTGTAGTTTTTGAAATCAAATCCATTAAACAGACAAAGCAAAAGGAAAAAGAGGTCTGAAAATCATGCAGTAATTCAAATGAAAGTTTCTGCACTACTAAAGGCAGTTAACTGCTGCAACTCGCCGATCATTTTTATTCTTCATACAGCATGAAAAAGAAATGATCCTATGCACAGTAAATTACAATGAAAAGGTAATCACAAACACCCCAATTTTATAAAATATGCGGTAGTTACCTTTAATCTCTTTTGTAACATAAACTGAAGTATCCGAGGTTGTTACTGCTAGTTATCGTCGAAATTTGTGGTTTCCTCTGAATATTATACAACAAAAGCACTTTACTCCACAATATAAATTAATTTGGGAGGTGGGAGCATGACCCAGTTCTTGAATCATTTCTTATAGAGTTAATAACACTTTGGAAAAAAGTTCACGAGAGGAGGCTGCAATATACCAAAAAAAAAAAATTATTAAAGGAAAATTCTATTGCTCCAGGCATCATATGATAATTGAAAATCAAAGTACTGATTGAATCCTCTTACTTCTCTAAGCATCATATGAACTTTGAAAATTGAAGTAGTGATTGAATCCTGTTACTTTACCCTGCCATTTTGATGCTGATGTCGATGCCGATTAACATACTTTGATCCTTTAAACAACCCGATGAACCTACCTGCAGAATTACACTAAAGATTTAGGGAAAATTCGACCATAAAATCGAACAACAAACATATTCCAATTGGAAAAGGCAAAAATAAGTATACCTTTGACAAAATTAATGCAGATGATGACGTCGTCGAATGAATCATGATCAACAAAGCCGTAGTGCCTTGACCACACAACACAGACCGACTCTCGATTCGCATTAGTATATCCTGTCCGAGAATGATATTTGACTTTTCTTCAGCATACATTTTCAGGCGGAAATCAGCCACGGATGGGGCCAAAAGTCAATTGATGCGCCAGGAATAACTCCACCAAAATTAGGGAAAAAAAAAATCAGCCACGCAATATGGCCAAAAACCAATTGCTTCACCATGAAAACTCCACCAAAAGCAGCGAAATCCAAAATAAAAAACTCTTTGGATGAATCAAAATTTCAAAATTGCATATAGAAAAATCAACCGCACTAAATTCTGCTGAAACCCAACTGAATCAAGTCCCACGGTTGGCCGCTCTCAATCAAGATCACATAAGGACAAAGACAATAAGAAAAAAATAGAGGCAACGGCGGCTATCAAACCCGCTCTGATTTAGGCTCTGAAACTCTCTATTCATTTGTATTTTTCCAAAAAGAAATACAATTGTAGCAGCCAATTTTCAGTATAAAAGAAACAAAAATAATTCAAGGGGTAATGAAATATATGATGAGCAGGATTCTGGCTCAAGATTGTTGAATTTGATGCATTATCGATGGAAATTCGAGCATCGGCGGCGTTGGCAACAGAAGGGTAATGGAGGCCGAAGTTCGAAGAAGAAAATAGATTCTTCCCAAAAAATGAAAAAAATAATAGATTGTTTTTGGAAAAAAAAAATCCTTTTAACATAATCATGAACCCTAATCTAACAACCTCGACTATTACTATTCGTACCTTGATCGAGTTTCTGTGGAGATGTGTGCCTTGAAGCTTTTATACGACATTGTAAATTTAAAAGGAGAAATTAGGAACAAAGGGGGATTGCGAATTCTTCTTCTTTTCAGTTGTGAAACTTGAATTTTAAGAAAAACCGATCTTTATTGAAATTTGGGATTTGATTCTGCCATAGAAGAAGCTCAAAATTTGATCTTTTGCTATAATTTGGGAGTTAAACTGGGGAGTAGTTATCTGAAATTGGGGACGCCGAAACTAAAATTGAGGAATCATTCGTTTCTTTGATTTATTTATTTATGCTTTATAATAAAATTTTTAACAAACCCATTTTTGCTGAACATTTAGAGTGCCACGTGAAAGAAATCATTTTGTACTAAAAAAGGTCTTTGGCGGGAAAATTTTTAACGTAGAGTTGACACCTGTCCTTCTTGTATGTTGCTTTAATTAAGTACAACAGATTTGCGAGGGGTTGGGAGTGCCAAAAAGGGACAAATTAATCCAGCACAATTATTTATTTATTGGCTTCGATTTCCATCAATCATGCCGAAGGCTTCGCCAACTATTGGATTTTTTCAAATGAAGAAAAAGAAAGGAAAAGGAAATCATTGTTAAAGAAGAGAAAAGATAGAAGTATGATAAAAACTAGTTACTTTTCTTATTAATCAAAAATAAAATCTTAACTGCCTTTAAATAGGCTTTACAAAATAACCAAGAAGAGAAAAAATAGGAATCAAATCTCACCTTTACTGAAACTTAAAAACATAAAAATCAAGGATAATCTAAACAACTAAATAATTGACCAAATCTACTTTGAATCAATCTCCAACACTCTCCCATGATTCAAAGTAGCAACAATTCTTGATACGAAGAAATTTTGATGCACTTTCTCATCAATTTGTTGATGCACCTTCTCACCAACCTAACAATTTGGAGCACTTCTCTCCAATACTCTTTTGGTGCCCTTTCTCACCAATTTTCTTAAAAAAGTCGCTCTTCTTCAATTTCCATCATAGCATTTGCTTGTTCATCCCTACAATTCTTTTGCAGATGTCCAAACCTTTTGCACTTGAAACATTGAGGCTTTCTTCTGTACCAACAGTCTTTTTCTTCATGACCCGATTTCTTGCAATGTTCACATTCAGGAATTTTTCCTTTTCCTTTAGAGACCCTTGCCAGATAAGTTCATTCAATAGCTGTTCCTTTCTATTACTTCTTATAATTCTTCTCTGCTCTTGAGCTAGTAGAGAACTGATCAATTCCGATAGGGTCATTGTACTAACATCTTTTGATTATTCAAGAGACGAGATTTTTGCTTCAAATTTCTCTGGCAAACTCACGAGCATCTTTTCTACAATTCTGCTATGAGGTAGTGCCTCCTCCATCAAGCGAATTTTGTTCACTACTACCATCAATCTTTCAGAATAATTTTCCACAGTTTCTTCTTCTTTCATGCTTAAAAACTCAAAGTCTCTTTTAAGATTCAAGACCTTCATTTTTTTCGTCTTCTCATCACCTTGATATTGTTGATGCAGATTATCCCAAGCCTCCTTTGCTTTCTCACAAGTCATGATTCTTGTGAAAACTGACTCCGAAACGGTTGAAAAAATTATTGATAAAGCTCTTGGAGCTTTCGTTTCTTCTTCTTCATGAGTCTTGATCTGAGAAAGTGTTGGATTGTTACCTAGAGTTGGTAATTCCATCCCATTAGCAATCCACTGCTAAAAGACCAAGACTCTTTAAATGAGCTTTCATTTTGACAGCCCAAGCTTGATAGTTTTTGCATTTGAAAATTGGTGGTGAAGGAAATGAAGAATTGTTGGAAGCCATGATTTTATTTATTTATTTCATAGGCTCTCAGGATCAAAAACTCTAGATACCATGTTGGATTTTTTCAAATGAAGAAAAAGAAAGGAAAAGGAAATCATCGTTAAAGAAGAGAAAAGATAGAAGTCTCATAAAAACAAGTTACTTTTCTTATTAATCAAAAATAAAATACTAATTGCCTTTAAATAGGCTTTACAAAATAACCAAGAAGAGAAAAAATAGAAATCAAATTCCATCTTTACTGAAACTAAAAAAATATAAAAATCAGGAATAATTTAAACAACTAAATAATTGACCAAATCTACTTTGAATCAATCTCCAACACCAACGACCATTCACGTTTGGGTTCAAACTGCCTCAACCGAAAGGGGTGAGTGCGGATGTGGACGATGATGAGCGTTTTTACAGCAAGAGCTGGTTTGTTCGAGAGTTTCTGAAACAAAATAATCTTAGCACCGAAGCATTGGTTCACTATTATACCCGTGGACCTGGAGCACCACATCTCGACGAGGAGGAGCCGCAACAATATCAGCTCAACTGCCTACCAAACATTCCCGGCATCGACGATGACGACGACGAGGAACAGCTCAGGCCGAGTAACTGCCAACCAAAGAAACGTGGCGGAGACCGCCACGACGACGAGGATGATTTCGAAGGTGCTTTGAAAGTGGATGATGCCGACAATGCTAAGGTTGATGAGCGCAACAGCAGGCATCTGGATTTCTAAAGGAGGTTGATAAATGTCTTTGGCCGGAGCCCAGGAATTTAGGCAATAGTTGCCATTCTATAGGCGCGCGCAAGTTGTTGAAACTTGAAATCAATCTTCCTTCCTTCTAAAATATCAGTATTTGTATTAGACTATTTATTAAATTTTTTATGACAGATTAATCCTTTTTTTTTAAATAATGAATTCACTTATGTTATGTTCATCTCAACCAACAACTCTTTTCCTTGAATAGGAGGAACACGAGTGCTCAATTCTGCATTTACATAATGATATCTCTCCACATTGCAGATTGATTTGTCCTACAAGTACACTTCATTCTATATCTTCCACAGAGTTCCTGCTCCACAAATACAGTTTAAAGGTTAGATATTTTCTTTTATTTTTTAAATCGACGAAAAGATTGTTAATGCGAGCCAAGTAAACTTTAGGCACTGTTATTGATTGATGCTAAATCAAGATTAGTTACCTGGATAGGAGTCCAAAGTAAGGATTAGTTAGGGCAGAGTGCAAAGAGGCTGCAGCTTCTGCGAGTATGTTCATATCAACTTTCTCCCTAGGCAGCACTATAAATTCTCCAATTTTCTCAAATCCACACAGTTCCAGAAACTTGATCCCTTCTTTAAATCTACCAACTTTGCTCTGTTGTTGAGATAAGATGGAAGGAAGCCCTTTTTACTTTTGTAAATCCAATTTGGTCTTCTGTGGAGGACATAATTCGAACTCAACTTTTTTCAAGCACAAAGTTTACCTGGAATGCTGGATTACCAATACGAATCTTCCTATATTTCTCCTCTTCAGGATTGGTAGTTATATTTCGGACATATATTAAGAGTGTCTGAAAAGCCCTTTTTACTTGAGCATCATTTTCCTGCCAGCATGTTGAATCAGAACACATCGGTGGTTACTGACCAATTTTGAAAATATGAACAGATACCAAAAAATAGGTCACTAGTGGCAAAGGCCAAATGAGAAACAGTTTTTGTTGTTACCATGTTTTGGCGCTTGAGGGATCTCAGACATTCTCTCATTAGATCGCCGCTTCCCTTTCTTGAAGAAACAACAGGTACCGAGCCATGATCAACCGCCATTGGATCCTGAACTTGACATCGGAAAAGTAAGACATCACGAACAAATGAGCAAAGCTGTAACGAAAATAGTACAACATGCTAAGATTACCTTTCTGTTATGCAACAAAGATTCCGCGGGTTTTGCTGACGCATTGTCCTCCCCAGGCAATCCAATCCTTCCCCTCCGTTCAGCCTGGGAGACATTATCATAATTGATACGAAAGAACAGCAACACTTCCACAAACAAGGAAAAAGAGACTTGGGACTAATAATAACGATTAGTGGGAGTACATTTTTTCTAATCCTACCTTGTCCTGTTGTAGTTTCTGACGAATTCTCTCCATCGCCCTTCTCTTTTCTTCTTTATCAGCTTCTAACTTTGCGATATAACTGAGAGTTTTCAATGAAGATGCACATGATGAGGATCGGTTATGGAAAAGAATCGCACCACAAGATCCTGTAGGAAGTGAGTCGAAGAAGACCTACCGCTTTCTCTCACTTTCTTCAGCCATTCTCTTGGCCTTCACCAGTTCTTTTCCTGATTTTATCCTTTCCTACAAGCCAATTAATATATACAAAGCTGACAGTTGCCCGAATGACGAACTAACTAATATATGAAAGAAAGCGAACACAACATTCACTCCTTCAAAGAAACCGAGGAGATTGAGTGTTTTTTCAGTAGCAATAAGACAGGTGTCGAGCCAAGTATTTTAGCAGTAAAGAACTGAGAACATGATGAATACCTTCTCCATATTTCTTTCTAGTTTCTTTTGTTCTTCATCTCGATTCTTACGCACTTGTTCCCTGCATTTTAGATTGTAAGAGAGATCCAGTATTCATATTCTTCAGAATGGAATCTGTTTTGACAAGCATATGCATTTTCTGTTGTCTAGTTTTTTGGCCAGAGGAATCAATAATAACAGGAGTGAAAGGGCCATATGAGGTAATAATACCTTAATTGCTGAAGTCTCAAATTTACTGGTTCAGAGGAGCCAGGGGAATCTGGAGATTCAATAGGGATATCAACATGAACCTGAGCAAAAGAAACAACATGTAATTTTTAATTAACATCCCAAAACTTCTACATTGACTCTGAATCTCGAATTCAATTTTTTGTTGGATAAATTTCTGTATACCATCGGCATCTCGTCGACATCTGCATCATTCTCATGATCAACCAACCAATTTATTGCATCCTCAATACTCGAATTACCTGAGTAAATGAATTTATTCTCCTCATTGTTTTCCTCTAGATTATGCACTTGTTAATGGCCCCAAAAAAAAAATTACAAATAATTAAAATTAAAAACTCCAACCTGAAAACTGGAGAGCTTTGGTGGCTCTAGCCTTCGAAAATCCCATTTCTTCAAGTTCAGCCAGCAAAGTCTTATTAACATCCGGAGTAGCCATTCTTGGTTGTCCACTTAGAATTAATGTCACGAAACCAGAAAGCTTTAATCTCTTTATCGGTGCAAATTCAGCTGATTATGATGGATTTCCAGCTTGAATGAGAATGATTAATAGGAGGGACAAATCTCAAATGGGCTCCAGTTTTCTTCTGGAATTTGATCGAAAATGCTGAAGGAAAACCCAACCATAGGGTTGAGGTTTGCTGGAGGAGACCGCCATTACAAGATAATAGATTCCTTGATCCTTTATCCACATTCCCAAGCTACTAATTCCTTTGAACTTCAAACAGCTAGCTAGAAGCGCGGGAAGAAACAGGGCAGAACCCCTTTTTGGTGTAATTATTTTACATCCCTAAAAGTTTTACAAACTTACATCTCTTGCCTCGAGATTTATTAAAATTACAATCATCTTCTAGACCGATTAAAAAATAAGTATATAGCACATTCACTAATTATAATGATATACTTATATGTATTACAGTAGTGACACTAACAACACTTTATTATACTCCCTCTGTCCATAATTATTGTCCAGTTTGAGTTTTCATTTCTAGTTCAAATTGTACTAAAAGTGAAATCTCAAATTGGACAATAATTTTGAGACAGAGGGAGTAAAACTTTTGGTGTTGAAATATCCTAACCAGTAATCATTCCAACAATATATTCTACTATTTCTCTTTTTTCACAAATTTAAACATCAAGTAGTACTAACTCCTTTTTTGTTTCAACAGTCTCACCATTTAATTACCATCCGCCTCACAACATAGTTTGTTAAATCTTGAGAGATGGATGTGCAATTTTTTCAAACATTGGTGAAGGTCTAGGTAATTATCCCAATTGTGTTCCATACCCAATTTGTGGTGCTTGGGTAAAGGCGCGGTGCCAATCTCCACGCTTTATGACAGCGGGACCTGATTAACGACAATAACTGTTCTTTTATACACAGGAGAAAGTTAAAAAAGAGACTGAAAGACACTTCCAGAAACATACAGAAAACCATATTTAAAAAAATTGATTGATCATACCCATATACAGGAAAGATTACTGCAGTTGTGAGGCTAAACTTTCCAAGAAGAAAAAGAGAAACAGAATCGACGATTTTGGGAAAGATGGATTCTTTACTGAAGAAGAAAGAAAGGGAAAGAAGCATGGAAGAAGAAGAAGAAGAAGACGGCGGGGTGAAACAGAGAAGGATAAAGTTACGGTGCCCATCAGCGTCAATGAGCAAAATAGTTGAATTGGTAGCAGGGGAAGACCAAAGATTGGACCTTGGTTTCATATCTAGAGCTTTTGGGATTGAACCCAATTCTTTGAAGCTTAATGGGCACTTTATAAGTAGAGGGCTTGATCTTGTTGCCTGCTCTGTCACTTGGAGATCTCTGCTTTCGTTCTTTTCTTCTCGGGGATTTTCCACCGGAGCTACTGATTCCGACGCCATTATTGTTGACGGCAAGCTCTCCAAAATCGGTTCCAAAAGTAAGCTTCTTGATTTATTTACTCCTCCTCTTTAAGTTTTGTTTTGTTCACTTCGGAAATAGTTAACTGATTAGTCCATTCTAGGTTTAATGCTGATGAATGATTACAATGGATATAGAAGGGTGAATAATACGTGAGTACTCTTTGTTCTAAGGTCCTCATCCAATGATATTGTAAGGATTCTTGAGGTGAAGTCCTCTTTGATCAGATGATTTTTTTTTTTTTTTTGGTTTCATGTTTCCTGTAATTAAGTTTGGGTAGTAATTTCAGGATTTTTTTTCCTTTTTTTTTTTTTGTGAAGAAGGTAATTTGAGGATGTTAAATTCTTGAAAATCTTGGGTGCCTCTTGTAAATTGTTTTTTCTTAGAGTATGATCACCAAAAACTTCAGACAGGTGGATGAAGGTTTTCTGGTTTAGCTGAATTCAGATTTCTCATAATTTTCCATTGCATTGGAATCCACTTAGAGATTTCAATCATTCTAAAGAGCAAATTCTGTCAGCTTTGTGGTCCTTTTGTTTTTGAAATGTTTCCGACTTTGATGAAACTAAAGCATTTTTTTTTTATTTTTTATTTTGCCAGGAAAGCACGAGCCTGAGTGTATTGGAAATGCATCTTTTAATGCCAAACAAGATGGAGTTTCTGATCTCAATGGAAAACCCGAGCTCTTGAATGTTGACTCTGTCAGCAAAAGAAGATTAAAGGATTTTAGCCAAGGTAAATTTGGGTAATTATTCTTGTTTTTAGACTTGGAAGTGTCAGATCCTGTTGCAGAGTGCTCTATTACTTACCTTCTAGTTTTTGTGTAGGGCTACTTAACAAGATAGCTCAGACTGGATCTCATTGCTCGAGCCTAAAGAGGAAGTTTTTGTCAGTAGACTCTAACTTAACAAAAAGAACCAGAACAAAAGAAGCCAACACAAGTACGTATTCAGTTTGAGATTCCATTACATCAGATCTATCTTCCATTATTGTTGAAGTGATTGTTGTTTCTTGATTGCTTTCTAACATTCTGTTGGGGTTCTGCAGGTTTCCACGGTAATGAAGTCGATAAATCCAGAAGAATTTCGAGTGATCAAGTGTCGTGCAGTATCTTGAGGGGAGACAACTTAAAACGATTAAGAGAAGATGATTTGGTAGTTGCCTCACCTTGTAATAAGAGGTTATACTGCGTACGAACTTGAAAGTTGCTTACAATGTGTGATTTTATAAAGAACAATGGTGATTAATAAGCTCAAATTATCTTAGCATTCGTAGAGAAGAAATGATCCTTATCCTTGATTTTGTTAGTTATCAAGGGCATGTACATTTGTATATGGATATCTGGATTAAGGCAAATGTCAGATTTAGAATTCTGGCTGAGCTAACAACTATCCTAGCCCACCAATGCAATGCTAAATTTTATTTGATCCATTTTGCAAATACTGATGGCATGAAGAAACTAACTTCCAAACTGATGTAAACATCCGAGTTTCAGCTACGAAATCCACCAAAGAGTTAAGAGGCAGCCCTGGTTCAACAAAGCTCTCTAACTCTTCGGTTGAGGAACTTAATGTGGAAAATTTCACAGGCTTAGAAGACTCAAATGTCCAATACAGAGTACATTTTGCGGACATACGTCAGATTTGTTAGTGAGTTGGTGTTACAGAATTAGTAAAACCTATGAATGGTATGAAAGTAAAGAGAAACTCTAGAAACCAAAAAACCTGAAGACTACTGTGTGGGCATAAAGAACATTGTACAACAACGGCTTGCTTCTGAAGGCTAAGTAGAATAGTACTGCCAAGCAACAGCAAGACCAGCCACTAGCAAAACTTTTACCATAAGCTTATAGTTAAACGATGATGAAGATTGTTCGGATGGAGTCGGTTGTTCCTGTGCTTGTCCCGTGGATTTTCCAAACAATTTTCGTAGCAGCAAGCGCAACGGACCTGCCTTCTTGCTTGCTGAAAAGAGATGACAAGATCAACTCGTTATTTAAAGAATGATGATGATTTCTAAACAATAAAACACGGGTTTCCAGATGGAAGGGTAATGGAATCAGATTGCGGAATCACAATAAAGCTAATTTCACTTCTAGACAGTTTGTCTTCCTGTTGTTTGCAAGATTCTCTCATTTGATACAGAAGCCCAACTACCTTTACGTGTTCACTTTTTATTTCCCCTAATGCAGGAACTCACAAATAGCACTATTTTGGTGCATAATACACAATTGGATCAATCATTAAGGTTTCCTAAATGCATTACTAAATTGAACCAACTGCAGTATCATGAACTCACATATCTATGACCAACTGTATTGCTGGCCAATCATCAATTACCTCTGTGTATCATAACTGAATAGATTCAGATTCTATTTACAACAAAAAACCTTAAGATATCGAATGTATTACCTTTGCTTTTCAAAAGCCGCTCTTCCTGCCCAGCCCGCCATCTTAATGCATTAAGCAACGATCCAAAATACAAGGCAAACACCGTGCAAGTGATTGTAATCACGTTGTAAGGCATGCTGAAATCAGGAGTCGTCAAAGGCACCAGTAGTACTTCTGTATATGATCGAAGTTTGTTCCTTTCCTACTTGGAGATTCAGATGGTCAGCAGAATGAATAATAAAATAAATCCTCAAGCTATAGCCTATAAGTAAGTTATTGCATGCTAACCTGTAACTTTGAGAATATAGGAATCTTGCTCAAAGACTCATCGGAAAAATGCATGCCTGTTTCAAAGTCACCAAAGACTACTAAAGCTGATGGGATGTCAAATCCCTGATTAGCATCTGGAGGATACTCGTCAATATGCAGAAAACCCTGGAGAAATACACGCAAACACAATAAGCACAAAAGATAATAATGGCATATTAAGAACTTAAAGAAAATGCATATCATATGCATGAAGGGGGTGCCGCATGCATAGCTTTTGTTTATCAGGCTGGCTATTTCATTACTCAGCAATTAACCAGAAGCAGGGATAGTCAAGAAATCGTGGTAAATTTACTAGATCCCTTATATTTCCTGCAATTAATGCAGTCAGCTTTAGCTCTTTTCCTTTGTAGGGGTTGAGGCCATATAGATGTTTATATACATTTGAAAGAATGGAGGTGCTGCAAGTTGTAAGAATATCAATATATGGCTAATTATCATGGTAAGAAAGGCCTGAATAGTTTCTACATCTCTTCTCACCCCCACCCCCCAACCCCCCTTTTTTGTTCAGTTTCTGCATAAATGCTTGTCATATTCAGTCATTTTTATGAATGTATTACCCAAATTAACACCCATAACCTTCTTATCTTTTCTTACTTAATGTTAACAATCATCCAAATCCCGAAGAATGCATGATGCATTAGCAGGTTTAACAAAAAGAACCACAATTACATGTACAATTTATGACATACCTTATCAAAATCAAGACTTATTGCGGCTGATCTTGCTTCACATGGTAGTCTTAAAGTCATCTCCAATACTCCTGGAGACACCTTGTCTTCAGAAGGTGAAACTTGAATCTTCTCTGCACTATCTGCTAGAGGTTGAAGATTCCCATCGATAAATACCTGGAGTGTATGATAGTATACCTTTACATACCAAGGCACAACTTGGAAAATATTAACCTTCAACTGACATTCATCTGCACTATCAGCATTCAGCAGATGATGGCTCATGTCATTAGACTTCAAGGAAATTGCTATCGAACCTCTCTCGTTTCCACTGCCCATTAGGTACCTGCTAACACTGAGTGGTGCTTGTTGGCATGACCAAACTACAGGAAACTTCCATCTGAACCCCAAATCGAAGGGCTTTGACTCGCTGTAGTTCTCAATTGGAAATTCATAAAGATTAGACAAGTTGTCCCCTACTCTGATTAGCCTGCTTGGGGGAACTGGTATCTCCAAACCTGGATCTATCCTCAAACTTCCTGAAATGTCAACATCAGAATGAGATCCTTTGTTTTTCTTCCCAAATTCCGTAAGTTCAGATAATAAATTCTGCTCCAAATGAATATACACATTGCTAGATTTGGAAAGGACGCATTTTCCATTGACTTTCCTGCCAAACAATGAATTCAGAGACCAATTTGGCTGCAGTGTGGAACTGCCCAAAAGCATTTCCCCAGTTGCAGACATATCTGGTTGAAGAACAATTGTAAGAGTCTGGTCAAGGACAATTCCGGAGCTTATTTCCTTGTCATATTCATCAGAGGACAAACGCAACCGCTGAGAATGATAATATCCTCTATAAATGGATGGTCGATCCATCAATGTAGACAGCCCAGCTTTGTCTCTGCAAGGAAGTAACTTCAACCAAGGAGTGAGGTTCTCTGTGCAGACAGCTTCACGAGGTAAAGTCCCATACCTTAACTTGCCCCCAGATGACTTAAAGCTCCACTGAGGACTAGAATATGCAGTTGAATCCTCAAGGAAGTTGATCGACGCACAAAAGAGACCTGAAAGTGCATGGGTTAAATTTTTCCAGGAAGCATCAACCTGGTGATGGGGCACATCAAAAACAGCCCACAGTTCGACTCCAGGAGGCTTTGCATTGCTAGTTGATATGGGGTCATATCCACCCCAACGTTCATAATTCCAACGACCTTGTGTAAATGACAATTCCATTTCTTGCAAATGGAATTTTTGGACCTGCATAAAGATATGAGAGTTATTTGTACATATTGTAGTGCATTTGAAGATCAGCAGAAAATATTGAGATTGGCCAAAGAACGGAAGAAGGAAACTACCAGCAACAAAACGCAGACAAGTATTATACACAGGTAAGGTACGCTATCATCATTCAAATATGCTTTTTCACAGAGCTTTGAAAACTCAACAGCTGAAACAAATTCTTCATGTAAAACTCATGTTTAGGATAAAAAACAAAAGCAAAAATATACCCAAATCTGGAAATAGTTAACGGTCCCTGACTTGTAAGCTTGTTACCAATGGAGTATTTGGGGTGATAAATTGGGGAATTTCCATATGTTATCATACGTTGTGCCTGCTCTGTATTCACAATAATGATTCAACTCAAACTTTTACTTCCTCAAACATTACATAAACTGAAGTCAGCTACAACTGAATCCCATGTTATCTCCTGCATAACAGAAACTCATTGGGAAATTTGAGCAAGATGATTCAAATATTCCTCCTAACCCTCAAAGTAGCTGACTCCCCAGATCAATCGAACACGAAACTGAAAATCACATTACTACATTCCATCTTTTCCAAGCATATTTTGGTTTTTTTTTTTTTTTTTTTCCCGGGGAACGGATGCTTCCTGATTTAAATTATGTTTCTCTTCCGCACAAACTATTTTCTCAGATTACAATCACAAACTGACCCCCAAAATTATCCATCTCCAGCACAGTACAAATTTCGGATTCACAATATACGTATTCTCACATAAACACCTTAAATATCCATCCAAGTTCAAACAATTTCAAAACCCCAAACCTAAACTTCGAACGAAACGGAAATCTCAATTAATTAAACACGGCAAAATAAAAAGAAAAAGAAAAACCACGATGACCAAAGAGTCAAGCCTAGAAACATAAAGGGGATATGAGAAGGAGAATTATAAGATAGCAACGACTAGATATGAAGTAGAAGGGCTAACCAGTTGATAAATGGACTTGGGGAAAAGATGGTGGTGGTGGCCATATGAGTTGGTGGAAGGAGCTCTACTTTGAAAGTGAAAATGGGCAAGAACTTTCCGATCAGGTAATGGCCTCAAAAGCAATGCTTCCGAGAACTCTTCTTCGCCTGAATCTGATGCTGCTGCTGCTTCTGTTGCCGCCTCTTCTGCATTTGCTAAAATCCCCAAGGCCAATGAGAGTATAAGAAACACAAAGATTGACCTTAAAGTTATCATCCTAACTTTCTCCTCAGAAGCCGGCTACAATCTTCAATGTTCCCGACGAGCAAAGTTTTGAAGCTTCCGAAGAATTCATCCTACTTCGCAACCATGGATACTCAGCCGATTCGTAGTAGTTCAGAAAACGCAGAAGAAAATGGGAAAGAATTTTGCTGGGGGATCAAGGTTATTTATTTTTATTAGTAAACTGGATCAAAAAGTGACCCCCAAACCAGTAACATCTAATTATCAAATGAATTATGGCCCAATTCGTACATTTGTTTGAGAGTTGAGACTAGGCCGGTTGGCCCAATTGGGGGAGCTCGGTCGGAGCGTCTCTAGTCTTTTTTATTTATAGTACCCCTCCATTCCAAAATAAGTGTCGTTTTAGCAAAATGCAGAAATTTTAAAGTAAGTGTCGTTTTTGGATTTCAATACATTTTTTGTCAAAAATTTTCAAACATACCCTCAAAAGAAATAATGTTACTGGTGAACATTTATTTTAATGGGGTTAGTTGAGGATATTCCAGTAATTTAGCTACCCTATTTAAGTGTTTCTTAAAATGTGTGCAAACTCTAAAATAACACTTATTTTAGAATGGAGGGAGTACGGTAATGCCGTTGGAGGCAACCAATGACAATGGAATGTTTATGATTGATAAAATAAAACTATTGAACTTGGCGAATAACCAAGCAAGTCTCTTTGAATTTTTGGAGTTTTGAAATGCATAGTGGCTAGAAAAATATTGGTGAGCCCCCCAAAAAAATTACTCTATCTGGTTCTTAATATAAGACATTTTGATTTATCATAAGTTTATTCTAATACATATTTTTAATTGACAAAAAAAACCTTAAAAATATTTCATAACAATCAAGAAAATATAACGAATGTAAAATATATGTTTTTAAAGTTTTTTCGCCAACTAAAAATACGTACTAAGTGGAACCTAGGACGAAATTAAAATACCTTATATTAAGGATTCCGGAAGAGTATATGAAGTAATATGTTTGCTCTGATGTAAAATAGTTTGCATCGTAAATTGTAAAAATTTACTGAAACAACATAAGAATATTTGTCAACGGCAAAAACTTATGCTCTTTATGTCTCATATAGAAATAATTAACATTGTAAATTGTATAGTTTCGGTAAATTTCATAGAGGGAGTAATGTGGGTGGACTAGCTTGAGGCCGGAAGTTCCTTCATTGTAGCTTCGTGATGGCTTCCATTATTAGCCTTATACTTGAAATCCTAGCCACTTGAGGAAATAAATAAGATCTAAAGCATGAACACATTGCTGAACTACGCGATATAACTACAGTATGGTCGATCGAATATGTGAAGGTATTAATCCCATAAGTTCTTTGTCAAAGGATACGAGGATAGTAATCAAAGAGACAACACAAAAGACACTAAAGAATAAAGATGAAATATTTATAAACTTTATTGTTAAAAACTTGAATCTAACAATAATGGGGGAATCACAAGATTTGGATGTGTTCTAATCGTGTTAGACACTATCCTTAAGACAATATTTACCCCCTCCATGTTGCAATACCGGGTTTGTTTGGCAATTTGCCTCTAGGACATAAATAACACAAGAACATGCAACTTGCAATTATTGAATATTCTCAAGAATTTAGGAATGCAAGACAATATTTACCCCCTCCATGTTGCAATACCGGGTTTGTTTGGCAATTTGCCTCTAGGACATAAATAACACAAGAACATGCAACTTGCAATTATTGAATATTCTCAAGAATTTAGGAATGCAAAAGTTGATTAGAAATCCTGCACCAGTTTTCCTATTTATAGGTAACATTTGCAGAATTAAAAGGATACAAAACTAAGTACACAACCCTTGGCTTGTAAGAAATAACCACCATGCAAGTGAAAGGTTGTCAACTTAATTATTATTCTTAAATTCTAAATTAATTATTTTATTTTACAAACTAAAAATTTCCAACACTTTGTGGGCATGTGACCTGGAATCATGCTCCATATGAATGTCCCACACTTTGCGATATACATAGTGGACCCATTGGCGGTCATGGGAGCATTGCCGGCGAGGATCAATTATGATATTCTCCATGCAAACTCCAGTTATGGTGAAATGGTTGACAAGTTCCAATTCACTTGCAATACCCTGGTATCCAACTAACTCAACCACTTTAAGATGCTGTTTTCGAGTGTACGGTAGATAATACTTCAACAGGTATCCGCTATCCTTAAATTTCTTAATGTCTTTAGGCCATTCCCGCTGCAAAACAGTGCATTGTTGTTAACATGCAAATCTTATCAGCTAGAAGTCGCTCAAGATATTTTGGGGTCTAAAGCGATTTTTAAATTTGAGACCTAAAATCATAATTTAATATACTGGTATTTTTTACAATATTAATTTAGTTTATGAAAATGAAACTTTACGATTCAATACTTTCACTACCAGTTATCAAAATTAATCAATTACTAAAATGACGAGTACCAGTAAATACCACTACCAAGAATTGTATAAACATTAACGAAAGATGACATGCCAATCATGAACACCACTAATAAAGAAGAAAGAAAATCGGAAGATTAAATAATTATAAGTTGTGAAGATAATAATCAAAGCCTTTCAAATAGTATTTAGGTCTTTTCTAAATTCTACCGGTAATGAGTTCATATCATAATCAAATTAAGAACGCCTAAATTTTAGGTGAATTTTGGAATTTTGGATTAATGTTAAGATAATTTTTTATTTTTTACCTCTTAATCCATTTAATTTTTTTAATCTTTTAAAATATATATTATTTTATTAGTAATGCATAAAATTTTGGGGCCTTCCACAATTTGGGGCCTAAAGCACTATCTTCACTAGTCTTACGCCTCTGTTATCAGCGAGACATGTAATGGCATAGAAGCACAACTCCTTTATATGTAGCGATTTTTGGAAAGTGAAATGAAGCATTATCTATGAAATGGAAAAACAACATTGCCATCCCAACAAAGAGACAACAAGGAATGTAACACCTTTATTGTTAACTTCTCCAAGTTCGGTGATGCCCTTATCAGGGAAGTTCCAATAAAACCCGCTCTGATAGTATCATAATTAATTTTCTCAGCCCAGTTAACTGAGGAAGTTTATCAAACTTTGCTTCAAACTGAACCACCAAAAAAAAACAAAACAAAAAAAAAAAACAGCAAAAGTCAAGATCATATTTGAAACAAATTAGGGGTAATAGAACACTGAGATCACACTGGAAATTTAAGCAATACAAACCGTAAGAACATCTATGGGTGCCACAGATTTCATATATTCAAAATGTAAGGTAAGAACCTCCAGTTTAGACAGGTAGCAAGAACATCGCAACATAACATCCTCCAGGATCTCTAGACGGTCACGGACATGAAAATGAGTAAGCAATGGAATACTCTGGAGCAGTACTAACACCTCTGGCTTGGTAATCTTAATAGATAAAAGATTGACAACATTTCGTACAACGAGAGATTGCATTTTGTAACAATCACAGATTTCCTGGTGTTTCAGGGAAAGAGATGGACCAAACACTTCCAAATTAATCAAACCTTCAGACATGTGCACTTCCAGCCATTCAAGAAACTTACCGGTGATGCAGGAAGGATTCGATCGCTTCCCCGGAAACATTAACGCTTTTCAAAATCACTGATCTTAGTAAAGGCTGGAACTTCCAACTCTCCAGGCAAAAATCAAGATGAGGAAAAGTATTACTCCCTCCGTCCCATAATTATTGTCCAGTTTTACTAAAATAAAAGATTTTATTTTTGGTCAAAATTAACTATATTTTACTTCAAACAACCGGATATACCCCTACATAAGTAATTGTTTAACCACTAAGATTTTATTGATAATGTTTTTTACTAAGGACAAATGTGTAACTTGATCCATAAAAAGTCAAATTGGACAATAATTTTGGGATAAAATTTTTTGGACAAAGTGAACAATAATTATGGGACGGAGGGAGGGAGTATTGGCTTTGTGCTAATCTAGTCAGCGACCCGCGACATTCGAGGTCTAGTTCTAGGCTTGCCACCTTCCTGGAAAAGGCATACCGAACCCAATTATCAAATCTCTTCCCGAGAAGAAGAGCCCAAATCACAACAAACCCGAAATCCATCCAACACCGAAGCTTTGTGGGATTGCAGCATTTTGTTGGTGGATTGAATATGTTTAAGCCTCTCCCTTGCAATAGCCTGGCTACGCCTCCCAAAAAGACATACATCTGTATAAGCCTTATATTGGTTTTCATGTAGTATATCTTGATTAATGAAGCGGAAGCATCAAAATCAAGCCGAGGAACAAAAGTCCACAAATTCATCCATCTTTTTTATACAACATTGGTTCTGGCAGCTTCTTTGTTTGGCAGAAACGACAAAATCAAAATAAGAATCTCATCCGGAAGCAAACTGGTGCAATCCTCGGCTAATATGCGATCACTAATTGTACACTCAAACCGAAAAATAAAAAATTACTAGTAATTCCTGGAATCTGAAATCAGTTAATAATAAGTCAAAAATCAAGATTTGCAGGAACCTAAACACGTCAGTAAAATAAACACGCTATCATTACTGATCAGCTGCCTCAAAATTATCAACAAAAATCCTATAGAAATTTAAAAAAATAAAATTAAAAAAAAATAAAATAAAATTACTCCAACGCTCGAAGGAATTACCTCTAGCAGCCCAAAGTCAGACACAAATTCTTAAAAAAAAATTAAAAAAATAAAATAAAAATCATATATCCCACGCAATTCTTAAATTATCTGCCCGTAGTGAATCTAGAACGAAGATGTAGTGGGGGCTAAAATACATTGTGAAAAATATGCACCGCTTATTTTGTTCGTACGTATCATGACTTTTATAGTTTTACATCATGTATAATTATGCTCATACCGAATTTTATAACTAGTTTTAAATTATCTTACCGCATTATAGTAACCAAACTATTTAATACTCCCTCCGTCCCATAATTATTGTCCACTTTGCCCAAAAAATTTTGTCCCAAAATTATTGTCCAATTTGACTTTTTATGGATCAAGTTACACATTTGTCCTTAGTAAAAACTATTATCTATAAAATCTTAGTGGTTAAACAATTACTTATGTAGGAGTATATTCGGTTGTTTAAGGTAAAATATAGTTAAGTTTGACCAAAAATAAAATATTTCATTTTAGTAAAACTGGACAATAATTATGGGACGGAGGGAGTAATTTTTTTTTATTTGAATTATATAAATAACTTCTCACTATCTTTGAAATAGTAAGAAAAGACTTTTTCTAAAACAACTATATCTCTATATAATTTTTTTTATATATATAAAAAAACACAACTCTTTCTTAAGCACACATAAGTACACAATAGTATAAGCTGAATTAATTGGGTTTAGCGTCATTAGTTTGATTATAATTAGGAACTCATTCAGTTTTTAATATTTATTTCGAAAGAGTTTATTAATTAAATAAACAAACTAATTCACATTTTATTTGGACTATTTTAATTGGCCCAAAATAAAATTATTAGAGATAAACAAAATAATTTAGTTTTAATTATTACTCAAAATTAGTCAATTAAATAACAAAAATCTAATTAGTACTAAACTAAAATAAATAAATAATATTAATTTAGGGAGGGGTAGTGGAGCCATGGCCTCTCTAGCCCCCACCCTTCCACCCCTGTTAACGCCCTATACTTTTCATTACAAGACTAATAAATTGGGGAAAGGATGTATTGTTTTGAAATAATTTTTGTGATTAAAATCGTTGTTCAAATATTGTCATTGGAAAATAATATAATTTTATAATAACATAATTATCCTTATTTTCTTAAAACCTTTTTAAAATCATTAAGATAAAAATCAATCCCCGTAGATCTCTCATAACAATCCGCAGACAGAAGATCGATCCCTTTTATCATTTTTTACAATGGAGGAAGAATTTTGCGGAAACTAAAGATTTTTTTGATTGGTCTTTTAGTTTGACCCGTCGATGTAAATAAATTGGTTTGATCAATTCTAATTGACAGGCACTTTATAACAGTTGGGGATCTGAATGATAAAATAATTGAATCTAAGCAATTGATAAGGGTGATTTTAATCTCATTATTACCAAATCGCTGATTAAGGAAGATTATCTTGATGATTCTACTTTGATTCCAAGATTGCTCTATTTTAGTTCGTCGTGTACCTGCACAAACTCTAATCATTGCCCTGTTTCTACTTTGATTCCAAGACAATTAGGCAGTGGTGTTAATTAGTTTGCTCCCCCTAGTATCAATGATGAGGACACAGTAAAATTAAGGCCTTTGATAGAAATACCCATTCAGACTCAAAGGAATCCCGCATTCATGTTGCAGATAATCTAATGGCGGAGGCGTCCCTTGAAAAAACGTTTCGATAAGGTTGTATATTTGACTGAAGTTTCGATGAGGCATCCCTTGAAAAAAACGTTTAGGCTTCATTTTTTTTTAAAAAAATAAAATTTCAGTGTAATAAATTATAAGGGTGATAAAGTCAATTCAAAGTAATTTTATTTTATGATTTTTGATAAATTAGTTACTGCCCTTCATAAAAATTATTTTTAGGTCATACTCCTTTTATTAATTTGGTATGTTATACTGCCCTTTAGCCAAATTTTCCCTTGTAAGATTACCTATTGAAACCAAAATTAACCTGGAGCTGGAGTCATCGACGTAAAGTTATGTGTACATATGGGTTTTTGTAAGTAAATATATATGAGTGCATTCCTGATCGATCATGTCGTTTCAAGAATCTAGTTATTTACATAAGGTACATCTGACTTTTGTTTGTTAATTTGTTGTTCTAGTTGACGAGAGCTGGGTTTTTACCATTGATCAAATGAATGCGACTGATATAATCTACATAGACGCCAATTGGAAGATACTTGAGGAATTTCGAAACTCAAATTAAAGGGTTTTGACTTTTGAACTCAGATGCATGGCAGAAAAGAGGAATCCATCGATTTTCCCCAGTCAAGGTTTTCTCATTTTTTTCTTGCTTCCTAATACTATTTCTCCTCAATTTTTTTTTATTAAATACGTACCACACACATTTTCAAGAGCTTAACATGCAGCGGTTGGTTTAAACTGCAGTTCCGACACTGAAAAGTAATGATGCTAGTGCTACTATACTTTTTATATAATTAAAATAACACATTTAATTCTTTCATCAGAAACAAAATCATAAATGGATTTTAAGCAGTGTACGATATTTTTATTTTTAATGTGGCGGGGATTTATTATTCCATAATTGATTCAAATTTATTACAGCCTTACAGATAACTGTTGCTAGGGCATTCAGGAGGAGGAACTGGGTATCTTTCGGTATCAGTACAATAATCATAAGTAATAAGTGTCCTCATAGCTTTGTACCAAAGCTTTGGTGAGCCTTCTTCCAACTCCCAAAATTTATCACCATTCCACCAATATTTCGTGGAGGCGCAATCTTGATCATGGGTTGAAGAACTACTACACCCGTCAACGTCGAAGCTCCTGAATTGGGCTGAGAATGGAGCGTGAGACCAATCGATCTTGGTTCTGCCTCCATCCGTAGCCCAATAATCTCCATTCCAAATGCTAGCTAATATCTGCATCGGCTTTGATGGATAGTCAACTCCGATAGCCGTATTGTTCTTAAACACTCTGATTGGAACGCCGTCAATGTACATCCTAAAAGATTCGCATGTTTGCAATTTAGTCGAAATCAAGATAAATTAGGTATAGCATTTGAAAAAAAAAATAGTTTTTACTTTTGGGTACATAATTAAGGTTACATTATGATGTGTGGGTTCCAAAGAATTCTGTAGTCATGGTAATCCGCGGTGGGATCAAAGGGAAGAACCAATTTTTGTTCTCTATTTCCAACTCCATTGGCGAAAACATTAGTCTGAATTGAAATATTTTCGCCTGGCCTGTTTCCCAAAAACTCAAAATCCACTTCATCTAGGGCATGGTCTCCGGAACGCAGCTTGATATTAGAAAATCAACAATTAGTTAGAAGCTTATGTTTTATTATAATAAATACTAGTAATAATTAACCTATCAAAAATTCCAAGAAAAAAATAAAAGAAAATTGCGACCCTTATTGGGATAAGTTTGCATGCATAAAACTTAAACATACGTAGAAAGCGGTAACAACTCCAGCAGAATCGCCCGCGGGGAGCTTGATCCACATATTGAAGAACCCCGATCCATATTTGACCTTGGAACTGAATCTTGCGCCTATGCATGTAACAGTAAAACAATTAATCAACAGTACCGGTTACTTGTGAAAATTGAGAACGACGAAATAGGATGAACTTAATATATATATATATATATATATATATATATATATTTAAAAACAAGGATAACAAAGTACCAGAAACAGTATCCAGGGAGAGTTGGACTCGGGTTTTTTGTGGGTCAAGGAACTTGACATGATCCTGACCATAGTCAATAGCGTAGTGGCTGTCAAATACGGTGTCTCCGGCTGCCGGAAAAACTAACCCGATGAGGTGCAGGAGTAATGCAGTGCCAGTGATCATCAGTACTAATTGATGATGAGAATACATATTGAAACCAAAATAAAAACTTGGACTTGGGGCGTAAGTTTAGAGAGGGACGTTTCTCCGTAATGATGGTGTTATATTAATTTGGAATGTAACTTGGAGTCACTAAAATTAGGCCTTCATTTGGAATTATGAATTTTTTAACTGCAGAAATTTACATGGACGTTTCTGTGGTTACTTTTGCTTTTAGTAAAAACACTTTTAGTGCGTAATTGAATCTGTTTGTATGTTTGTTATTCTAGTTCATCAGATGCGTGTGCTTAACTGTTTCAAGTTAATTCGGCTGGTGATACCAGACTTTTAAGGTGATGATAAATTTCTCTATAATTTTTGTTCTCTTTTTGCAAATAGGATTAACATTTTCACTGAAATTAGAAGTTTTTTGGAAGCAAAAAAAAAGTATTCCAGAAAATTGTAATTTTGTTTCTTCAAGTGGTGACATGAAGAAAAGAAAAAATACACTTCACTCTTCTATATATATATAGTTCAATGTCACATATGAAAATCTTTTATTGATGTTGTGTGTACCACTTGTATTCCAGTAGTATAAACACAACGAAATGCGCACTATATAGTAGTGGTAGCCTAAATACATAAATCTTAATCATGAATGATACTCCTCCCTCCGTACCATAATTATTGTCCACTTTGCCCAAAAAATTTTGTCTCAAAATTATTGTCTAATTTGACTTTTTATGGATCAAGTTACACATTTGTTCTTAATAAAAAAACATTATTCATAAAATCTTAGTGGTTAAACAATTACTTATGTAGGGGTATATCCGGTTGTTTAAGGTAAAATATAGTTAAGTTTGACCAAAAATAAAATCTTCATTTTAGTAAAATTAGACAATAATTATGGGACGGAGGGGTATATATTATGCCATTTTCAAAATAAGATAAACCCTCTGGCCATGTAGTCGTCAATCTTATCCGTACCCAAGATGAAGATGAAAATGTAATTTTGATTTTTTTTCCCCCAAAAGCCGTACGCATAAATTTCCTATTAAACTACACCTAAATGAAGCCATGAAGGAGATGAGATGCGCCGTTCATTAAACCCGCCCATAGTGCGAGCATGATTTCTTTGTTTTTTTCTTTTACCACAAGTCCACAACAGTCGTGCGCCTTAATTTGTGCGATATTATGATGGACTTGTATATTTGTTTCTTTGTTCAATGGAGTTTTTTTTTTCCTGTTTAATTTTGAATATATTTCGTCAACATCAATTTGATTATGCATGGTATATTATTGTAAGCCATCACAGCATCATTGAAATGAAAGTTCATAACTACTCTCTTTTTTAGTTCCTTTGCTATTTCCTTCATCAATAGTACTATAAAATCTGTTAAAAATATTCAACTTCCCAAGTATACTCAATACTAGCTAGCTTTCCACTTCAGAAAACAATGAGTTAATGCGTCTCACAAATTACATAACTAAAATCACCTATACATTGGTAGCGCACTCGGGAGGAGGAACAGGATATCTGACTCTATCAATGCAATAATTGTAAGTGATGATATGCTTCTTCATGACATTCTGGTAATATATTTTTCGTAAACACCCTCCAACTATTAAAGAGTCCCAATCCCACATCGGTGTTGGGAGACTCTGAGTATCAATATATAAGTTTCATGAGCTATTTTCCACATGGCCAATTAGTTTTGAGGTGGAATTCCATGGGCTTCTGTATGGTATCAGAGTCAGCCTGCGAACATTCGGACTCCAAAAAGCTCAACAAAAAAAAGGACTGAAACGTGAGACGGTGTCTGGGCTGAAAAAAATAGGACAAGCCCAACCCAAAAAATACGTTGGGCTTGCGGAGAAATATTAAAAAGTCCCAATATGGTCTTCTGTAACCAACTTCCAGAACTTCATTCGGTTCCACCAGTAACTATCTTGTTGAGTTCAATGAGAAACATCCCTCCACGCCATTGGTTGATTTGCAACCATAGACTTTGAATCCTTAGTATGGAGCTGTGAATGGCGCGTGAGACCAATCGACCTTAAGCTTGCCACCATCCGTAGCCCAATCATCTCCGTCCCATACGCTTGCCAGTACTTGCATTAGTTAGGTCGGGTAACCCACCCCAATGTCAGTGTTGTTCTTGTAAACTCTGATGGCGATGTGATCAACGAAGAACCTGCAAAGAACACAAAAAAACAAAAAAAATAGTTGGAAATTTTTTGCTAAATATTCCTTGTAACAATGTTATTTGTTAAACTGTTTTAATACATAAAAAAAACAATAAAAAAACTGTTTTAATACCCCCCCCCCAAAAAAAAAAAAAGAAAAAAGAAAAGAAAAACAATGCTCTCGTTCTTCGGACCGAGGGAAGATCATAATTAATTAAGTCATCTTCCACTAGCGGGGCTTGATCTGATTAGCAGTGCATGCGAAACAGTCATTGGTACCAAATGGATCGATAAAATTACTTTCTTCCATGTTAGTTATAAGATACAAATTTATATTAAAGTTAGTTCAAATCTATGCTTATAATTAGAACTTAAGGAAATAGCAATGAACAAAAGTGTTTTAACTAACTATATATGCAAATTTAGATTTATACAGATACTGCATACACTACAACAAAAATAGGTTATTAATACCTTTATGGTGAGACACTTTTCCTAAAATGTGTCTTATTATATCTGTATTAGGACATTTGCTAAAAAGTGTCTTATTGAAAATGAAAAAGTGTATTCATATTATGAAACACTATCATAAATGTACTATTTGGGGTTGCTTGTGAACTATTACCTTACTTAATGGGTCACTTTAAAGTGTGTTAATGAGTGACAATCTAATAATACACATTCAAATGTTTTATGACTTATTGTAACTCGATTATAGGAGACACTATTTAGTAGTGTCCCACGCAATTTGAATCAAATGTGTCCTATTATTAGTGGTAAAACAGATATTTAATACATAAATTAATCGTTAGATGATTGTCTCCTTAGTTTATGTGCAAAGCCTAAAATGACTTATATGTTGAAATAGAATGAGTAATTGGGTTGCCATAAACACTTAAAATAAGTTCTAGAAAAACACTAAAATGAACTAAAATTAACTTATCCTGATAATATTAAATTGTCACCTCATTAACCCGAAGTACATTCAGAGATAATCACTGACACTCCGAAAGATAGATTATAAATGAATAAGTTTATACGAAGAAGCAGAAGAACACTAAAATCGACTAAAATTAAGCTACGAAAATCAGATTGAATTGTTCAAAAGTCTCGAGCTTACCGGAAGTTAAGTGAGAGAAAATCACAAAGATTCCTCGGAGAAAGTACCATGGACAAGAGACAGAGAGCAAAAGTAAGTAGCGCGAGAAAATCTCAAAATTTCCTCGGAGAAAACGCCAGAAGGATGAAGCGCAACAACAATTGAATTTGCAATGATTGGAGAAAAGTGGCTCTGTTCAGTTTATATACTTGGGAGAAGAAAGATTTTAAACTCTTCTTCATATAAAGAGAAAACGCGGGTTAAAATTTAGTATGATGGTCCAACTCTCCCGAACTAAGGAACATCTAGGGCTTACATTTTTACTCCCACATAGGTGGACAACCTCTTGAGCTAGCATGATCTTATGAATAATATTCCTATTTGAAATGAAAGCTCCTTGTTCCTCTCCGACAATGCCTTTGGTTTTGACTTTTGACTTAATTGTGGAGTTAAAATGTAGTAACAAAAGTATATGACTAAATTTAATTGATATAGAAATTATGGGGCCCAATAGATGTTTCAATTGAGGCAGAGAAATGCTCAATTTGTCATGAAATCCTTCTCACTTAATATATAAGGTGTAGTCCAAGATCTATGTACCCAAAAAAATTAAAAATATATACTTTTCTTTGTCTAAAAAAAATCATGTTTTTTTTTAAAAAATATTCCAATTCAACATATGACATGTTATATGTTAATTTTATACAACACTAGTGCATCGCCAACGCCTAGACTAAATAGATAGTCGAGTTAATTAAAATTTATAAGTTACAAGAGTAACTAATAACACAAAACATGTAACACTCGCGAGTATAGTTGAGTTCAAATTTAGAGAAAACAATCCCTCTATATAGGGGTAATTGTGTCGACATTGAAATTGTGTCAAGAAGATGGAATTGTTCTTAGAATTTGGAGAAAAGTGTAGGCAAATTTTCTTCACCTTTATAGCATTTAAAATAAAAACGAGAGTAATTATTCTAAAAAATGGTTTTAATTCAGTGTCTTAAATTTAATAATGATGAAGAACCAGACCGCCCATAAAGGATTCAATACATATGAAGATACTAACACCCAACATAGGAGTAGTTATGTTGCCATCACAGCAACATAAAAAGAGCAATACGTTATTTCCGGGGAATCCGATAAGATTAAGAAACCCTACAAAAGTTAGGCCAATCTACGGTTTCCATAGTACAAACACAAAGAAAAACAACATAATCACCCTCAAAAGTAAAAAAAAAAAAAAAACCCAGAACAAAGAGGAGCATAATCTCGTGTAGCTCTTCTCGGCATTGTTTAACATCTGCAACTAGTTCTTCGTTAATTTCATTTAGTTCCTCAATGAGCACTTTGTAATCCATGGCTTCTTCTTCTCGGCGAAATTCTTCTTCAAGATTCTCATCCAGGTCTTCTTTCACGAGATTAGGCCAAACTTCTCCTTATAATTAGGATCACAATCCAACAAAAAAAGTAGTTTCATGGCCGTACTCCGGGTCATCTCGCCCTTTGATGACGCAATAGCCGATGACATTGTTTTAAGCTAAAGGTTTGAAAGATGAAGAAACAATATTTATAGATGATTTATCTCTCTTGTAGGTTATTTGTGTAAGGTTATTGGAAAAAATTTATCCTTTTAAATCTACGGAAAAGTAAATAAAAGATTAAACATGTTGTTTATTAAATGGCTAATGATTCTGCCAAATTAATTTCTAGAATCCAAAACAAATTTATGGTGAAAAGACATTATTATCTATCTTAAGAATTACTCCCTCTCTCCCATAATTATTGTCCACTTTTACTAAAATGAAAAATTTTATTTTTAGTCAAACTTAACTATATTTTACCTTGAACAACCGGATATACCCTTACATAAGTAATTGTTTAACTACAAAGATTTTATGGATAATTTTTTTACTAAGAACAAATGTGTAACTTGATCCATAAAAAGTCAAATTGGACAATAATTTTGGGACAAAATTTTTTGGCCAAAGTGGACAATAATTATGGGACGGAGGGAGTACTATGCTTATAATCGTCGTCTTCATGTTTCACCTCTCCCCAACCCCAATTGCTGAAAGGCTGAAATCTATGAACCGCCATCCAACCATCGCCTCCGCCACCGCGGTTCAATTTCGTTTCATCCTTCATGGTCTTGATTACTGAAAGACAAATCCGATAAAATATATAGATAGGCAAATTTATTTGAGGGTTAATACAAACCTGCACATATTTGTTCCAAATTTCCTTCTTTGCAGTAGTTGCTTTGGAATTTGGCAATTCCTGACTGTTCCAAGCCTTACAAACAATTTGCATGATTTTCTTAAGACCACAATTATAACACGAAATGCTGAAAAGAAAGAAAACATGAAAACTTATTTTCTTCATTCTTGGAATGGGGAAACTAGAAAATCTGGACATCAATTAGATAGGGACAAAGTACGAAAACGAGGAAGACAAATTAATTTCCAAATGTTTATTGGTTTTTCCTTATGCCGTTGCGGAGGCGGAGGACTTTCGATTTTGAGTAGGGGCTGCCAGAGGTGAGGAATATGAAAACTACATGATAAGGTGGATAATTATATCTTTTTATTTTAAATTTGTTTTGGATGTTGAGATTTGTTTTGTCAGAATCACCTCCTTTATTAAATTTAGCAAGACGGTGTGAAATTTCAGAAAATGCCTAGAAAAATTATATACAATCAAATAAGTGATATCAATTCAATCTATTTACTTTGGAAATGCAATGAAGGGGAAAAAATATGTTTAAGATTATCTTATTTTATTTTTATGTTTTGTTATTCGCGTACACTTCTCTACGGACAACTTTATGAATTAGTTTTCTTAATTAAAACAAAACCCAAAAAAAAAAAAGTTTCAAAATCCAGTAAGGAAAATGATTGTTTGGGTCCGAAATATATCCGTCACGAACAATATTCCAAGTATATATATATTGTTTTGGGATAAACATTCCACGTTTTTTTTCTTTTTTGGTATAAATTTTGTTTTGATGTAGCATTCCACGTATGTTAAGTAATTGAACACAAAGCTAACGAGTCAAAAAGAAGTCAAAAGTACAAGTTGAACGAGTAGAATTAAAATGGCATTATCCTTTCATCAAGAACCAAAGTGTACGTACATGGGTTTTGAGCATAATAATAATTTAATCATTTATGGTTCATGGGATTGATTAATAATTAACCATGCATGGTTGATGGAAAGTTGATTACAGATATTTAATATTGCTTTTGCACTCGGGAGGAGGAAGTGGGTGTATTTTGGTATCATTGCAATAATCATAAGTAATGAGGTGCCTCATTGCTTCGTACCAATCAATTAAGCCAATTGGCAAGTCCCGGATTGTGTCCCACCCAGTTTTTCTCGTGGATCCGCAGTCTCCTCTTCCTTCCTTGTGTTTTGTTGTTGTTGTTGAATTACTAATACATGCCTGATCCACGTCATAATCCAAGCTCTTGAATTGCGCGGCGAATGGCGCGTCCCGCCAATCGATCTTGGTCCGACTCCGGCCGCTGTCAGTTCTGATCAGATCATCGCTGCCGTTGGATACGCTGGCGAATATCTTCATCGGCTTTGATGGATATCCGACTCCGATTGCACTGTTGTTCTTGAATATTCGGAACGCAATGTCGTCAACATACGTCCTGTAAGAATCGGCCGGTTTTTCAGTTTCGATTATTAAGAAGAAAAAAAAAATCATACTCGCTCCGTACCATAATTATTGTCCAGTTTGAGTTTTCATTTCTAGTTCAATTTGTATTAAAAATGAAATTTCAAACTGGACAATAATTTTGGGACGGAGGAGTAATTACTAACTACGAAATTGGTTCTATATTTGTATAGATTTTTTATGTGCTAAGGTTACAATATCAGATGTGAGTTCCAGAGAATGTTGTATTCATGAAATTCCTCCGACGCATCGAAAGGTAGAGCTATTTCATGTTGTTTATTTCCAACCCCGTTGACGAATACATTAGTCTGAATCGAAAAGTTTTGGCCTATATTGCTGCCCAAAATCTCCAAGTTGATCCCGTCAAATTCTTTGTCTTCAGAACGCAGCTGTAAAATGAAATTATTACTACATATATATCAACACAAATAAATAAGGTTTTATATTTAAAATCAAAATTTTATTTAATTGCGACATGTTGTCACGCTTGTATATTAAAAGCTTACGTTGAAAGCCGTAACAACTCCAGCCGAATTGCCGGGCGGGAACTTGATCCGGATCCCGAATAAGCCCGATTCATATTTGACCTTGGAACTGAACCTCGCTCCTACGAAAATACATATATCATGTGATTATTATCGGTACCATCAAACAACGAAACAATTAATTAATTTAAATTACTGGTTAGTGGTTATGTGTATAACCAAACGGTGAAGCATTTTTGAGAAAGACGACGCACTAAGGAGATGAGATTAAGAGTAACTAATTAATTACCACTTACCAGAATCACTATCCAGTGAGAGTTGGACAAGGGTTTTTTGTGAATCAAGGAACTGGACATGATCCTGGCCATAATCAACGGTGTAGTGGCTGTCGAATGGGATGCGATTCTCTCCGGTTGCCGGAGAATTTAGTAAGCTGATGGTCAGGTACAGGACTAATGCAAAGATCATCAGTATTTCATGATGGGAAAACATACTGAAATGGAACCAAAATTAATTAACCTCGGCCGACTTGAGCTATAATACGTTTTCAGAGATTTTTGTAAGAAAAGATTAGGGTGTTGTTCACCTTTTTTTACAAAGTAATAATTGTTGGAGTACTCATTCCTCCGATTAGAAATTATTAATTTCTGCCACTATAAACTAATTTTACTGTGCATAGCAAAACGCATGCATATAGTGTGTACGTATTCTGTTTGTTATTCTGGTTTAGTTGAGTTACCGTTTCAACTTGAAATTAATTCGAGTGATAAGGCCAGATGCTCCTACAAGTTTCGTTCTATATTTTTGTTTACTGTACATTTTTCTTTTACGGAAAAGGGCAAAATTTATTCCTAAAAAATTGTATCAAGTTTAATTTGGCATCAATGAAAAAAAAAATTGATAAAAGAAATCACAAAGTTCACAGTTAATTACATGTCTAAATCTCCCTTAGCTAATATGATGCCTTATCTGAAATTAGATTTCCTATCTCTTTTATTATGTATCAACCACATACTTCATTAATAAAATGAAAACTGAAAAGCAACCTAAAATAATTGTTCTGCCTTTTAATTCTTTGGCTGGGGCTCCAAGCCATCAAGATACTTACCATGAGTGAGGAGATTAGTCACCGTTAACAACGGTGAACACCCTGAAATATGAAAAAAAAATAATAATAATTGTTTTGTCGTAATAACCTAACTACATGTATCCAGATCACGATGATCATGTTAGGCATTTCACACGATTGACATTGAGTCTTATGATCTTATCTCCAATGCCAAATTTTCACATCGAACAAGGCCATGTATATATATAATTTCTAGTAAACCACACGTAAATGAAGCCATGGAGGAGTGAGAGCCATGAAGGAGTGGGATACCCAGTTCATTAAGCTCCGCAAATGAGAGCCCAAATAATTTTGTTGATCTCCCACGTCAGTGCTGTAGCTTTTCTTCCGTTTTTTGAAGTCATATTTGTTGAATTATAATCGTAGGGAGTTCAAATTTTACCATGCACAGTTGGCTTTTGTAAGCTGCCTCTTCAAATTCTTGAATATTAGCTTGAAAATTTTAATTTTGAGGGTCTTACATCCAAAATGGATTATTTTTTAACCAACTCAAACATGGTGAGAAAGAAAATAAAGATAAGAAGGATTTTCCATTTGGACTCTTAATTTACTGATCGTGTTTTGATTTCATAGTTTTGTTTTTCCCTTTCTCTATGAATATGCTTGTTCATATAGTCAGTCTGTTTCACAGTCAGTTTTTTCCCTATGAATATGCTTTTGATCTCTTAGTAATTTTGTTGAAAACATGGTTTCACTTAGTCACCGCCATCACCAAATTTCGCTATTACATGTACACCAAGTTATCATCTAGCTATTCATTGGTAGCACACTCAGGAGGAGGAACAGGATACCGGCTTTTGTCGGAGCAATAATTGTAGTTAATATGCTTTTTGATATCCTTGTAATGTTTCTCTTGAACTTTATTCAACTCCCAGAATTTCTTTTGGTTCCACCAGTATTTTGTTGAGGAACATCCCTCAACATGATTTGTTATTGAGCCACAACCATAAACATTGAATCCTTTGTAATGGGTTGTGAATGGTGCGTGAGACCAATTGACTTTAGTTTTCCCACCATCCGTAGCCCAATCATCTCCATTCCATATGCTTGCCAATACTTGCATTGATTGGGATGGGTAACCCACCCCAATGGCTTCGTTGTTCTTATAAATTCTGATGGGGATGTGATCAACAAAGAACCTGTAAGATGAAAATAACACACATACAAAAAGTAATAACAATAATTAGGGGGAGAAAAATTATTATTTGAGATAGCACTTTATTGTCCAACTTACTTCATAGTGACATCTTATCACCTTTAATACTTAGTCTCTATATCTTTCAATCAGCTATATTAGCTTGTTGAATGATCATTTTATTAACAAGTACTTCTTCCGGTCGTTATTATAAAGTATATGATTTATCATAAGTTTATTTAATATATTTTTTGAATTGAAAAAAAAATTATAATTATTTCCTAATAATTAAGAGAACACAATAGATCTGAAAATATATTTTTAAGATTTTTTTTAAAAAAATATTATGTGAATTTTAAGACAAATCAAGATGTTTTATTATAAGGACCAGAGAGAGTACTATAGAAAAAAAAAGTTATTACTTTTTGTTATACAATTAAATTGAACTAATAAACATGTCTATTTTATGTTATATTTTGGGACAAAATGAGTGATGTGTTTGGTGAAAGAGGTAGAATTAATGTACATTAAACTATGATCAGACACATTAATTGTCCCAAAAAAAATTAGTCTCTCTCATGTTTAAAAAAAAAAATGGTCTTACACAATCTGATGGTGGTTCCAGAGGATTTTGTAGGAATGATAATCTGCTGATGGGTCGAACCAAAGAATCATTCTTTGTTCTCTGTTTCCGACTCCGTTGGAGAACACATTCGTTTGTAATGTGATAGGTTTACCTTCTCTATTGCCCAGAAACTCGAAGTCCAACTCATCATGTGCTGCCGTTCCTGAATGTAACTGCAAATTTGTCCCAGAAAATTAACACACACCCATAAACCAAAACAAAAGAAATTCACTATATACGTATTTAACATTGATCCAATTCATTTTGGTTAATGTTTGTAAGATTGAGTGAGTACATAGAAAGTGGTGACGACTCCTGCAGAATCATGGGGTGGGAGCTTTAGGCTCATCTCAAAGAACCCAGATCCATACTTCACCTTGGAACCAAAGCCAGCACCTAGAAAAAAAAATTAAAAAAAAAAAAATCAGCCAAATCTTTCAAATGTTTTATTAATTCTTCAACATGGAACCCAAAATATATGTATATAAATGAAAAATAATATATCTCCCTCCGTTGCATTTTTTTTTTTAAGAAAAGACTAATTTGTTGAACAAAACTTATAATGAATCAAACAAGACTTTTTTGGGGGAGGGAGTATGTATAATAATAATTAATTTCATATCTGGCTAGCATATAATTTGAGTATCCATGATCCTCCAGTGGACCGAAAATGATGATTATGAAAAGGATCACTAAACAAAAGAACAGTTAACAAAAGCCTTAATTTAACTCATTATACATTTGAGAGTTCAGTTTTATACATTATACATCACAGTCGTCATATTTGTTAAAACACATCAAATCATTAAAAAGAAAAGAGTGTAAGGAATATTATACGTATTTATTAATTACCAGAACTTTGATCCAATGAAATCTGAAGTTCGGATTTCCCTTGGTTGAGGAACTTAACATGATCATATCCGTAGGTCACAGCGTAGTTTTCATCAAAGGATACATCCTTGGCAGCTGAACAAATCACGCTATGGCATGCGATAAATGCAGTGAGCAGTGTACCGATGATAATCAGATCACAAGACATCTTTTCTTTTCTTAATCAAACCGAATGTAGTACTGTATAGTTTTTTGAAAAGAGAAAAAAAAAGAAAAAAGAATCAAGTGTATATATGATGATCGGTTAGCTAGGTTTTGCCGGTTTATATAGACTACACTCGGCATGATAAATCTGAGAAGTCAATAAGATTTTAAAATAGAAATTTTACATTTTACGAACACTGAAATGTCATAATTAGTTTTGGGAGGTTACTTAGTTTTGGGTTTATAGTTCTTTTTCTTTCTTGTAATCCAATTCTTGCCCGGTGGGATACGTTGTTGATGTCTTTGATGCAAATCAGAAATGTCTGTTTAGGGAAGGGCTGATTTCAGATTCTAAATTTTCTGAAATACTTTCTCTGTCTCCAAAAAAAAAAAAAGTCTATTTTATTGAATATTATTTTAGTTTTAAAAAATGGACTAATTATCAAGAGGGAGTAGGATGAAAGCCGAAAATATATAGAGTGCAAACAGAAAATCCAGCAATTATTGGAAATGAAAAACAATACTAATGTGGTCTAATTTGGGTGATGGTTAATTGTATTGGGTTGGGATTGTAGAAATCAAGGCCGGAGTTTAAATCTCATATATTTAATTTAAATCTAGATACACTGTAAGTATATCTAGATACACAGTAAGTATATCAAATTAAGCTAAATAATTACTATTACTAATTTCCTCTTGAAAAATTGTTCAACTTAATGTATTGTGTTCTATATAATTTAACAAAGTTGGCTGTTGTGATTCTTGGATAGACAGAAGGAGTACATTTTAGATTTTAGATGATCCTATAGTATTTGGAAGCCAATGGGGGATTATAGATAAAGGCAAGCGAAGTGTGATCACTATGTGACTTCATGATCATCTTCTTAATTTGTTACCCACACGGTAGTCTTTTCTCCCATGTTACACTGCCCATGAACCCACATCATATGGTCTTACCGTAATCGGGATTTCTTGCAAAAACAAGTTTGACAAGGGTTTGGTCCCCTTTTAGAAAAATGCAGCGAAAGACATTAACTTTATAAGACATTTTGATTTGTCCGAGTTAGGTTTAACATAATACGCCATTTTAATTAATGAAAAAATCTTTAAAATATTTTCATAATGATCAAGAGAATATAACAAATGTGAAAATATATTTTTAAAGTTTTTTCGTCAAGTAAATATGTGTATTAGGTGAAACCTAAGACAAAATCAAAATAGTTTATATTAAGGCCCGGAGGAAATAATACTTCTTGACACAAACTATTGAAGCGATATTTTCTCTCTATATATAACTTCTAATAATCCCACGCATTCTTGAAGTCGTATATTGTTTTGGGATAGAGGGAGACAGTATATTTTAAATTTCCAATGATATCAACTTATTCTGATAAACTTCTTGTTATTAATTAATCTTTACACGTTTTCATGATCACTTAATTTGTTATAATCTTCTATACTTATAGTTACATTTTAGAAACAGCACATTCTGGATATGTCAAAGTGGCATTGACTTGGTCGCAGTAATCATAAAACATGTGGAGTTTTCGGATGTCACGAAGTTGTTGTCTCTGTCGTGGATTAAGTTCCCATTGATCTTCCTCATTCCATTCGAACTCAGGGGATGAACATTTCTCAGGGTGAAGATAATCAGCTTGGCAGCCGGTTATTGTGAAATTCTGGTAATAAGTAGTGAAAGGGGAAAGACTCCAATTCACATTTCCCGCCCAAGTTCCATTCCATATCGTGGCCTCTATATGCAATGGCTCCGACGGAAACTTCCCTCCGATCGCCGAGTTATTCTTGAACACAGTAATCGGAAAATCATCCACAAAAAATCTAAACAAAAATTGGCATTTTAATTAAACGTTAGGACTGGAAAACAAGTAATCACGAGGCGGATCACAAGATGCATATTCCTTCCGATCCTTAATATAAAGTACAAGTTACTATTTTTCAACAATTAAATTAGTTATTTTTTATAAATTAATTATATTATTATTCTTGTTAAAAAATGTCACTCCCTAGGCATAATTAAAAGAACCACTTAAATTAAAATTTCATAAACTTGGATTGAAATAAATTTAAACGTACACTGCAAGTCATTCACTGAAACTTTGAAGATATCAAAGAATGTCTTATAATTTAATCAATAAAAGTTTTTTTTAAAAAAAATTATAATAAGGACCGTGAAAATATTGGACAAGACATTTACACGACTTACACAACTTGATGCTGATTCCATAAGATGCTGTAAGAGTGGAAATCCTCAGAAGGATCGAACCAGAGATGAAAACGTTGCTCTCTTCCCCCGAAATCATTTGCAAACATGTTTGTTTGCAAAATCCCTGTCGTCCCCAAGAACTCGAAGTCAAGCTCCGTATGATCATCTGTCTTTTTGCGCGATATTAACTGCGGTTAATTTGTGAACATCCAAATCATTACAAATTCTATACATCTCAATATTAATTTGTTTCTTTTAGATTTGATTCACTTATGTATTCTATACATTGCGATATTGTGTATTTTGATTTATTCTAAATTCTCTTATTGTACTCTTTTAATTGAAAATAAAATCTTAAAAATGATAATACAATAAATGTGAAAATATGTTTTTAAAATTTTAGTTTTAATTGTAAAAACATACTAAATGAAACTTAGGATAAATTAAAAAAAAAACTTATAATAACGGCAAGACGTTGTAATTCATAAAAATGAAATGATAGATCAATTTGCAATGAAACGATTACGTAGAAGTTTGGAATGATTCCTTTAGTTTTTGGTTTGGGTATCTTCATTCTCATGTGGAACCTTCCCCATTGAAACTCTAACTTAGACATAAATCCAGCCCCTGCACAAGTAAATAAAAATGAGTGCTCTTCTGTTTGAGTTTTCAAAAAAAAAAAAAAAAAAAAAAAAAACCCTCTCAAAAGTAGAAACTTAATTTATTACATTGCAAAATACTCATTCTAAGCTATCTCAATAATCCTTTTTATTAATTATTTTAGTTCAACAAAATAAACTATCTAAATGGACTGAGAGAGTACTGACACTCTAAATTACTCCCTCCGGTACTTAATATAAGGCATTTTGATTTGTCTGAAATTTAACCTAGTATATATTTTTAATTGTCTAAAAAACCTTTAAAATATTTCATAACAATTAAGAGTATACAACGAACGTGAAATATATATTTAAAATCTTTTCGTCAACTAAAAATACGTACTAGATAAAACCTATGATAAAATCAAAATGCCTTATATTAGGGACCGGAGAGAATATATATCACAGATGAAGTGTAACTTATCAGTTAGCTCATCTTCATATAAAAATAAAGTGAGAACAAATCAATTTCGACCTGAGAATTGATCCAACGTGAGTTGCGCTTCATCATTTCCTCCTCCGTCAAGAAGCTTAAAGTGGTCGAATCTGTAGTATAAGGATAATAGTTTTGGTAGAAACTACCATCCAAAGCAGTTGTTGTTCTCAGGATAAATATGCAAAAGAAGATAATGTGATAGAATATTGATGCCATCTTGATCTATGGCAATATTTTACAAATATTTTTTAAAAATATCAATGAATAGCGTTTTATCTCATCTTCTTGTATTAAATTGCAAAGATAGAGTTATGTTTCGTTATTATTTATATATAGGTGAATTTGTACTAGTGACACAACTGCTCAAGAAAGGAGATTTCGTTCATGGATATATCTTTCAGTCTGTTGCATTATTATTCTCCAAAATGGATTAATGGATTATGGAAGTAATGAGTAAGCTCCAGAGAGCATACGAAATGTCAATTTATTTGATCACAACAATAAGGAAAATTAACTACGCGTAGAGTCTGTCTACATCTGTTATTAACTTGCAATCTTACCTAACAAGACAAGGCATTGCCTGAATTTTTCTTGACTGTGTCCATTTGCTATATGCTCGATGTTAAAAGATAGTTTGAGTTGGAATTGCAATTGGATCTTTTGGAACAATTAGATGTGACAGAAAAGAGGATAACACGTGTTTTTTAATCGCTAAATATTCAACAAGTCTGTAATAGAATGGGTTTTCAATCACCTATAGGTACCTTCCAGCACAATCAATCAAAGGATTTAAATAAATACTAGCACATTTACTTGTAGCGTGTGCCTGTTTTCTTATAGATAGAGGTGTACAAAAAGTTGTTAAATTTTTAACATTAATGAATTACTATAAAAAAATATTTATTTAAAACAATATTTTTTTTTGGTACAATAAGAAGGAGGCAAAATGCCTATAATGATATTTATTACTCCCTCCGTCTCATAATTATTTTCCACTTTGAGTTTTCATTTTTAGTTCAAATTGTACTAAAAATAAAATCTCAAACTAGACAATAATTTTACGACAGAGAAAGTATATTTGATGTTATTTTAAACAATGATATTGGATGCATTGAGTTAGAAACTTTGATATCAATCGGAGTCGGGTGTCATAACTAGCTAAAGATCATTTTTTTGCGATTGATGTTATGAAGGATTTCACGTTTCTCATGTGTATTTTAGCTAATGAATCATATATAGAGACACAATAACCCTATCCACAAAATTACTCGATGACACATGTCAATTCCTACATAAAAAGAAACTACAATAATTTTTTTATCGATTGTTCCCTCCGTCCCATAATTATTATCTAATTTATTTCATTTTTAGTTTAAATTGTACTAAAAGTGAAATCTCAAAGTGGACAATAATTTTGGGACAGAGGGAGTATTACAAAACACATCTAGTTATTCTTTTATATTTATTTGCCATTAAATAGAATAATTTGTCCTGATCACTTTTTCACTAATCTATATCGTGTTTATGAACTGTTTTAGTACAATTAGCGGTCGGATGGCTCTGTTTGAGTTTAACAAAAGAGTTTTTTGTTTTTTAACAAAGAAAGTAATAGTTACTCTTATACACGGGGAACAATTGAAGCAATCAAGTTCTAAAGAAACCAACGATTAATGAAGAATATTACGAAGGATTAATGTGAGTTACCCAAAGGAAAAAAGCTCATGATTTTCTTAATCTATATTTGTTGTTTAACTATGAGAATATTTTTTAAACAGACCAGCCTTGTATATATATCTGTCACTCAATGCTGCAACTTTGTAACAAATTATTCATGTTGTCCAAACACCCTTATTGAGAAAATCAATTTTTTAATAAAGAGGAAACTAGAACAACAACCATTCTGTTGAAGAAAAAAATTGCGTTCAATTAAATTGAGTTATTTTTTCTGGGAGAGAAATGAGACATTTGATCTCAAATTTTAATCTGATATGGTTTGACAAGAAAAGGTCTACAATTGATCGATGAAAGTGTTATCACTGACACTTTCAAGCTTTTAATTGAAGTAAGATTTATCAAATGAACAAATTACTTAAACATTAACAACGAATTAATTCGAAGAATGGCCGTTGGATTAAATGTTAGTTGACAAAAGTAACTATACAAAAAAAAAGCATTTTATTTAAAAACAAAAAAAAACACGCACACACACACACAGAGACAAAAATTTACCCCTTTTCTCCTCTCAAAATCAAAGTCATAATTATTGAACCATTTTTGTTCAACAAATTGGAGGTCTTATTTTGGAACAAACATATGAAGCATGTTGTCTAAAAAAAAATAAAAAAATAAAAAAAAATTATTTGATACTCTCTCAATCCCAAAAATATACTTATTCAGTTAAGATTTTGATTTTTTAAAAACAGAAAATAATGCAATTTAAAGTCTCATCCAAATTGATTCCGCCAAAACGAACCGCATATGTGACATTAAAACAATAATAAATTAAGAATACTCCAAACCAAATACACAAAGATGTGACATTAATTTTCATAATCACGTACGGTATCTTAAATCTTTAACATCTAGCTTCTAGAAACAGCGCATTCTGGATACTTGGATTTGGCATTAGGTTGGTTGCAATAATCATAATACATGTATTTTTTCCGGATGTTTTCAAGTTTTTGTTTCTGTTGTGGCGTAAGATCCCATTGATCCTCGGCGTTCCATTTAAATTCAGGCGAAGCACATTTTTCAGGGTTGGCATTATCAGCTTGGCAGCCGGTGATTTCGAAATTCCGGTAGGAAGTAGTGAATGGAGAAACACTCCAATCCACATTTCCGACCCAAGTTCCGTTCCATATCGTAGCCTCTATATGCAACGGTTCCGATGGAAACTTGGCTCCCATCGCCGAGTTGTTCTTGTACACTGTAATTGGAATATTGTCCACCAAGAATCTAACCCAAAATGACATCGTCTCAAATGTTATGACAAAATTAAGCGAAATTCTTACTATGTGACTGAAAGCTGATAAAGAAGGTATCAATTGTCACAATTTTCTTATTTTTCTTTAGGGGAAAAAGAAAAATGAATCCTTACACAACTTGATGCTGATTCCACAGGATGCTGTAAGAATGGAAATCCTCGGAAGGGTCAAACCAGAGATGGAAATGTTGCTCTCTTCCCCCCAAATCATTTGCAAACATGTTCGTTTGCAAATCTCCAGTTGTGCCCAAGAACTCGAAATCAAGTTCGGTATGAATTCCTGACTCCTCCCGTGAAATCAGCTGTAAAATTGACGATTTTCAAACATTACAAAAAAAAATTAATGTAACGGAAATGATATGTGATTTGTATTTAATTCATTACGTAGAAGTTTGGAATGATTCCTCTAGTTTTTTGTCTGGGTATCTTCATTCTAATATGAAACCTTCCCGATTGATACTCCGCTTTGGACCTAAATCCAGCCCCTGCAACCAATGAATGAAAGTTATTAGTAATATATAAAGTAATGTTTGTGATTTTTTTTCATAACATAGAAATTTAACATAGTCATTATTAGTTACTTCCTCCTAGTCCTAATTGTTGGCAACAAATTACATCACAAAACCTGTCAGAGAGGAAAAATAGTATGAGAATAATTAAAAAAAAAAATGACCTCCATTTTGGTCAAGTGTAAGTTGCGCTTCATCCTGCCCTCCTTGAATAAGCTTGAAATGATCCAATCCAAAGTAAGGCTCATAATTTTGGTTAAAACTACTACCAGAAGCAGTTGTGGTTCTCAAAATAAGGCAAAAGAAGATGATGTGAAATAATATTGAGGCCATTTTCTCCTAATGAAAAAACCTAAAGAATGTCGACGCACTATATCCTCTTGAATCCCAATGATTGAGCTGTTTCTTGGTATTATTTATAGGTGAAAATTTACAATATCACATTAATTCTGACACATCTAATGACCGCTCAAGAAAGGAGATTTCGTTAATGTGGATATATCTGTCAGTTGTCGCAGTATTTTGGCCACAATTATGCTAATTCGGATTTAGGACTAGGGGAGGTAATAAGCAGTTCAAGGGAAAAATTAAAATGAATTCCATTTATTTGTTTACAAAAATAGGGAATTTGTCTGTACGTTGGCTGTCTACAATCTATTTTTAACTTGTAATCTTATCTTTTAAGATAAAACCTCCCTTTACATTTTTCTTTGATGTGTTAGTTTGGATCTCAATGTTGTGGGACGGGGTCTTTTTGCAACACTTAACGTGACCGTACTAACAGAAAAGATTACACGTGTTTTATTTTTTGGATAATTAAGCTATGCTATGAGTGTTATAAATAGTCAAAAATATATGAACATATAGTTAAATTTTTTTAATAAATGTGTCACCAACTAATAATGTTCACTTGATAAATTCACTGTTTTTTTTTCCCTTTATATATCTCATGATTATCGACAATGGAATTAGTTGAACCCAATAACTTTGCGACATTAAAATTCGTAAGTTTTTTGATAGTAAAAGTTCCAAAAATGAGTTCCGAATGTAAATAATGGAGAAAAGTAATCTGATGATTTATATGCCAACTCTACCACTAATAAACCAACCAGTTTTCTTATTGAAAAGGTCCAATTCTTTTTCTTTTCTTTTCTTTTTTTTGTGAGGGGAAGGTTCAATTCTATTTGATTGGGGAAATAAGCCCAATAAATTGGGCCCTTTCCGTGAGAAGCGAAATCCAAACTTCACACTTTTATAAAATGGGTAGTGGAACTGTATTTCTACATTTTTATTTTTATTATTTTCGATAAAGTCAATTTATACGTAAATTTTCAACCGGAAAAAAGATTAAACCCTTCAATAAAAAAATATTACCCCTTATTTTAAAAACAAACGAATACTAGTAAAATATTAACCTTCCGTTTTTATAGGAAGAAACTGTAAAAATCAGAGTTACTAGGCAGATAGAACTCCTGGAAGAAAACCACCAATATCAAAGTGTCTGTCGAAAAAAGTCTTGTGCAAAAATATTTCATATGTCTTAAAATAATTGTTATGTTTGAATTTTTACTTTTTTTATCACAATTTACTCTAAAATAGAAAAAAAATTAAAAAATTATTTCGAGATGAGAGGAGTAACTTATTTTCAGGTATTTTAGGAAAACAAAAAAAAAAGTTCTAATCAAATTATACACCTTTCATTGGTTAAAATTATTTATAATGGTATTCCCAAATAATACATAGTTTCACTATACCTCAGGTAATAACAATTGTCGCTCTAAAATCTACATCGGAAATGTGCTTCTTATTTTCTGTTGGAATATAAGTAAAAGTTATGTAGTCCTTACATCTACCCGGGGTAAGGAATCTGAATATGAACAATTTTTGAACTGTGAGTATACGGAAATTTATTTCTTTTTTTTTCGATAGATTCTATTTGTTAACTACATTGGCAAATAAAAAAAAAACAATTACATTCGTAAATATTAAAATTTATGCAAAAAAAAAAACCCGCACTAGGAAGAAAAGAAATAGGGTATGAAAATCTAGAATTAATGCGATGAACTATTGCCATATTTAGACAAAACTAAGAGAAAAGTTGTAATGTTTATTTTCCGAATGTAACAAAAAGGTTGTCATGTCGTGATTGTTGGTCGAAATATGGATAATATTCACAAAAGGCTAAGAAAAAACGAAAAAAGAATAAATTCGAAACTCGTGAAAACACGATCTCTTTAAAACAGATTTGCCCTCTTCTTGGGTGTCTGAGAATCTCGAGCAACTATTTCCCAGGATACAACGGATACGTAGAGACTACTTGGCACAAAGAAGTTCTACCAACAAACGAAACTTAGAACACGATGATAAACACCGAAATAAAAAAGAAAGAGAGAGAAAGGCTCGAAAGAATACTGAAAGAGGAGGAAGGATTGACATGTAGAATTTTGAAAAATGAGTACCTATTTATAGGTTGAAGAAACCTTTGAAATGACAGCAAAACTTCAAATGATTTTGGTGTTATAATTCTGTTAAATGCCACGAATTCATGGCACATAAACAGCCAAAACGTTTTTGACAATCAAACAGTCAAAAGAACCCATTCTGCCATTTAAACAATATTAAATCCGCTATTCATTTGCTCATTCAAAAAATTAATCTGAACCGGAGCAAAACCTGGGTTGATCAGGCCCGCTAGAGTTCGGTTCGACATTCGTGTCCGCAGGTCGTGTAAACACATAAGTCAAGCTATTTTGGCCCCGAATTGGACCTCCATTTGCATCTCCCCTGCGCGGGCGCACACGAGCGGGAGAGATGTGGTATAGTATTGGCAAATCAACTTGCAAGTCAATTTTGGACTCTCACTTATAAAATGAGTTTAAACTCTTTTTAACACCCATGTGGGAACAAAGTCCATCAGCCTTAACTTTAATTTTTTCAATTCTTGAAAAACTTAATTCTCATTCATTTACCACTCATTTCCAACAGTGATTGAATTCTCAAAATCTGGATCTCTAACCGGGGTCATGAGATTACATGTAAATTTTCAAAACTTTATCGATTCCCTCGCTTTTCGCGTTCTCAAAGCCGTACTTCAAATCACGGTCAAACTCAAATATACAGTTTTATCTTTTTTGAGTCGGTTCCCGAGGAATCCCATTCTCACACGTCACTGCACCCAAAGTCTCCTTATTTATATAAGAAGCCCATTATCACTCAATTTTATTTTTATTGTTTGGTCTCTTTTTAGTTTACTTTATTTTTCCTTACCCCTAATTTTGTCAATTCGAACAAAAAGAAAAAAAAAGGGCGAGTGAAGATGTCTGCAACTCCGGCAAGTGGCGGCGCTGGCGCTGGCGCTGGTGAGGATGAGAAGAAGCCCATGGACGGAGCTTCTGGTGTTCACATCAATCTGAAGGTCAAGGGTCAGGTATATTGACCTCTTTTTCTTTCAACTAATTTGTTATTGTTTGGCCTTTTTTCTTCGGAATAATTTGCAATCTCTAGGGCTTGTCTACCAGTATTTGTTCCCCGGAAATTGTTTATCTATTGTGAAAATTCGCCATCTTTTTCCGGTGGAGATAACTTGAATTGATTGATTCTGTTCCTTGAACTATTCTTGCGTTAATTTTGAAAGGATTGATTATACATATATTCAAGTAGACGAATCCTTTTTCTTTTTTTCTTTTGCCTTGTGGTCGATTATGAAGGAGTATTTCAGTCTCAAGGCTATGACGGGCTTGGATGTTAGTAGTTTACTTTTGTCTGTGCATAATCGAAAATTTGGGGAGAATTGAGAAATCAACCTCTGAACACATAATTTGCTTACTGATACTTATGACTTTGGTTTTACGATGTGGAGTGGGTTATGGATATGCAAAATTTGTTATTCTAAGGCAGGGAACAGTAGAACTGTAATTGCACTTAGGCCAGATACATTTATCTAGCCTTATAACTGTTACTAGAAAAGAAAAGATGGAATGCTAACTCTTTTTTGGGGGTATTATGTACAATTTGAAATAGTACTTATTGTTTTTCTCCTTTTAACAACAAGGAGAATCCAATGTAGGTAGTGAAACAGGGAAATTTTGCAAAACAGTCTGGTTGCTGCATAATCTTTGTTTTAACAATCTTTTGTGGTTTCACCTCTTTTTACCTTTCACAAAATGTCTTACTCTCTGTTTGCTGGTAGTATCCCTTTGTCCTCTAAGTGGTTGCCACTTTATATTTTGCTAGGATGGAAACGAGGTGTTCTTCAGAATCAAGCGCAGCACGCAGTTGCGCAAGCTCATGAATGCTTACTGTGATAGACAGTCAGTTGACTTTAATTCGATTGCCTTCTTATTTGATGGACGAAGGCTTCGTGGAGAGCAAACTCCTGATGAGGTACTTTTGCAGAATTATGTTATAAACTACCTCAGTATTTCATACATTAGTTGTTAGCACCTTTTTCTTTAAAAAAAAAATACTAATATTACATATCTGCTTCTTGAATAGCTTGAGATGGAGGATGGTGATGAGATCGATGCAATGCTACACCAGACTGGAGGTCACTATGCATGATTGAGATTACTATTGTGGTTGCCTGGAGATACAATTGTGTAGTGATGAAAGGAACCTTAAGTTAGATCCAGCCCTTTTTATGGTATTTTATATGGGTGTACTTTTCCAAGTGCCGTCATTTACTTTATGCTCCTTGTGTTAGAATGTTAATTAATCTTGGAGGGTTTTAATTTTCCCTTTTGACTATGTATGTTTGATATGATCGTTTTAGAAATATAGTGTGTTGCCATGCTTGCTTGTTGATTCTTGTTCCATTCACTTCTGGAATGGGATGGGAGATTTCAACTGGAATCTGATCTTCATGATCCAGACCGCACCTCCTACTGTGTAAAGCTAATAAGGGGCATGAATATCTGAAGTTGTCTTGGAAGTTACGGTTGTGTGATGTTCTTTTAAAAATTTGCCTAGTAGTATTACTGTGGTGGTGAGGTTAGGCTCGGCCACTGAATAGAAGGAATGGGGCTGGCAGTCCTTCATATCGTAGTTGAAGATATACAAGGCCAACTTTGTGAACGACTATCATCTCTTGCGCTATGAATAATTCACTTCTTCCCATTTTCATGAATTAGATTAACATTCGTTAAAACAGTACATGTGGTTTGTGAAGGATACTACTAGTTTAAGTATATTCTCCAGGACTTATCAGACAGTAATATGCGTCCTTATTAAAGTAGGAACATGCTGGGATCACTATCTCACGGTTAGAAACCTTGTACTTGGCTAGAAATTATTTAAGTCGCACCTTTTGTATTAGTACTCCACTGAGGTGCATGCTATATGTTCAGTAATACAAACACCAATTCCGCTTGAGGGGAAATCTTACAAACGCCAGAACCAGAATAGTGTGCAAAAGTCTAGAACAAAATTATTCCCTCGATTTTTATTTTGATTCAAAATTAAACTATAAAGGAGAATATAAGGTGGACAATATTTTTGGGATAGAGGGAATTTATAATATGTAGTACAAGCCAAATAAATTATCATAGTAACCTGTCGCCATACACCCATTAGCTTCTAGTGGAAGCTTGCATTTATAAATTTGGTTCATCAAATCAATGATAAATATAATTCGGAGACCTGGACTGGCAACGGGATTTGATGGTCACTGCTTCGCTTTGTTGCTCTCAGATTTTTTTCCAAATTAACGAAATGGACAAAATTAATTCTCTGAATTATTAAATATATAGATCCCCCACAAAAGTCAAAATCCGGAAAAAAAAAAAACATTAATGCTATTCAACACCTCCCCCAACTTTCCTCTCCTCTCGGTTTCACCCGTCCCGAGCATTCGCTTCAATTTTACTGCTCTTCTTCCAAATGCACAAACAGCATCAAGGTTACTGATTTCTTGGTAAATGGATTTTAACAGAAAGAACAGGTCAGTAATCTGGGTCGATCTTCGTTCGTTTGATGATAAAACTTTTTATCTTTGGTGGTTGCGGTTTTTTGGGTCCGGTGTTTTCCCTTTGATTGCTTTGACTGTTTAGTGGGTCGCGGGTCCTTAAAGATGGCGTTTTTCTGTTCCATCTTTGCCATCAACCTCCTTTCTATGTGGCATATAAGCCCTTTTTACAGTTTCCTGTTTAGGATTGTACGTTTATACTGGATTGATCGACCACAAAGTTTTTACATTTCTAATATGTGTTTGGTAGTTCGAGAGTTCTGGAGTGTGATTTTTTTTTTTCTTTTTCTTTACATATTAAATTTATGGAAATTCTGATTAACTTATGATTGGAATGATTACAGTGAAACATGGGACTGTGAAGGATCAAGTGAAATCCTTCAAGACAATTTCGGTTAGTAGCGATCACCTTACTCTTAGCCTTCCAAACAAAATGTGGTGTCTGCAAATGGGGATATACCGATACTCTTCTGTCATTGGAGCAGTCAAAATCTTATCCTCCCAATTTGCGTGTTGTTTTTGAAAACTTTATATCTTAAGACTGCTTTAGGGTTTCCCCTTTGTAATTAAGCACTGTTTGAAATTATGGCTGATGGATGTGGCTGCAGAGGTCTCCAACTGTACGTGGGCTGGTGTTAACCAGAAGAAAGATGTTTCCATTACTCCGATCAAGGACTGTTGGAACTTTTCTTACTTCGAGAATAACTGTGGTAATCCCTAATTCTCATCATTTTCACAATGATTCTTCTTATTTCTAAGAGATGCTCAATTGACGCGCACTTTTACCTAATCATTTTTGGAACTGTGATCCAGATTATTTGCAGGGAATAGAAGAATTGAAAGAGCCTTCTCCTCAAGTGAAAAGGTGCGGGGTGCTCCAGTTTAATTCCAACGGTTTGGATACCTTGAGCGTAGGCGAAATGTCGCATGCAGGTGCAGGATCAAAGGTTAGTCTAGTCCAAGTTAACCTTCGATTATCATACCTATGATCACATCGTGTAACCAACCAATGGTGATGTTAAAGTTCGGAGGGTAATCACTATTACCTGTTTCCCTATCTTGCAAAGGATAAAGTTCATAAATGTTAAGTTTATTTAGTCAAGGTAACAGCTTTGCAACTTCTAAGTCGGTTAATTACTGATGCTTCCAGATATTGCTAGCCTGGCTGTGGTTGCGCTCTGACAAAATACACATATCTATGTTTACAGGATCGAGTGCATCTAGTTGAGGATAATCTGTCAGAATTATCGAATTGGACCTCTGGCTATGGAGGTTTGTCTCTCTGTGTTATCCTTGTTAAATTAAATGCTTCCCATTTTCATAGCATTTATATAATGTCTACAATAGCAACCATGCTACCAATAACTTTCCAGAGGGTACATTATCTGCATCTCGTTACGGGAGTTTAGATCAGTCATCTGAAGTATGGGTTGCTAGTTTGTTTTCTGATGGCGATACCCAAATCAGCCCCATTGATGAGTATGTTTCTTTCGACTCTAACATCCCTTCAACGTCTCTTTTTCTATACTTTATTATCTCTCACTGTGTTTCTTGCAGGGTTTCTTCCAATGAAGTTAGTGAAGCTGGTATGTGACTTACAGCGTTTTTTTGAATTATGGTTTTTTTCTTTTGTTTGTCTTATTTCATTTGTGAAGTGAATGTATTGTTTGCAGAATGTTCAAACCAGCCAAGTGTGTCTGCAGTAAGCCACCGAAGATGTTCTGTGAAGACTCACAGAAATGGCCTCAAAGGTTTTAATTCTTGTCTGTCTTGCTCAGTTTTGAACTATTGAAATGGATGCCAATCTTTGATCCATCTTGTGCCGCAGGCAAGAATTCATACATGAAGACTCCAGTAAACTTAGCTTCTTCTGTTGCCTATCCCTTTACCATTGTGAAGCCTTGTGCTATTCATGGAGACATGACTCTGGAGGACATAAACAAGCGAATACGCAACCCACGGCGACCTCTAAAGCATATTAATGACGGTCCTGCTCCCTTTCCTACGTCAGCATTCTCTGGAAAACCTGTGGTAGGCACGACAATGATTCGCACAGAAGGTGGAAAGGGCACAATCACAGTTCTGAGAACTAGAGGATGACCCTTCGGGCTTTTGGACCTCCACTTTTGAAATTTGGTTGGACTCCACATCTTTCTCTCTATGCATTACATTACCTTGTCCAATGCTTTCGGGATCTTTCTTCTAAATGAATTTTCTTATGCCTCCAGGGATAGAAATAGATGAAAGTTTGCTGGGCAATCAGTGCTGCTGTACCTCAAGTCTCGGAAATACTGTATTCCAAGTGGCTCCTTGGAAGCTGTTGACAGCAGATGTTGTATATTATAGACCAGTTGGCTGATTGCCTCATGTTGTTAGTGTTTGTTTGATACACACACACAAAAAAAAAAAAAAAAAGAAAAGGTATCAGTAGCCCAATTATATAAGGCCTAATATTTTAGATGTATTCAGCTAGGGAATATTTGCTCTGTTCCTTCTTGACTCTTTGTTCGTTCTGGAGTTAGTTATGGTGTTTATTCTAGGATTCAAAGGTTTTGCATGGGAGCTTGGTAATTAGGCATTAACAATCCCATTGCTAAACTGGAGGGTTTTGGTGCTTTACAAAATGGTTATGGCTGGTAAGTAGTCGACTCTGTACGGAGGGAAGGAAGCATGTAATGTGCAAACGGCAAAGGCTGAAAAAAAGCCACCATCCACTTTGTTCAAGTTTAGTGGACTTGGTCAACCATCACGTTGCGGTTGCTCATCCCACCCTAAACGGCTAACAAAATAAGCATACCTCAGCCACAAATTTCTGGCCTAACTTTGACATTTGTCTCCAAAATATTTACAGGAAAAAATCGGTGATATTGACTTGGTCCCGAACTTTAAAAAAAAAAAGAGAAAATAAACATTCAATCAATAAATACGATGATCAGTATTAATCAAAGGAGAGCCAACTAACGTCTACTTGGCAGCTACCACACTTGCCTCATTAACTAATTAATTGATTGTACTTGTAATTTAAGGCAACCATACTATCAAGTCAACATCTGTTTCTATCGAATCGAATTTCAAGGAAATGCCAACCTTCAAAACATTTAAATTAAGTAAAATTATCTTCCCTTCACATTCCTTACAGATTGTTTTGCAATCAAATGTACTCCCTCCGATCTTTAATATAAGATATTTTTATTTATTCTAAGTTTAACATAATACGTATTTTTAATTGACAAAAAAACCTTAGAAATGTTCCAAAACAATCAAGAGAATACAACGAACATAAAAATATATTTTAAAGGTTTTTTGATCAATTAAAAATATATGTACTAGATTAAACCAAGAACAAAATCAAAATATCTTATATTAAGGACCAGAGGGAGTAGTAAATAACCTGTAACCAGCTCGGGAGCGTTAAGCGTAAACCACACTGGTAGATAGAGATACTGAAGAAGCCCCAAACGTAAGATATTTTTCTGGTACATAACATGTTTGTTCAAAACACTGACTCGAGTAATTTCGATTCGATCCGAATTAGTATCAACTCAACATCATATGAGAATGTGACACAAATTTGGCTATCGTTTGCTATCTGATTAAGATGAATACCATTTGACTCATCATGAAAATGTTATCCTTCTATTTGAACACAAACAATAGGCGATTTGACCTCCTGCCAACTTGTTATTACATGCAAAGTAACATCGATGGAAAGGCAATAGCATAATGGAAATCAATCAGCTGCTGATGCAGAAAGCAAATTATGTATGAACTAGAAAAGGAGGGAAGGAAGTATCGAAATTTCATCTTCTTTTTTTTCCTGTTCTTCTTTCACATTAGAATAAATTACCTGTACTTGCAGCGACACGACAACAGCACAGAAACGTTCAGGACTTGGTACCTCCGAACGAACACTAAAACAAATTCTCTACAGTTTCTTTTACCATGTACAGGATTGGCATTCAGTTGGCCAACACCACCAACCTACCAAATTCATCAATTTTCCTAATGGACCCATGAGAAACACTTTCCTCAAGACCCAAAAATTTAATGAATTTTTCAATTTTGGACCTCTTATTTTTACCTACCATCCCCTCTCCCAAAGTAAAAATTGAGCCAAAAAAAAGAAAAATTTACTTCACAAAAATTACCAAAAAATGAATGTAAGGGAATCAAATTTACTGAGTGGTGAATCTGCTGGAGCAGGAAGAAGAAAACTGCTGATGATTTTTTTTTTTCCTGTGTGTTTCAGAAAATGTCAAGAATTTCCAAGATGAAATTGTTGCAGAGTGGGCAATTCCCTCTTTGAACCCAGAGCTCCCTTGAACACAATCTACAAAATGTATGGCCACAAGGTATAAAAGCGGCACCTTTATGCCTAACCATGCACACGCAGCAGTTGTTGTACCCAGCTCCGGCGCCGGCGCCGCCGACTTCTTCCTCTTCCTCGTCGTCCTCCTCCTCGTCGATTATATAAGACGACCCATCAAGCCCCATTTGTCTATCTGTCTCAGCTAACAAAGCCATTAGCGACATCCGCTCCGGCTGATTATCTTCTCCGCCGCCGCCGCTCACGACGGCGGTCTCTCCCTCGCCGTCATCCTCCGACTCTTCTTCTTCTACTTCCACTCTCACTCTGTGCCCTTCGTCGTCCTCCGCATCATCGTCAAATCCGCGAGCACTGCCGTACCTTCCGCCGGCTCGGCTTATGGCTCGGCTGTCGGCCCTCTGCAACATCGCCGATCTACTCCGGGGAACTCCGGTGCTCAAATCCACATCTGGCTGAGCTGAGCCCTCTGCAATGGACATATTCAATCGGGTCGAGTCTCTCCGGGTCATCATCATCCGGTTTCTCTGGCTGCCGCTCGGCTGTAGTGGGACGTCGGAGGCCGGAACTGGGACGGTGGAAGTCCATGAGTTGCCTGACCCTTGACGCCGGAGACGAAGCTTCTCTCGGAAATGCCTCCAGCTCCTTTTACCGTCCTTGGTGTTCCCGGCGCCATTCGGGTCGTCCCGGATAATGTCGAGCAGAGTCCGATTGGATTGGGACCGGAGCGGGTGGCCATTTCTGTCCTCTGTTTTTAATACGGAGCTCAATGTCATTCCGATTGAATTAGTACGGCCGATGTTTCGATGTTGGTTGGAATTCTCGTCTTGTCTGATTCTCAGAAAGTCTCGTAGATTGGGAGATTCCGGTTTATCGTCCGATAATGATTGCCTCCGGACAACATCAATTTGACCCCCACCTTCCATTCAACAATACCAAAACCCAAACAAAATTTTGTGTTCTAAATTTCTTGGAAAAAATGTTGAGAATCGGATGAATAAGGGGAAATGGACAAAGAATTTTGTTGAATGCGAGATCTTCCAGACAAATTTTTTAAGGATCGGAAACTCCGTGTCACAGTAATCGAGATTAAAAAAGTTCTCGCGGAATCCCAACAACAAATCAGAGGAATAAATTGGACCCAAAAAAAAAAAGAAAAGGGAAAAACACAAACTAATGAGGCGCGAAAATGGCGAAAAGAATGAATAATGAAGGGAGGGGGACTAGAATTTAGATCTGCTTAAAGAAGCAAATCATGTCCAATCAAACTTTGTTAGAATTGGGTGGATAAAATGATGGCTAATTCCAAAAAGTAAAGGGCATTGGATACCTTTCGTGTATGACCCAGACCCATTTTGAAACTGATGAGATACAAGCAGCAGCAGATCTATCAATCAATAGTTTTGGATGCCCCTCGAAAAAAAAAACAGCTTTTGTTGAACAAATTTGTGCTTTTGTTATGTGGAAAAAGTGCTGGGTCGATAATTAGGCTTGTAGCTCTTTTGCAGCACTGATGTCCTTGTTTTACCCAAGACAAAAACTCCCAAAGTCACGAGAGACAAAGCAGAGAAGGACGGGACTGGCAGAAAAAGAAGATAACGCAAATGGATTTTCTTTGCTCTTTTATGCGGTGCTCTAAGCTCTTACAGAAAAAAAAAAATAACTCAAAAACAACAAAAAGGGTGTTTGTTTGTTGGTTTTATAGAGTTATACAGCTTTGTCTTTATTTTTCTTCCCTCTTTTTTTTTTTGTCTTTGGTTTTGAATTGGAGGAAGATCAAATCAGTATGACTGAGAAATTCTTGTCTGTTTCAGATTGAAATTTCTTCTTCTTCTTCTTCTCCCTCCTCTCTGTCTCATCAAAACTTGGTATGTGTTTTTTTTTTTTCCCTCCTTTGAGCGGGAGAGAGGGAGAAAGAGAGAGATGATTACGGTAATTGTGGTTGAGGAAAATGAAGAAATAAGGGACCGGGTCTTATGGGATCCCATCCCCCAAGTTTATTGGGTGGTTATTGCTTGATTAAGGGAATCTCTGGACCTCCTTTCTTTACCTTCATTAAAAATCCCCCCCAATGTGGTCCACGCATTCATTAATCCTTGTGTTTGCTTACTGCTTGCTAATCATTTTTTTGGCCACTTTGGTCAAAACACTGGCATCCTCCATTTGCCATGTAAACAAACACCAGTATAAAGAAGTGCATTCGCGTCAAACTATTATACGTTATTGAGTTAACCAATAAGTGTTTGAGAAATTTCTATCTATCAATTCCACTTCAATAATTTCGTATTCAATTTCCAAAAAAATAATAATAATAATGTCGTATTTTATGTACTCTTAAATCATGTTAATAATACTATTATTGTGTCCGTATGTTGCACGGTTGATACAGATTTGATTCTTTGAAAGTATTTTAATGAACAGATATATTAAATTGCAAAAAAATTGTGACATCAATAACAGAGATAGAACTGAAAAAAAAAATGATGACCGCAGCGTACATCGTCAAGAATTTTCTTGTAAACCACATTTGTCTACGTTGTGTAGAATTCATCGTTCTTGTTATAAATAAGGATTTTAAGACATGCTTTGGACTTCACCCTGGAAACAGTAACGTATAGCTGGACACCTGTAAAGACTGAGAAATGCAAAAATAGAGCCACCTGCGAGCAATGTTGTAAAATTAGACTGGACATGTTGGTCAGACGGTTCAACCGTGAACTGGTCATATTGCCTGTCCAATGTATACTAAAAACCAGACCTTCTACAAACCGTCAAAACCTGGTCAAACTCGCGGTAAGACCGGGACTCGAATTGAACAGGTTGATCCCGGTTTTGTATTTTTCCCTTGTGTTGACTTTTCCTTTTTTTTTTGCATTGTAGTCCCTTTTTTTTGTTTTCTTGTTGCGCAAACTCCTAATTTAAGTTTTATTCTTTTTTGAGACCTATATTTTGATCTTATATCAATGATTATCAAAATTAAAATGTGAAATACATTATTGTTTAAATGATATTATCTTAAATTAGTTATATTAAATATTAAAACTCTAAAGTTCTGTTATTTAAATTAATTTTTTTTGTCTTATCTAACTTTTAAATTGTTATATTTTCTTTAAATTTTAACAAAAAAATTAACAATTTAACACTAATAACTTTAGATTTCACATATTTTATATATTTAAAATTTTAAAATTATACATGACGCCATACCGGTCTAATCCGATTTTTTGTCCCGGACTAACGGGTTGACCCAATGCCCCAATGACCCCTTAACTTCATCGATTTATCTTCCGGTCCGGGTCCGACAATATTGCCTGCGAGAGCGATTACCTAATGCTTTAATTGGTTGTCATATGATTAATATCCATATGCAAAATAAACTTTGAAAAAATTAAAATAATCATTTTTAGCGACATATCAAAATAGATTGAAATAGACTATGTTTTAATTAGTTTATCATTAGTTAAAAAATTGATCATTTCAACATTACATACACTTGATAATATATCAATTCAAATAAAAAAGGAAAAAAAAAAGGAGAGTTTTCATTCTATCTTTATTGTTATCTTAAACAACATGTCACTATGCACCGACCTCATTAAAAGATCCTGAGTTTGTGATAGGTTAAAACCTGCAATGGTTTTATCTGTTATTTTAATATTTCTAACATTTCGTAGAACTAAAAAAACAAAAAAAAAAACACAGAATTACTCGCCCAAAGAGAATCTTTTTGCTATTGTTATTTAATTATGGAATGGTTGTCTTCATGCTGGCCTTATTCCATCTTTTTTCTCTAGATATTTAACAACATGTCACTCTCCATCATCTTACTTAAAAAATTCTAAATCTTTGGTAGATTAAAAGCTTGAAATGGCTTTGTCTGCTATTTTAATAGTTTTAACAGTCCGTTAAACAAAAAAAATTGTGGGCCTAATTTTATCTTCATTTTCATCTTTAACATCATATCACTCTGTATCGTCATCCTTAGGCTTCGAGTATTTGGTAGGTTAAAAACCTGCAATGATTTAGGCTTCAAGTATTTAGTAAGTTAAAAACCAAAAAAAGACCCCAGCACTACTTACTTTTCTAAAGAGAATTTTTTTGATAGTTCTATCTAATTATAAAAATTCTTACAGCGGGTTTCATTACATTTTTTTTTTCATCTTTAATAGCATATACTCGCATTGTGCCGATTAAAAGATCCTGAGTCTTTGGTAGGTTAAATACCTACAATGGTTTTTGGCAGCTATTTTAATACTTTTGGCAGCCCGTTGAACAAAAAAAAATCTTATTTCATATTTATTTTCATTTTTAACAACATGTTACTTTGCAATGACTTTGGCTGCAATTTTAGTATTTTTAATGGCCAGTTGAACCAAATAAATGAAAAAGAAAAAACGCGAGTCTTATTCCATCTCTATTTTCATCTTTAATAGCATATCACTCTGCACCGTCGCGCTTAAAATTTTTCAAGTCTTTGGTAGGTTAAAAATCTATAAAGATTTTGGTTGTTATTTTAGTATTTTTGACAGCACGTTAAAAAGAAAAAGAAAAGAAAAAAAGAACTGGCTCTTCATTTCATTTTCGTTTTTATTTTCAACAGTTTGTCACTTTTCTTATTATCTTTTATTTAAATATATTAAATTTTTAAAACAATTATCACATATTTTTCATATAAAATAGTTATTTAAATTCTAAATTTACAGATTTGTTTTGAAGTTACAATCTTTCTAATTTGATTTTCTTTCAAAACTAACATTATTTTAATCATTAGTCAATAAAAGTATGCAATATCCTTGATGGTCTAATTATCAGAATATTAGGGGTTATATACCAATAAATAATTGTCTTGATGGGCTAGTATTATGCTCGTGAGGTGTATCAATTATTGAATAGTTACTGTACCAAAAGAAAAAGGAATAATTTTGTTTGGTTGAATAGTTTTTGACGAGAAAATGATGTCATTAACTTTAGAAAATTATACTTTTTCTATATTAAATCATGAAAAGTATATGGTAGGATACTTAAACATTAAAAAAAAATTTTTTTTTTTCTCTTAGCTATATATAAAAGATCGAATCTTGACATTCTTTTTCTAAATTAAAACATGAAAAAGTAAAATGGTAGGATATTTAAACATTCAAAAAATATTATTGTTTTTCTCTTTCCTAGATACAAAAGATTGAAATTTTTCACATTCAAAATTGCTGCTTAGAGATTTTTGTTCAGCTCCACTTGCTATTCCGTAAATAATAATCATACCTTTTTTTTTTTATCAAATGTAATAATGTACATATTTACTTTCACCAATTTACAAACACCAATTCACCAGATTAATTAACTGTCAAGCAACCTATTTCTTGTATGAAAACCCTGTAAATTTTCTTTACATTTACCATATAAAACTGAACCTTCCAACTAACCTCCTGTTACAACATTTTAAACCTCATTTCTGGATCACTTACTTCCTCCCCAAAACTTTGTGAAGCAAAAACGAATTCATGAACTTTAATGATCAATTTGATTTCACAATCTAGCTAACCAAAAAATACCCAAGGTTTCATGACCTTAAATTAAGCAAATCATTAGGAATGCAAAGCTACAAACCCATGAACCTATATTGCTGAATCAATTGAACTTTACTGAGGTCGCTGCCAAAAATCCAAAATTGATAACTGAAACCAAAATTGTGAAATATACATTGGGACATTCAGGTGCTGAAAAATATATACCTTCAAGATATACCTTCAAGGTATATATTCATCGTACTTTTGCTGAA